CGAATCCCACTCCTGACACCACTTTTATCAACAAGAGACAAACCTATCGCTCAACTTCATCCCCCCGAATCTCAAACAAACTCGCATCACTACTATCCGAGTTAGCTGTCGACGACTCACTGTTGTGCACACAAAGCAGCTCGACCGGAGACAATTCCAGGAGAGGACAGACTTCACGGGAAGCCTAGGTGTGAATTGACTGTGATGGCGACGTTGGTGTCCCACTTGACGCGATGACATCGAGGCGTTGTGTGCAGCAAGCCAGGTGGATGAGTTGCACAACGGACGGACGGTGGATCAGCAGTGAGGTTGACGAACTGCCTTGTCAGATCGAAATCACCACGTCGCGAGCAGGATTTGAACCTGCGCGGGGAAACCCCATTGGATTTCTAGTCCAACGCCTTAACCACTCGGCCATCGCGACCTGCCATTATCACTACAATAACACCCACACAATCAAACAACCAATTAGTAACACGCTAGCACGCACGCACGCACGCACCCACTCACCCACTCACCCACTCACCCAAGCACCAACGAACGAACGAACGAATCCACACACACACACACACTCAGTCACACACAAACACTCACTCATCACTCACTCACTCACATACGGAAGCCACACTGAACACTCACTCTCCTCAGCTCTGTCCTCCTCATACTCCTACCCCTAATCCTACCCCTAATCATAATCCTACTCACACTCACACTCCTCATCCTACACTCACCTTGTACAACAAACACAACAAACACTCCATCTACATCCACCAACAAAAACACATTCCACACCTCCCCTGCTCATACACCCACAAACACCAAATACAATTCGCACATGTCAACACACGCCGGTGACCACACACATACAATCACATGAGTCACAGGAGGAGGACGCATCGGTGTCTAGCGATCTTCATTCGGTCAGACACTACTGAGAGAGTGAGTTCGATTCGTTGAGTAACGAGTACCTTGTGTTTTCAATACAGTGGATTGTACTGGTTCACTTTCCAGTGGTAATCGGTTGTCGACGGGAAGACAGTTGAGCGTGATTGCAGCCATCATGACTGAGAGTTTGTCTATTGACAGTGTGCAGTGTGAGTGTTCAGTGACCAATCATGTGTAGGCGGATGTGAATGGAGAGCGAAGGAGACGAGGAGATGGTAAACTTGTCAGTGAAATTGTGTCTCTGACAGTTTATGTGTGCGTGGTTTCTAGTGCGTTGGCGCGTGCGTGTGCGTGTGCGTGTGCGTTTTCGTGCTTTACTTGTTGTTGGTGTTGTTTTTGTTGTTGGTGGCTGTGGAGATGGCGGTGTTGTTGTTGTTGTTGGTGGTGGTGGTGTGTGGATTTAATCACCTGGTAGAGTACCAAATTATCAATTCAGAGGCTGTCGGTTCGAATCCCCTACTATGGCCCAGTTGTCCGTTTCACATTCAATCCTCACCCCTAATAAACCAATAATATTTATCAAGATAATCCTTGAAACATAGTGAAGATGTGTGGTTTTACGGATGAAAATCCATGAACTTTTATAAGTCTGTGTGTGTGTGTGTTTATAGTTCATGTTGCGATCTTCCTGACTAGGAGAACTAATTATCCGTAGATTGTCATTAGGTGTCCATTTTTCACTGAGATCTGAGGTCTAGAACAAGGCAGTTAATTTATTAATCCTTACTGAGACATAAAACAAAGATTTCCGCGACACAACCCTCTTTTTGCTACAATTCATTTACATATGGGGGGTTAAGATAAATTTAAAAAATGTGTTCGTTTATATATTCGTTACAATTTTGACAACTAGTGGAGATTTTGTTGTGAAATATGATAGTATTAGTTACAGTAACACATGACACACTTACACACAAAGTAGTTGGGCGAAAATGGCGCACGACTAGGCGTCGAAGTAACCTAAAGTAGGAACATGAGTAATTAAATGGACTCAGTACGTGTTTTATCGAAACTTAAAGTAAATGCGTGTGTTGCAGATAAAATCCACTAAGGTAATCAAGGAGTTCTCTAAATGATGCATTTTGATGACGTCATTTATCCTACACTAATGTAACGTCATCAATCGAAGTCTGTAGAGTTAGTTGTTAAAAAGTGTCGAACTAACATCGCATCATTCTGCTTTCAATTTCACATTACTCTTCAAGCGTATCTAGCCTAGCAATTACTCTCATCACTGTTGAGAATTCCTATTGTGAAGTGAAAGGGTGAATCGATCACACTACCTAATTTTAGAAAATATTTACTCCACTACTATATTACGTTAATATTATCTATCATCCAAGTTAAATATTTATTATTAAAAAATTTTTGTGTACTACGAATTTTTTGATTGGTCGTAAACATATTCATGCATGTGCGTGGGTGGCTGTTTTAAATGATAGATATATTCACCTCTATATGCAAAAGAGAGCAGTCATACATAGGTAAACTTTAAATCCTTGTAATTTCAATAATGATGATTACTAACAAGAATTAACTGTTTTGTAAATAGTAGGTTAATCTTTCTAATTTTAGAAAGTTGTTTCAAATCTTGTAAATGGTTTTGTTTATTTATTGAGAAGCTTTGATGAATCATATCTACTTATTATTATATCATAACACGCCCAATCCACTTAAAGCTGTGCTACTCTCATGATCATTCTTCCATATGCAACTTATTATAACATCTTCTGTGTCCGTCTGCTGCTTCTGGATCTTTCATTATCGATTATGGCTTCAAGTGTTGTATTAATTTGAAGACTTTAAGAAAGGAAACCAGGAGGCAAAGATGTATTTTTCTTTGGAAGACTAGAATTGGCCAGTTTATTTCTCTTATAATAACGTGTAGATAAAGTGTATTCATGAGTACATTATTTGATGATGAGCCTATAAGAAATAGCTTTAGATCGACTAATCTTCAGTGATTAATTACTCAGTATGTTTGTCTGGCCGATAAATGACGATCAACGCACTTCGGGCAAAACAACTAGATCATTGCTGTTATTATTACGCTTATTCCTATTGGTTCTGAGTGAAACATGGGGGTTCAGTGAAATATCTCCACTTTGTCATGTTTTCTCCAGTCCTCATTAGCTGGTGCCACAACTGTCCATAGGCTCTCATATACTACTCTGCGTCACTTTCAAACGCCCAACTTGCCGTTTCCCATTCAGGTTCCATGCGACGGCTTGGGACTTGATGTCATTTAACAGTTTCCTCAGCCTCTGTCTGGTCCATCTCCATTTCTTTGTTATAGTATTTGTTGAGTAGTAGGTTCTTTGTGGGCTGATTCCCGGAGTTCCTTGTTGCTAGTCCTTTCTGGTAAGCCATCTGATCTTCAGTAGGGAGCCAGCGAAAGCAGCTGTTGATATAAGTCTGAGTTGTCCTGTTGGAAATGTTTTTCGTGACACATAAAGTCTCTGAAACATATAGAACTGACTCAACATTGGTGTTGAAAATTCCTTATGATTATTACAGCAGATTTTTGAACTGATTTCAGAGTGATGAATGTTTGTCTCACTTTTTCGGGTTTAGTCATAACATCTTCATCCGTGTCATCTGTAGTTGTAACGATGTTGCGTAGGTAAGTGAAAGAGGTGACATCCTTCAGGTTTCTCTCGTCGATACTGATTAGTGCCTGTTGCTACAGGTTGGTTCTCAGCAAAGTTCAACAATAGCGTCCCAGGAGTACGAATGCACGAGTGACCTTCAGCTGACTAATCATAAAAATGAGGAATGTTTGCTCAAAAAATGATGCATATTGACAAGAAAACGGTTGAAAACGCATTAAACAGGTTATCTTTCTCTGACATGGTTAAAAGTAAGTCCTAGTTATAACGAGGAGTATCACTTGCTAAGTTGGAATAGTTTCTGTGCATGTATTTACCGAGATGACCACAGATAAACCGTTATTGCGAATCGTTTATCTCTCTCATCCTGCTTGCAGTCTTCCAAAAAAGCCCTCGGTTGAACTGTTATGGTTTCCAGCAAGAGGATAGACGACTACTTACCAGGAAAACGTGGATAATAAGACAAATTACAGTAAATGACATGAACTATAAATCTACCCCTAATCGTAACCGTAAGCTTAATCCTGACCCTAATCATAACCCTTATCCGAACCGTAATTCCAAACCTTAATGCTAATTATGATCCTGATCCTAACCCTAGCCTTAATACTTACCTTAACCGTAATCCTAACCCTAACGAACTATTAATACATTGTCCAAACATTACTTAAAAACGTGATCTGAGTGAAATTTGCTGCTTATTTGGTGAATAGCGTTGATATTTCAGCTATGATAGTGACAGGTGCTGTCAGCCAACGACTAGCATGCGTTCAAGGTCATTGGAGCGTTCACACTCCTGAGACGCTATTATTGAACTTCGCCTGGTTCTCTTCATCACCCCTGTCTTGTCTGCCTGCTTTTTCTGCCAACTTTTCGGCCTTCACCTGTAGATCTTCGAGTTTTTGCGACACTAAACATAAACCACCCTCGAAGTCCAGATCTTCTAGAGTCTTCTTAGTGGTCCGTCATCCGTCAGTTTTCTCACTACTCTCTGTCCTCCTCATGATCCTGTCCATCACAGTTAGGAATACCATCGATGACAGTAGACAGTCTTGTCTTGCTTCTGTCTTCACATCAAAGACTTAGCTGAGTTTTCGGTTGCGGATCACTTGGTATGTGGTATTGTCGTTCAGCTGATAATTTCGGTACATCACTCAATCCTACAGGGTGTCAGTCACTAATTTAAGCAATTTCTTCAAGATTGCTGGAATACCATGATGATAAGTGCCAAAAATCATGGAATCTTTATTGAAGCCATCTTACCAATTGATTATTCGTGATAACTAATATTATTTATCACTCTCTTATGGCACAGTAGGTTAAGTAGCCCGAAAATTCGATCGATACGCATGAAGACTACTGACAATTAATCATAAGTAGTTTGAGTTAATATGTATAAAAACGTACCTGGTCAATTATCTTTTCATTATTTCCGTCTACAATTAGCTCCCACGATTCATGCCCACTAATGAACAAGGTGAAGAGGTCAAAAGTCAGATATGGAAAGAGATTGATTGCATCAGATCCGGTGACTTGAAGACAATGAATTTAAGGCATTCTTTGTCTCGTTGGCATGAAGTTCTTGTGAAGAAACTTGAATGTGGCCGGAATTTTAATCGTATCATAACTAATTGTTCCAAGAAAATCCACTCATTGACATTAAATCTACAACCTGCTGAGAGTATGGAGACAGTCGACTGTGTAGCAATTGAGGTAAGTAGATTCAAAATTTGTAGAATTCAATTTACTATATTTCATCATATTCGTTGTAATGTTGTTATAATAAAAAATATTGGTTGAGACTTAATATGCTGTATGCCGTTACGTAGGGAGTTTAAACTGTCTGGATGGGGTATTCGAAACGCTAAGAACTACTAGCTGGAGACTGTTGGCAATCTGGATTTAAATGATTCCAATTATCTCAGGTGGATCCGCTCTTTGTGATCTCCTGGATGCCTTAAGTCTTCATTAGTCGTCTTACAATTATCCTTTCTTCCCATAATTTCTATTTATTAAAGTTGCTCTGCACACCAGTATGCAGATGATATAGTCCCACTAGGCTAAGACGCTGATAAAATTCAGAGTCTTTTGAACACCTTCAGCAGAAACCTTCAAATGTTTGGAGTCATATTCGCTCCTACCAAATCTAATATGTTTCTACATGACTGGACTACGCTGATTCCTAGCTGAAAGATGGGGAGTGAAGTTGTTGAGAGTGTTAATTACTTCATTCATTTGGGAAGTTGCATCAGACCTAGTGGACTGACTGATTCCTGATGAAATCCCATCATGGGTACAAAAGACTGGAGTGGCATTTGATAATTTACTCCATCTCTGGCATAGACTTGATATCGGGCTATCGATGGAAGAACGTAGGTACAGTGCAGCTGTTCCCTCTGTCCTCCTTTATGGCTGTGTGACATGGCTAATGAGAGTGGAAGATATGAGGGACTACCTGTCTTTGACCACAGATGTTTGCTTTCTCTCTCACATGTTCAGTGGTATTATATGTTGAGTAATGCTCTGGTTTGGTGTAGTGTTGAGTAAGGGCAGGGATTAATCCGCTCGTTTAGGTTGTGAGGCTACATCGACTGAGATGTATTGAGCCATCGACCAGCGTAAGTCGACATTGGATTACACTGAAAAAGGGTTAGAGTTAGTCAAACTAAAACAAAGTTCAGTCCATGAAGTCTCTGACATTTGGTTTGAGCCAGCCACATAGGTAGGTGTGGGTCACCTAGTTGGGGTCCTCGCAATGCTAGGAACTAATGGCTGGAGAATGTTGGTGATATGCCTCAAAATCGTTGTCAGTGGAGCAGATGTATTCGATTTTTGTGATCCCGTCATGTTTTCCCGTGTTCCTATCCTTCTCCCTCACATATCTGCTCTTTTTTCTCTCTTTTGTCTACTTTGTGTGCTACATTGAGTGTTGCAATTTGAACTCTGCAAAGTTCTGTGTTGAAATTTAGTCAGTCAGTCATATATACATGCACCTACTGTATTTTTATTTGTTTGGTACAACGATTCCATACATTAATAAAACGCCAGTCACTTCCGTGCTGAAGGCTAACAGCAGGTGGAAACTCCATCCAACAACTGACAAGCTAGGCAGGAGAATTTGTATTGTGACTATCTGCATAACCCAAACGGTCACTTTTCAACCTTTTCCGAGTATCGGTGAAAGTATTTGTTGAGAATGTGGTTTGTTATTAAGCCTAAAACACTGATTTGCAATGATCATTGAGTCTGACTATTGTATACTGTAACGTTTATCAGCAGTTTAGATAAATATTTCTACATCTGATTTATAAGCATCTCTCTTTACACTGTCATACGTTCCTTGTCTAACACAGTTAACACTTTAAATTTTTAGAAACGTCTGTTGCATTTACAAGTAATCATGAATCAAACTGATAAAATGCTTCATGATCTTCAAACAATTGATTTCCGAACATCCATCAGTCATTCAATAAAGTTTATCAATCTTGTCAATCAGCTTCTGGTACTACGTCAACAGAATATCGTTCAACGTGTATTGTACAATCGTTTGAAATACTATCTATCCGAATTACAAAACCCGTCAACATTCCATCGACGTCTACTACACGTATTTAAACTTGGTACAGAAGGCTGTCGACAAATTACAAGTGAATTAATGCGTATATTGAATCTTACAGGATCAGTAGATGATGCGACTTATTGTGATGATAAAATTCATGAGTCGTCTATGGATTATCAGTACTTAGAGAAGCCATTGTTTAAAATGCAAATAAAATCTCCGGGACAGAGTGGTTTGGAACAGGTTTGTTGACTAGCCTTTTTTGTTGAGTTTAATTTTTTGAACATTAAATAAGTGCAGTGAAAAGAGTTATGCAACACTTTTGATCCAACGTGTACAGTTTACCAGCAAGATGCTAGTTATATGAATCAAAAATTACTATGTGCTTAGTGGTTTCACACTTATCGCTTTAGCCTATTATCGTGCCTCATTTTATGTATACTATGGGTTTGTGTATAGTTGCAAATCTTTATCACTCAACGAAAGTTTCCCAAGAAATCTCTCTAGGTACGAGTCTTATGAACCTCCAGCGGGAAATAGTCATCTGCTGATTACTAAAAGTGTGCTAAATCCGTATATTGCGTAGTCTTTAAAGAAGTAGTCTGGATTGTGTTGTCTAATCTCTAGTGTGAACCGAATTCTGTCAGTCAAGTTGTAATTCAGTCACCATGTGATACTTTTTTAGTTGATTTTGAATGGTTGGAAGCATTTGGTAAGAAGCCTTGAATCCAGGTTTCGTGTTTACAAGGGCTCGACTACTACTCGACCCTCAGAGATTCGCCCCCGCGTCACTCAGAAATCTAGTCAGAGATGCTACTACTTGATTCGAATTGCTTAGTGTTCAGAGGCTCCATACCAACAACTTTCAACCATATAAAATCAGATGTCAGGAGTTTAAAATTCCACCTCATCTGCTCACATGGGAATGACTGTTCTCAATTTTGATAGAAGTCAGATTTGCTTACTATCACAAGGCCGTTGGATAGAACGAAATCCTTCAGTGTATTTTGTTTTCCCGGGATCTCTTCACATAAATAAATGTTATTACAAAGTTTCAATACTTTTATAACTGAATGCTGATTATTGTTTGGAGTATTTTGAACAGAATAGTACTCCTATTGGTAGCTAGACAATAATTCAAAGTAGTTGACAGAAATCTGCTTAAAACGTTCCCATGATGCTGCTCTGTTTTGTACTGAAGGGCACTTTATTTCGATATTAAGTGGTTGGGGTCAATTCACTGTGGTGGTTCCGCAGACTTTAACTTCATGCTTCTGAAAACACTTCTAATTTAAGTATATCTGCAACCTTGTAGAAATTGGTATTTTCCATCCGGTTGAGACACTTATTTTATACACTACGGCAACGTTGTTGCTAACCTGTTCAGGTTAGCTAGTACTGCTTCCAGATCCTGTGCGGTGTTGTGTATAAAATCTTCTCTTCGCGTAGATTTTCAAACAATCATGTGGAATTTCGTGTAAGATCGTATGATTTGATCCAGATAGTAGAGTGTGAATTGATACTTGTGTTGTTTGGGTGAGATAAATAAGGAATAACATTGGGAAATAGATTACACTAGGGGATTAATACAACAGCTGTCGAGTAGACAACTGTTCATTGGGAATAATTATGTGTTTATTGTCGTCTAGATTAAAAATTATTGATTATGAATAAATTAAGTGGACGGAAACGAATTTTGTGGTAGTTCTAAAAAAGGTTTATATATATATATATATATATATATATTGAGTGATTGTATGCAAACATTCGTATTCAATACAAGTAGATGCATAAATTATTCACGTTGAACTGCACTGTGAAGGATAGTAAAGTTTCTGTATTCAGCTGAAAGAAACTCACTGAAATTAATTTTTATTATCACATAAGCCAAAGTCTAGTTTACGCGGTCTGTTTTGCACTGGGTATAACCTTTGTAGTAGTTCCATCTCTATTTATACTTCATATCATTAAGTAGTATTGGCTTCTAGTTGTTGCTAACTAGTGGCACTCCTTGATTCGTTCCCTTCATTTTGTCCCATCAGACGTTGTTAACATATCAACAGAATATGCACATTTTTATTATTATTATTCCCTTGCGTTTCGAGTGGAACATAGGGCTTCTGCCGTCCTCTTCAGCTTGGTCCACGGTTGACTAAACTGTCTCATCTCTTCCTCACATGATCTCCTCCATGTCACCATCGCACCGACGACTCACTCGTCACTTCCCATTTGGATTCCACTCGAGGGCCTGACGTGCGATGTCATTCGGTGGCCTCCTCAATGTTTACTCGACCTATCCATCTCCACTTTCTCCTACATATTTGTTGAATAATCGGCTCTCGGTTGGTTTGTTCCCATAGTTTCTTGTTACGTATTCTTTCTGGTCATTTGATCTTCAGTATGGAATCAGCAAAGACAGTTGTTGATCAATGTCTGTAACTTGTTGCAAATGCTTTTCGTGAAGGTCTGGCCACGTTTCTGAGCCGTATAGAAGATCTGACTGACTGACATCACATTTGTGTTGAACAGAATCCAAATCTTTTTGTTTATGCTGAGTTGGTGCATAGGATTTCCAAAATGGTTTCAGAGTGATGAAAGTTTGTCTAGCCTTTCCGATTCTGTCCAGCTTTTACGTCTTCAACTGTTCCGCTGGCCTGTGATTGAAACGATACATGCTAACCGGATAAGTGAAGGCGGTAACCTTCTATTGTTAAATCTCTGCCGTTGATGGTGATTGGTGCTGTTTGCTGTTGCTGTTGCTGTTGGTTGGTTGGTTATCTTCATCACCTCCGTCTTCTCTATGTCCACTTGAAATCATGTCTTCTCTGCCAGCCTCTTCAGCCAGTTTGTTGGTTTTCCCCTGTAATCCTTCGAGTTTGCGCTCGAAATCCAGATCTTCTGTAGTCTTGTTTATCGGTCCAACGCATTCCTGACTTCCCGCTCCCCACAGCCTGACCGATAAGATTAAACTGTTGTAATAGAAATGAACTGAGCCTTGGGTATTCTCAGATTACAGTAGTTGAATATTAAACCTTCAAGTGTTTGATATTGTTGTGTTTATTTGAGCTGGATAAGTTCAGTGCAAAGTCACTTTTAATTTAGCTCTGAAGTTGTTGTCCAGAAAGTGAAGGCCTCCTAATAAATATACCATTTGGCTGAGACAACACAATACAATATCACCAGTAACATTCCATTTAAGTTTCGAACCTTCCCCACTGTTTCAAATTCTTCAAGTTACTGAACTAAATCAGGTACACTGCATTCTCATTTAACCGAATGGCAAGAAAATTCAGTAATTCTACCATGATTTGATTTTGCTTAAATATTTAATATTCCATGGCTTTCCTGGAGAATAAATATTCATTTATGTTCTGATCATTTGGTTAAAAGATGTTAAAGTAAGCTATAAAATAAACGATCATTGCTTAAAAGTACCATCAATGTGGTATACTATGGAATCGATAAAGTCCTGACTACTCAGAGTAAATTGAAGGAAGAGAAGAGTACCGCTTAGTAAACTAAGTAGTGGAACAGTAATTATCCTGAGACGTAACATACTAAAACAGGTTGATTAGCATAAGGTGGGTGTCAAAATTAGTGTTATCAATAAGAGTGTGGTCCATTGAAAGAAACAATCTCGAGTTTTTATATGTATAAGCGATATATTGACAACACCTTCATTATTTGTAACGACAATTATCCAACTGCCGAACTTCTTGAAAAATTTAATGGTTCTCACCCATCGATGTTTTTCACTATCGAAGAAGAATCGAATTCCGCATCTCACTTCTTAGGTGTGGTGTCAGATAGAAGAGACGATGACACGTTAAAAAGGTCGATTTATCGAAAGCCTATATTTACAGGACAATACACTAACTTCAACAGTTGGGTACCTCTAGGTAAGAAGAGAAATCTCATCCGTTCTCTATGCTCCAGAATTCAGAAAATTTGCTCTACAGATATGGTCGACATGTCCTAGAAGGTTTATTGACAGTAACATCAGGAAAGAAATCGTGCGCAACCAGAGCACAGTGCCAAAGAAGACACTGTTTATGAGTTTGATGTTCATAGGTGACACTTACTGAAGTCACTAAAAGTCGTTTATCTAAATGTTTTAAATGTTGTTTTTATGCAGCTGACCTACATTTAATATTTATCAGCCGAAATATGATTCATCAGTGCATTAAGGATAAACTACCGCTTATTTTCACATGCTCATGTGGAGCTGATTACATTGAACGTTGTAAGCGTGTTCTCCATAAACGCGTAGCTGAACCCTAGTCGGTTTGGTTAGTGAAAGGTGGGGATAGAAAGTCGAAGTCTTCAGTTTGTAAACACATTATAGAATCAGGTCATTCAGCTCCATGTGATTTATCCTCCAAAGTTATTTACAAGACCAAATCCAACCGCTCCAAAAGTTTACGTTTTATCCACTTATGCATAGCCGAAGCTCTAGATATACATGGACAAAAATCTAAATTATAAGTTCAAAAACGTTTTGTTAAACTCCTTTCTTTACCTTGGTCATAGTAATGTTTGTTTATTTATTCTATTTTACCACTTGAATTTATTCCCCAATTCACTTCATCTTAGCCATCTTTACTGTTATCATCATTATACTACTAATCTTTTAGGCAGCACTACGTGCAGTGTTAAAATCTTTGTGCCATTTCACTCGTATAATAATCTTTAAAAGTTTTGTAATTTTTCCACTTCAACCCTACCCCCTTAGTACATCATTTTAATTATTCTTTATTCTTATCATCATACGTGCAATATTGACTGAACGATTTCCAGTGCCACTTAATGCCTTCTTCCATAATATAAATACGACTGCATAATTAGCTTGAAAATGAAGTCGTCGGAAAGCGATATTTCTTCACTGAACAAAAACTGTGTTTTTCCCTTATGAACTAAATGGGCATATTTCACGATTTGGAATGCATTTTTGTCTAGACATATCAGACATTTTGAAAAATATGTTGTTCTTAAGAACAACGACCAACTGCTGATTATACATACTTATAAATAGGCTAAAATTCGCAATAAATGAATAGCTCATTCATAATTCCCGCATCGGTGGCACAGTGGTTAGGACTCTCGCCGACCATGCACATGGTCCGGGGTTCGAGCCCGCACCGACGCACACCTGATATCTATGGTCGGCCTGCAAAATTTGGGCTACCGATATCCATGCTGAAAATTCCATACTTGTACCGAAAATACAGTGTGGAATCAAGCTGTAAATCAAAAAAAAAAAAAATTCTTGTATTTATTTATTGAATTTTGTAAATTTTTCGTTTCTTTTTCTTGCATTTCCAGCTATTTTGTAAACTTTCATTAGTCGATAAATATTGTTCTGAAGCTCAAAGTTATCTTAGTCAAAAATTTTCATGGTTCCCTTTAAAATCTGGATTATCATTGAATAATCAATATGAACCGATGATTGGTTCTGATGGATCTGAAAGCTACCTGAATGAATTAATTAATCAACTTGTCATATCTTTATTATGTCCATCTGTAGTTAAAACAAAAATTGAAACTTTATCTGGGGAATCAGAAAAATTGAGAAATGTTCTTTCTGCATTGTAGGTGTTAATATATTTTTAAAAAATAATTTAGTATATATTTTAATTATATGAATTGGTCACGGGATCATAAATTGTGGAACACTCAAATATTTAAAAGTGGTTAGTGCTGGAGACTAGGATGGATATTTTCAGATCGGTTAATTAGATGTGCCTGAATCCGTGTTGCGGTGGTCTCGCTGAAACTAGAATTCAGTACCGAAGCCTTGTTTCATAGATTATTGAATCACTATGACCATTTCTTGTTCAATGAGCATTAGTTGTCCAATATATATAACTGGAAACAGGGATATATGTATAAAACTTGGGCACTGTAGTAGTAAGTAATTCCATATTAGTTTATTTATTAGATGTATCACACAGTGAAACAGTATTATTAACTGGATGACGTTTCGAACATAATTTATGGTGTTCATAATCATATCAATTATGATCACAAGACTTCGAAACTTGAGTTTTATAGTTTTCTTTGTCTTCTCCCATTTGTCGACGTAGGGGTGGTAGAATTTTCCGGATATCTGGGTGGACAGGTGATGAATCATTCCTATTACATGTATTCGCAGTTGATTCGATAAAAAAAGCTTCTGTTATCGCTCTCTCCCTCCATCCTGTGACATCAGATTTTAAAACTGTCATCTTTTCCCATCATCCTATTGTATGGTTGTGTGTACTTGCATGTAGTGAGTACTATAGCTGAACTGTTCTCTAGATTTCTTATCTTATTTGGGTCAACCAATCTAGATTTTGCTAAGTTTTTATGTTAAGCTAGTCTGACTGTCCCTGTTCTACTAGTTCGACCTATGTATTTGACCTGACAATCATCGCAGGTAGGGTATTAGACAAACTAAATTGTTTTGTTTTAAAGGCTTCACTGGCGGGATCTTTTAACCAACAAAGCTTGTTTCTAATTGAGTTTGTGAGTGGTTTGAATGGCAGTCACTTTTATTCCTGCCTTGTTAAGAATTCTGCGTAAGGCTTCTGAGGTTTTTTCCTCGTATAGAACTACCACTGATGATTTAGATGCCTTATTGTTGGAGAGAACAAAGAAAACTATATAACTCAAGTTTCGAAGTCGTGTGATTACAATTGATTTGATTATGAACAATAAATTTTGTTCGAAACTGTGTCATCCAGTAAATACTAATACTGTTTCACTGTGTGATACATCTAATAAACAAACTAATATGGAAACAAGGATGCCCTTCTGTCAACGGTGATATTCCTAATTATGGTAGACTGAATCATTAAGAAGACCGAGGGGAATAGGAAAATGGATAGATATTGGACCGTTAAGAAGACCCTGGGAAATCTTGACTTATTTATGTCTAATGTTGCACAAGCTCCAAGATCTACAGGCAAAGACCAACAAGTTGGCATAAGAGGCAGCCAATAAAGACAGGACTTCAAGAGGACATATGGAAGATATAGGCAGATGAAAAAAACAACCAACGAACCAACAACAACATGCACCAGTCCTTATCAACGGAAGAAATTTGAACGAGGTCACTTCCCTTCACTTATCTAGACAGCATCGTCTCAGCTACAGATAGCCGGCACAAATGTGAATGTCAAAAACTAGAAGCCGAAAAGCGAGATAAATCCTCATCTCTCTGAAATCAGTTTGGAAATCTTCTGCACTAACTCGGCATAAAGAACAAAATTCCGATTTTGAACACCAATGTTAAATTAGTTCGTCTACATGGTTCAGAGGCTTAGAGAGTTACTGAAGCATTCCCAACAGGCTACCTCAGATTTATATCAAATGCTGCCATCTCTGGCTCCATACTGAAGATCAGGTGGCCGGAAAGAACTAGCAACAAGAAACAAGGACGAACTAATCAATAACGCATGCCAGACCATCGCTCAAGTGGAACCGTAATGGGAATCGACTAGTTGGGTGTGAGTTCGGGGGTGTCATGAAGGAGATTTTATGGGAAGAAGATGATAGCTTATGGAAAATCGTCGAAACAGATGAAGAGGATTACAGAGAACAGGACAAAACTGAGATGTGTAGTCAAAGCTCTATGTTCAGCTTGGAACCCTTAGGAATAATAATAATAATAAATAACTGGATTGATGGCTCCTATTTTTATATCGGTTTCTTGCGGGTGGTTTATCAACACTAAGGATTCACGACGAGAATTCGAGTTATTTTTCTATCGAACACTTTTCTAGGACTATCAGGTAAAGAACAATGAGTAATACTTGAGATTACTTATTGTAGCTTAGATATCTGACTATTGGGGATTGCATATGACATACACACTTAGACATAATATGTACAACCTACTGTATAGTTTTAAGCACGTGTCTGCTAAACTAACTAACAATGACGTTACACCTACGAGTACTTTCGAATAATGACTGCTTCTGCAACACTCATGGAATATCTGAATTAATTTTCATCTGATGAAATAAATTCCCTAAAGATATAGTCGACTATAAGATGTAAACACTTACAATTATGAATACTCTTTAGTTGTGTTATTCATAGTCGCGGCGATAATGAAAGACGAACTTCTACCTGGAGAATGTGGAACAAATGAAAATTGAATGTCAGCTGTGAGTCGGTGGCGCAGCGGTTGGACGCTCGCCGACCATGCACATGGTCCGAGGTTCGATCCCCGGCCGACTCACTCCTTTACTTCCTAGCCAGTGAAAAGCCTGGTAAAGAGGAAAGGTTGGCATGAGGCTAGCAACCCCATCCTGTAAAAGTAAACACTGCTACAGAAACTTCAAGCCACTAGCTTGAAGCCCTATGTTCCACTGGGAACGTGAAGGAAAAATTATTTTTTTGATGATATTAGATAGTTGGAGGCAATCTGCAGGAAGCCTTGGCTAAACCTAGGTTTCGTGCTAGTTGACACTCACCAGTCAGCAAGGTGTATCTGCAACCTTCAAGGAACTCATGTCCTTTCTGAGATTCGAACCCACTTTACTATGTAATATCATCAAATCAATGTGCAGCGTGATGGTGAGCTACCTAGAATGGTGGCCACGTAGCAAACCTGACTGATAGAATTCAATCTACAACAAAGAAAAGACTAGACACGTCGCACTAGTTACTAGTGTCCAATCAAAATGAATCTAAGCTATCAATGTATTTGTGTTTTTGTGTGTGAAGGGAATAAAAAAAACCATAGAACTGAAATCCTATTGCATGATGTGAATACTTTTCTAAGGATAGCATCTGGGTTGTTTAAGCTGTTTATATAATCTGTGTATCACCCTATTTCATATTATGCGGGTCATAAAGATCGGAGAAAAAACAGCTCAAACCGAGGGAGATTATGATCTCTAAAACTAATTTGCACACTCCTGATAAATTCAACGTCAGATACAAGGCAACCGCATTTATTTCATCTTGTCTGACCATCATCAAATAGCACATAGGTTGAAACTTCCTGTCTTTGAATTCCTTGAGTAAAATGTAAACATCTTGGAAAGTAAACAGGCGCATGTGAACGATTCAAAAACTTCTTACGAACCGGAACTGGTAATATTGTGGTGAGAGCTGGCTGCGAACAAGCCATAATTGTAGACAGCAATTTACATCAGTGTTACGTCCCGAAGCGGGATCATGAGAAAAAAAACGCAATAACAAACCTTAACCTTGAAGAACTCACCAACCAATCACAGCAGACTTAACGCGTGCAAATACGATTTGCAGATATATGGCTTAACTTTCTAAGAAACGGCCACAAGTTGTACAGAACAACCTTCAGCAAGATAACAACCAGGCAGAAGAAGTCGCTTCTCTGCTATTAATAACACTTATAATAACGTACTTAAAAATCTATAAATATCTTCTGATAAACAATCTGTTGACTGGCCCTTGTCTTCTGTCGTTACATAAGTACCACCAAAATTCTTCTCAAACATCTATACATATATTCTTCCCCATGTCGAAAACTTTGCTAAATCGATTCATAACTGTGATAATCCCATTTTTCTGCATCTAACTCCTTCTGAATTTGATAAATAAATCCTCCTGGCCGTTTTTTACGACTATTTGCATTTGTCCTGAACCTTAGATTTGCTATAATGTTGTTACCTTTAGCCTTACTTAGGCTTTGAAATACTTCGAAATTATTACCAGTACCAAGGAAGGATATTTAAACTCCATATATTTGTTATCATCATCGCCTTTATTCATACCATTTGTTTATAATCTTTATTTCTTATTTTACAGTGCTGACAGTACAAATGAAATGAACGCTTTTCGTGATCAGTTATGCATAGCCATCCCTCAATTAACTGGATATCATCTAACTAATTTATCAAAGGCTGTAGATGAATTAGAACTTTGGGCTAATAGTAAATTAAATGAATCACATTGTCCAATGGATCCTGTTGAAAAAAGACATCCACAGCTAGGAGCTCAATTGAAAGTGAGATGAGATCTTTTTTTGTTGTCTGTTTTTCTCCTTTGTAATGGATTACGCTTTTTTTCCAAAGCCTTATCTATACTTATATAAAAATGTTTGAACAGGATGGAAACTTACAGAAGCATTTTCATACTACAGATGATGATGAGTTTTTAGCTTTACAAACAGCGCACTGTAATGAACCTCCATTCGGGCATGTATATCTCCCTAATCGACAGATAAACGCTGTTTGCGAGCAGTATTTAATTATTCTCTTATGATACCTGGAGTTCTGTGTGGTTGAAGAATTCTCATCTGGAAGAATGAGCCCATAAAGTATTGCACTCTGGAGGAAAATAAGACCTCACAGCATTATTACTCTTTCTAGATCAATTTAATTCAAGCGCGTGTGGTAATCACTTCACTCACTTAATTTGCCTTTCTCATTTGACAATGTAAAATTTGTATGCTAATATAATCTTAGGAAATATGCCCTAACTTTCTGTAAGGTAACTCATGAATGGTTTGCTGAAATTTTTAAAACTGTACTGAATTTTTCGTCTTGTGCGTTACATATTCCTGTTACCGGTAATGTTAACTGCCTATTAGTACTGCCTGTCTCCTCACTCTAATTGGTAAGATGATAAACTCACTAATGTCAATTACAAATGACATCCCTCTTCCTCCACCGTTTCGCTCATCTTGGAAATAACTTCAGCAAACGTTGCTGGTTAAATTCTTCTATCGTTCGTTATTTTTGACCATTGTATCCTCTCTGTGATGTTTCCCTACTGTTATTATTTGTTCTGCGATCGCGTATTTGTTAGAAAGCTGCATTTAAGATTTAATTCTTTTTTAAAAGGTATCTTTGATATGGCGACGTATGTAATAAAATCAGCTTGTGTATTTTGTTTAACTTGAGAAAATAAAATCACGTAGATATGTGGAGTGTGCTACTAATGAGACTTATCAGTAATATATAAACAGACATACATCAGCTTAAGCTATGTCTAATAGCGGAGACATAGATTTGACGTCAAAGAGAGCGGATGATTCCCCGGTGCGGTGAGACATGGGGGACACGAAAAGAAGACAAAAAACACAGTACGAAGGGCAGAATTAACACAACACGGGAAATTTGTACAAATGACGGTTTGCATATAAGGTATACATAATTTGGCTATATAGAGATACCAAATTCCACATAAACATTTCTTTACCATGTCTCTTGTCTTCTACCATTACACTTGTAAGTACTGGTGGAAACATGTCGGTGGGCGTGCTCGGTATGGTCATTAGGCTAAGTGTGAGTTCAGCGATACTGGCGTTGACTTTCTTTGAGTTTCAGATCCTAGTAATCGATTAATAGGAAGCCAGCCTAGAACTTCAATTTAATGCTTACTAGCAGTCATTAGCAAGTTACTTCTACGCTCTTAAGTAAAGTTGTGTTGTTTCTTGGAGGTTAACTTGTATTACGTGGTACTTAATCCAGAAAATTTATCATACCAAGATATTTATTTTCTAACTGAACTCTAAGAAAGAATAAGTAGTTTTTTTATTTTCTGTTTTCACAGCATGCTGGTCAACGATTAATGGAGTTAGAAACGTGTTTAGAGCATAGTCGTGAAGCTGCCAATATTCTCAAATTTTTTGAACATGAAACTCAAATTTGGTCATCAGCGTTATCACCGTCATCATCGTCATTACCTGGTAAACGTGAATCTAGTCAAGAGGTGGCAAGAAAACGTGGTCTACTCTTACAGTCGAATTTTGAAAGTTCACCAGTAGCTTGTAGACTGCATACAGCATGGATGAAACTGACTCAATTAGGCGATCGTCTTGGTCGAATACAAGCCGGGTAAGCCATTATTATTGAGTATACTTATCTATTCCTTTGCATATGAGTTGGAAAGAGGAAATATCAATAAACGGGTGGAGAGATCATGAATAAGATTTATTCTGAGTTAAGCTGACTATTTTCTTAACAGGTTGCTTTCTGTGTGAGAGAAGAGTAATTAAAGCTGAAGCGAAAATCGAGTGCATGGTGGATTTTGAACCAATGATTGAGGTTAAGATTACAGATCTGGTGTTTTATTGACTTTATTTCAAAAGCAAGGCATATATAATTTTGAGAATCCTTCTAGATTTTTGTTTGCTTTAAGAAATGAGCAAGTTTACCTTGTTGATATTAAGTGTTAGATAATGACATTTCCAGTCTTCTACCATGTATTTAAAAAATTTACTTAGTCTTTCATTAAATAAGCGAATCCATTTTACCTGGAATGGAATTCCAGTTGGTTATCGGGACTTTAATTGGTGGATGGTGACTAGCAGCACAAGCCAGTATGCGCATTTCGTCCTACTTTGGACTCGTCAGTTGGATGTACCTGCATTCCCCAATGAGTGATGATGTTCCCACCGAGGCTCAAACCCAATGCCCATAGTTTCAAACGCCAAAGCGTTATCCACCAGAACACTTGGACCACGAAAGCCACCTTATGTGCAACGGGTCATATTAATTTAATTGAATTTGAGATTTTCCCGTCGATTGATTGGACCGAAGGGCTGGGTCTCAGGTTGACATGTCGGCTTCTTGTGCAGATGCTTCGACGATGTTAGAAGAACACTATCAATACTGTAGAAATGTACCAACCGGTATGAGCTATGTGTATTGTTAATAGTCTTTTGCTATATAATTGGTTTTTAGTGAACAAAATGTTTTAATTAACTTAGGTGTATAATAATGTCTCTATTGTCCCACTTAATTCAGGTTGCCTGTCCGACCTTCTGGAGAAAATGGAACTCAGGTTTGGGTAAGTTAGACGAATTTTCAAGTGTTTGGTTTGCAGGGATTCCATTGATTTCGAGTTGTATTATGAATTGAAAACGGTTAGACGGCCATTAGAAAACAGGTTGTACTGGACTTCTGTTTCTTCCCAGTATGAGACTACTAACTACTAAGCACCCAGGAACTTCAGCTTACGTGACAAACCTGTTTACCATTCAACCAGTAAGATGGATTCCCATGCCCTATGGGGTTATTATTATTATTCCCTTGCGTTCCGAGTAGAACATAGGGATTCAACAACACATCTCCACTTTGTCCTATCTTCTACCATCTTCAGCTGAGTCTACGGCTGTCCCTAATCTCTCATCTCCTCTTCTCACGATCTTCTCCATGTCACTCTCACACCGACGACCCACTTGTCGCTTCTAATTTGAATTCCATCCGAGCTGTGCCCTGTATTGTGCGCTATGTCATTTGATGGTCTCCTCAGTGTGTGCCCGATCCATCTCCATTTTCTCCTACATATTTGTTGAGTGATCGGTTATTGATTGGTTTATTGCGAGCCAGAGTTTCTGCTTGTTAATTCTTTCTGGCCGGCTGGCCATTTGATCTTCAGTATGGAGCCAGCGAAGGCAGCTGTTAAGAAAAGTCTGTAACTTGTTGTAAATCCTTTTCATGAAGGTCTGGCCAAGTTTCTGACCCGTATAGAAGGAGTGGTTGACTGACTTCACGCTTGTGTCGGAAATCAGAATCTGTTTCTTTATACTGAGGTGGAGTGCAGATTTCCAAATTGGTTTGAAGTTGATGAAGGCTTATCTTGCCTTTCCGATTCTGTCCAGCTTTTACGTCTTCAACTGTTCCGCTGGCCTGTGATTGAAACGATACATGCTAAACGGATAAGTGAAGGCGGTAACCTCTGTTGTTAAATCCCTCCCGTTGATGGTGATTGGTGCTGGTTGTTATTGTTGTTGTTAGTGATTCGTTATCTTCGTCACCTCCATGAGTTACAGCTTCTCCCCAATTTTCAAAGTAGGACGAAACAGGTGTTCATTAATCCCTGGTTTTCAATGTTACACAAGTTGATGTCACCTTGTGTTTTGAGTTAGATTCAAGTATGATGGGTCTGTTGTTTCAAATCGTGTTTTTTTCCTGAGGGGGAGTTTGATTTCATACTAATCATCATCAACTTAAGCTGATTCATTTTATGCATATTTTAAATCATTTGCACTGGTTGTAGTATGTAGGTCGTTTTAAAAGTCAGTACTTTTCCCTATCCACAGTCAAAATGAATACATATGCAGCTAAGATATTTCAGCATGTGTTTCTCCTAGAAAACTGTCACCTTCTGACTTTAATCTTTTGTCGTTTGTTTGAAATCGTTGTTGATAAGAAGAATAGAATTATACTACAGGTAGACAGTATACATTAATTGTTGACATTTTAGAGATAATGACTGGCAACTGTTCAGACAATTTGTCAATTATGCCTTCACATTGTTTTATCTTCATCTTCACTGTCAGAATTCATCTAAGCCGCTTTTGCAAAATGAACATATACATGATTGTGGACCTCATAGTCTTACTATCATTTTATGACAACACTAATATACATTCAAACCTGCAGATGAAATCAAGCTTTGTTTTTCGAAGACTGTCTGTTTCTTAACTGATGGTAACGTAGCAATCAAAACTGAGTCGTTGTGGCCTGAACGCAAGCAATCGATCTCTGCATTCTACTGTATAGCTGGTGAAACTTCCCTGGGATACATGCAGTCAGGAAACACTCCAAAGACAGGAAAAAGACGATTAATCTTGACTAATTTTGCGGTCCTGTCAAACAGTAATGACGTCAAAACCTCAAAATTACTTCAGCAGTGCCGTTAGACGGCTAAAGAGTCTAGTATAGGTACAAAACAAGTACTAAGAATCAAGCAGAATATTTCTAACACAGTGGGATAATAAACTCTATCCACAAGAATCACACACCAACTCTACCCATAGACACTCCAAGGTCAGAATTGACCTTCATTTACTCAAAAAAAAGCATTTAACAGAAACCCATTATCAATGTACACACAGCAACAAGAAGAGATTCATTAAAATTAGAGATTAAACGCGAATAAAGACAAATAATTAAGGATCAAATCAACATGCGATATGCAAATGTCAAAAGAATGATATATACAGTCTAAGGGAAAAGAGGAAAATAATTACATAGTTGGTCGAAAAATTGAAATCAGTATAAATATTGTGATTAGATCGTTCAAGATGGATTTCTGCAATAGTTTATCAGTTACATGTAGTATATGTAGATTGTTGACCTAGGTGATGAAAAACTGATGAAAACCTGGTCATCCATTGTTACGGTAACTGTTTTGAATGATATTGAACTATAAATTCGTTGAAAATGTAGCGTAAGGACATGAGAAGAGTCAGATCTTTTTAGGTATAGATGGTTTCTCCCATTATCAGCCATCATCAACATTTATTATTATTATTAATAACTGTTGTAGTGCTATGACAAAGTAACTGACAGAGAACAAGTTATAAGTTTCCAGACCGTAGGTATTACGAATTTCCTGGAATAATTTGAGCGCCGAGTCAGACTGATTCATTATTAATTATTTAAATTAGTCCCAGCGTGTTAAGAAAATCAAAACAAGATTTCTCTGAACGTTTCGCTGTGTAAGCCACAGCTTCTTCAGCAGATAGATCTGCTGGAATTATTCTAAATCATTTAGTTAGTTCAAAAATTGCTTCATACTTTTTATTGTACTCATAAGTAGTATAATTGTATAAATAAAATATATGAAATACCGGCGTCTTGTTGGTTTATCACTAAGGTTTAAGATAAGCATATGAAAAAGCAAACAGAAAAAAGTACGTCGCTATTCTAAAGTCATAAATTTAGTGAGCATGTCTTGCAATAAATTGAACGAATCAACACCACCGGTTCCATAAATTCCAAACGTTGAATACACTTGAATTGTGGTCTGATTCACCTTGTCACATTTTGACACTTTTCTGTAAATGTACTTTATACATCAAACAATCCTATGTTTATTATTTATATTTCAGCACAATATTTGCAGTATACTATCTTTGTCAGTATCACTTTTTGCTTTCCCAAAGCTCAGTTTTGTCGTATTAACGGTAAATTATATAATAATTGATGTTAATGTATCGTCTTCGTGTTCTTCTGAGTATTCTCTTCATTCTCTCATTTTATTTTACCAAGGTAAATAATGAATTCTCCCCGGCGACTAGATATACACAAGTCGTCTCTTCAGCGGTGGAAAATCACGAATTACAAGTTTCACCGGCAATACTACCACCTCATCCTTCGCCTCCTTCACATCGTCATATTTCTCCAGTACAAACTCAATCGAATTTGCCAACAAATTTAAGAAGTAGACTAATCAAGAATGAGGTAAACAGAAATACCAGATGGAATAAAGATAATCATGAGTTTCCACATAATGTCATTAGTGCTGAGAAGTTACGTCGTAGACAAACTAATTTACGTGATGCACTTGGATCGCATCAATGTGTTTATCCTGATTGTAAAGAATCACGCGAAGAATGCTTACGTACTCATGTGGGTGGTTGTAAGAAGGAGGTAAGTGTAGTTTTTATATTCTATGGAGAGAATTCTTCCCCCTGATAATACTTTCAACAAGTTTTGCAATTCACTGAGCCTTTATTAAGTTGAAGGAAAATGATTTTCGAAGTCAAAATATGTTAACTTAATTTGGAGAGTAGTAAGCAAATGGAATTCTGCATACTTTTTGAAATTTACGACTAGTTATATACACATGGCTATATCTTTACATTGACACATTCAAGACATCGTCTTAACTTATGAGTAGCGAGAGCATACTATCACAAAATATAACAGAATACTGAACAAATACAATCGAGAAACTAGAAGCTTTAACTTTCTCATCCGATAACTGAATGCTTGGTTGAAACAAATAACTTTCCAACTTTTGTAACAATCTCCACATGTTTAGTGTTTTTTGTACGTTTTTCATCTCTCTGACATTTTAATATTATCCAAGTTAAAATAATGTCCGTAAATGTTCGCTTAAGGTGATATAAACTTAGTGTATATCATGGACATGAAGACTGAATGAACGGCCACTCTGGCCAATATGGTATGCTTTTTTGCACTTGATGCAGTCTGTTTTATAAATGACATTAGTTTTGTATTCTTCCCTTGTTGGGTCTTTTGGGAACGATATCATGGATTAAAAACACCCGGCTGGTTTATAAGTGATATCTATTCGAAGAGGTTTTAATGTTCTACCAGTGGTTTTCGAAATGTTCCTCACGTATTATTATTCCCTTGGGTTCAGAGTAGGACAACAACAACAACACACCTCCACTTTTTTCTACTTTCTGCCGCCCTCTTCAGCTGGGTCCACGATTGCTTGTTATCTTTCATCTCCTCTTCGTACGATCTCCTCCATGTCACCCTCGCACCAACGACTCACTTGTCGGTGTGCGGCCTGGCGCCCCATGTCATTTGACGGTCTTCTCAATGCATGCCCAATCCATCTTCATTTTCTCCTACATATTTGTTGAACAATCAACTATTCGTTGGTTGATTTGTTCCCATCCAGAGTTTCTTGTTACTCATTCCTTCTGTCCATTTGATCTTCAGTATGGAGCTAACGAAGGCAACTGCTAAGAATAGTCTGTAACCTGTTGTAAATCCTTTTCGTGAAGGTCTGGCCAAGTTTCTGACCCGTATAGAAGATCTGACTTCAAATTTGTGTTGAACAGAATCCGAATCTTGTGGTTTATGCTGAGTTAGGGCAGAAGATTTCCAAATTGGTTTCATTTTGATGAAGGTGTATCTTACCTTTCCGATTCTGACTTTGACATCTTCATTCGTTCCGCTTGTTGTTGAAAGGATGCTTCCTAAATAAGTTTCTTCACGTTTAGGCAGGCGTATTTTCCTCTTCGTTTCAGTGGATTAGTTTGTGTGTCGGTCACTTGAAATGATGATGACGTTTCTTGGATATTCGTTCTTCTGAAAGTCTCATAAGACAAGGGTACTGTTGTGTGTTGTAGATCTTGTTAATAATATTTAAATAGGGCCTCTTTTCAACGCTATTGGATTGTTGCGGTTATAATCGAGTGTGTGATTTGTATGCATTGATTTCTTTAATTGTGTGTTTCTAATTCGCATGCAATTGTTTGCTGGACTAAGGCATCCGTAAATGGGATTTCACCCTCTGATTGTTCTTCTTTTGTAAATTCAATGTCATCAAAAACGTTGATTAGGATGTGAATACTTTGTAATTCACTCCTTCTGGTGACGAGTGTAATTTAGAGTAAAATGTTACACTACTTACAATAAAACAGTAGTATGATTTGTTTTCAAAAATTAGCACACTGCTCTGTGCACCCAAATTATTTTGTGGGATTCAAATTACTTTGAGAATCAATAACTAACCAGATTACTACTCCGGGGGCAAAAATCATTTCTCGTATTCATTCCTATTATTTAACACCACTCATTGACGTGTATAAAATTCAACCTCGTTTAGATAAAACTTTATACTACTGATTGACTGCGATAAGTAGTTGCTTAGATCGAGGTGATCTAAACACCGGACGGCCAGTTCGCTCGTTCGGGGCCATTTTAAACATATGGAAAAAAGCTAGATAACAATAGAAAGAGATTTTTGAAGACGTGCAGTTACAATTGACATAACAATGAATGAAAAACTGTATCCCGAGCGTCATCTAGTAAATTAGCACCGTTCCATTGTGGGATATATCCAGCAGATAAATTAATATGGAATTAAAAACTACTGCAGGATCCACCTAGGTTCCTCATATTGTAAAAATCCTTCATAATTGTGAAGTTACTTTAGAAGAACTCAAAACCTGAGATACTCGAGTACTTGCCTTTGAGAGCTTATAGGTAAGAACAACACGGCATTCTAGTTGTTATTGTTGTACACTGGCTAGTATGAAAAAGTATAGATTATGCACAGAAAATCTGATTGCACTCCATACAACTTTTGGAATTAATGTTTTCATTTGTCTACTACCTCATCATTTTCATGATTTTGAGCGATGTTTTATAATTCCTTATTATGTTTTTATTGTTTTCCGTGATCGCATCATAATTTTGCTTATTGCCTTTAATTTCTTTAGATGAATATTGAAGACAAAATTGAGTATATATTTAGAAAGATAATAAACTTACATGCCTGTCTACAGAAAGATTACAATGAATCTTATCATTATGAAGTCTATCAGAGAAGAAATTCCTCAATATCTAAAAGTGAATTAAATCGTTTAGTTAGATATTCATGTCGACGACGATGGCATAACTCATTTAGCTTGAAATCAGATTATGAAGAATTAAAAATTCTTATTGATGAATTAATGAATTCTGAGTATCCAAAAATCAATAAATTACAAGAATGCTTTAAATCACTGGAAGATTTATGGTTTGGTAAAATGAATTCAAGAGAGAACTTAAACAGACGTGTCAACAGATCTAGATCACGATCTCGTGTTTCAAATGATGAACACGATTATAATTCGATTGAGTCGATCTATGAAGATGTCCGAGGTAATACTAATGAATTCCGTCACTATATCCAGCAAAACGGTACTTATTCTCATTCAACTATCTCTCCGCTTAATCCAACTGCTCCACCTATTCCACATACTTATGACTCTGTTTCAAATGACTATGAGACTCCACATACTCAGAAGCCTTGTCAATCATATAAGGATAAAGCGGACAATTTATCAAATGAAGAGTTCTGTGACTGGACATGGCGTGAAATAAGAAATCATGGATCAGATGCACAACCTCTTGTATTCCCTTCTTCTGAGGCGGTTAATCGTACACATCTAACGGTCAGTGTTGCAAGATCACAGGATCCTTGTGACACAAAAGTTGTCCCGTTGAATAGTCAGATGTATCAATTCTCTAAAACGCCTGACTTTCATTCAGGTACAACACCGTCTGAGAAGGTATCTATAAATACTAGTGAAGATAGTTCAGAGAATGCACCCAGCAATATAAAGAACGGAATTCCTGTACACGCTAAAAATACTACCGAAGTTCATATTCAGCAAATTAAACTACTCCCATTGAATACTGTTGATCAGACACGAAGATCAACTTCCCCTGCTTCCATCCAAAGAGACTGGTTATCACAGCCTAACAGAACTATCAGTGAAACTCCTTGCTTAAATAAAGATGAAACGCATTGTGTAAAAGCCAATCAGTCTGATGAAATCTATTCTTATTATATGCAACCAGGTGAAATAGCTGACAGTTCTGTGGTGACCACAACAAGTCGCAGAGCTTACTTAGATTCAATTACACCTTCCTCAAAAATAAACGCGATGCCACAATATATTGGATCCAATGAATTCGATCCCAGTTACAAAAATAAACATAATCCACCATCCACTAGCCCAATACCTGATGGTCATATCACACCTAAGTCAACAAATGTCAAACTTTGTGTCAATAAACCAACAACCCCAGATGTTAACAGTCACGTTTCAATTAACAATTATATCTCAAGTTCGTTAGTTGACAGTACTGTTAGCAGAGAGGTCATCCTGGAAGTTCCAGATGTTTCGTCTAGTAAAAATCTGGACTTAGATCACATTTATAGATCTACTCACACCAATTTCATTACTTCAGATAAACAGCCGCTAAATGTCTCAACAGATTCAAGTAAGACGGAAAATTCAGTGAATGGAATAAGTACAGCTTCACAACATAAAGTTACAATTTCGGATATACCCGCAGCTGACAGTTACTCATCGCGATTAACAATGACAACAACAACAGTTAACATAAACTTGCTTCAACATAAATCTTTAGAAGACAAACTGAAATCGTCTGAAGTAACAAACGGTACAGTTCCTTCAGAGAGTTGTATAACCACTTCTAAAGCAGAATCAGTTCCTTCTCCGTCGTCATTTTCACTTTCAACTTATTCTTCCTTATATAATAGCACAAGAAGAGCATTCCATCAAATCTACCAATGTCGCCATCTTGACACCACCACCTGTCCTACTGCTAATGACAATGTTGATAACGATGCTACTGATAGAAGCATGAATTCAATGTGCGATTTATGCCAACATATGACTAATTTGCATACATTAATTTCAATATTACAATCACATTTATTATCGAATCGACAGAATCGACTGTGCAATCTATTACCTGTGGATATAGAATCATTCACACAGACATCATCATCAATCTCTTCGTTATCTACCTATTGGTCGCCTATAATTAAAGAATATCTAACAATAATACACGAAATTAAATCAGAATTGAATTCATTTCAATCCTCATCATCTTATCTTGAGTGTAAAATTGTTCACTTACCTGAGTATAAGTCAATGGATGATTTATTGAATATTTGGCAGTGTAGATTACAAGATTTCTTGTGTCTTCGATCATCGATTAACTCCGCCTCCGGTGTCAATATACCCCAGACACGTTGGCTTACACTATTTATTAGTTTAATACAACATAATGAAATTCAAGTGGAATATTTAAAGTCTGTATTTACAAGTCTAATACATTATATCCAAAATGATTATGATGAATCGAATGAGAGTGAACCCGAAGCAAATAATACTAATAATGATCACAATCGCCTATTAACAAACAGTTATACATCAGAAGTTGTACAAAGTCATGATCATTCACAAAACATTAGGAATCATCTTCCTACTGAGAGATTAAGAATCTCATTGAAGCATGAGTACTTAGATGATTTGAAGAGTCGACTATTTGCTCATGATTTAGTCGACCAACAAACTATTACATCACCTATCCAACTGTTCCCTTCATTCAATTCTTCTCTGTTGACTTTACCAACTGTTAATTTTACTCCTTCTTCACGATCTAAAAGAGAAGAGGAGGGGAATACATACAAAATTCCCTCCACTGTTATGATTACCGGTGTTTATGAAAAGAATGATAAAGATGGGGAATCACAAACATCTCCTAAACTGCATGGCTCTGGTACAGTATCATTTGAACAACAACAACAAACACCTAATTTTCATCAAATTGTTACTCATAACAAAAGTAGTAGTAGTACTGAACCGTTTACTGGTGAAATTCCTTGCGGAAAAAGTATTCAGAAGACTGAAACTCTTGAAGAATCTAAAGACAACTGTAATGAAACAAATTGGATTACAGTACGCAGAGGTAAACAAAAAAAGGCTAAAAAACGTAAATACAAAAATGAAGATTATTCGAAGGGAAAGAATAGTAACAGAACTGGAAACCCTGATAATGCTGATCATAAAGATCCACATCAACTTTATCATAGTGTAAAGGCACCTGAGTTGATGCAAACTTCACATGTAGATGAAAAACAAATAACAAGTGGAGATAACCAAGTGGACAGTTCACTATACCTTAGAACCTCAACTCCAGTTTCAGAAAAATTGTCTAGTACTAATCAGATATACTCACAGGAGTTTTATGAAGCGAAAATCCACACAGCTAAAAATGGTGGGAGTGATGAGTTGAACGATATGTTGTCTTTTCAGCCTAAAGGCTGTCCACCTGATGTTAGGAACCGAGGAGTCAACATAAGTGGTGAATCAAAACGAACAGATAGCCTGATTGGTAAAAACAATTTAAGAGAGGACAGTAAACCTGGTCCCAATGATACCGAAGCAGACGGAAGAGTGAAGGAAGAGGAAAACGCAAACTATACCAACAAATCCGATGACTTGGCGTCGTGGATATCCATGCAGTCGGATAGTTCACCATCAGTAACTGATTTAAATATGGTTTTTGGTGTGAATACTGTTGAAGACAAACAGTGTCGTGTAGGCGATTTTCCTAAGTTTTCTTCTGAAGACAGTAATCTAGCTTCTATAAAGTATGCAACAGAAAGGATAGAAGTTTGCAACATTTTTAAAAGTGATGCTACTGATAATTATAAAACTACATTAACCCCGGTGATAACAAATCCACCTGTCGAATTTGATACCCCTTTGAAGTCAGGGTATCATTTGGAAAGGAATAAAAAACATGTTCAACATTATGAACATGGCACAACCGACACACATTTCAAGGCATCTGAGCTAAAAGTTTCAAGGGATGCAGGCGGGGTGAAGGGGATTAATAGTTCCGGGACAGAGCCTAAAAATAAATCCCAGTCAAGAAAATACACAAAAGTTGGCTTCATTCAAAATGATGATCATGAAGTACTGAATAAGGAAATACTGTCAGAAAATGAGAAGCAAATTCCTTCAACAGAAGCAAATCGCTCCAGCGTTTCCAAGGATAATGACGAAGGTGATATAAGTGCTTTAGTCAATATTTCTAATGCAAGCAAAACTAACATTTATTCACATATGTTAGAAGATAATACAGATGGTGGACAATCTTTGAAATCGAAAACGTTAGGATTGGCGAATGATGATAGCCTCGATAAAAATGTGATCAAAGTGTCTCATAGTAATATGACTGCTAATGCAAGTTCACCATCTTCACCTGTATCCACTTCAAATGAACCAATACATGATTCTAATAAAGTCCCACCGTCTAAAAGAAGAACACGCAAGACTAACCGTAAAGCTGCGGTAAGCCGGCATCTAAACAAACGTCTCATGGCCAATAACTTAGAGCCAACAGCTATGGTCGATCAGTCATCGAAATATCATGCTGCTGCAAGAGGCGTATCTACTGAACACACCAGTATGTCTTTAAAATCCAAACAACATTCAGAATCAGATAGTGATGCAACACCAAATTCCTCATTAACCCGAACAATACCAACATCGGAAGTACCTACAACAATATCCCTGAGGCCTGCTTGGTCTGAAAGTTATCACAGTAGTTTTACATCTGATAAAGATAAGACAGATAACATGTTTCATGAAGAAATCAACTCTGCTACTTTCCAACAGCATGAGGATAATCGGACCAAACAAGCTTGTCTACCACCGACAGGATCAAGTAAATGCACAATTTCCTTTGAGGAAACTAATGAAAGCAGTTCGAATAGTTTAAGCCTTACTGACCGGGTGGTTGTTGGTCCTTCACGCTTACCTGAAGGTAATTTAAGTAATTATGAATTTGAGACATTCAGCAAGTCTATCGAGACAAGCAAATATCCATTGAGCAGCAGTAAAGATGAAAACATTGATTTAGAACAAAATGTTTATAAGCAAAGGAAACAGCTGGAAGAATCACAACGAAAACGCATAACGAAACTAAGTCGATTTTATCAGCATGAATCTTTAAAGAAAGGAAAAAACAGTGATTCAGTCAGTAGATCATCACAACGCTGTCATGACAACAATGATGATAATGATGATGATGATGACGACAATAGCAATAATAACAGGCATGATCAACATGAATTCCATTCTGAGAGAAGAAATCCTCAACTGACATATGAAGTAGAAAATGTTTATGTTTTACGTCAGATTCCCTTCAAAAAGCAGGGTGAATTTCAAAATGAATTATCAGCTGAATCAAGAAATGCTGAAAATACTATCCAACATAGTGATGGGATACACTCATCGTCTAGTTTGTTTAAAAATGAAAAGAGAAAAAATGATTCATTCTTGACCGATGATGACTATTCACAGCTTAAGAGACGACAACAGGTTAGTTTTATTGAGTTTAACATAAATTTGTTATCGCCATTGTTACTTCCATACGAAGCTACTCAGTTATGGTAGATTTGACAGTTGGATGGCCATTGTTGAACATGGACCATGATTTGTACTTAACAAAGTAAAAATGAAACTAACCTGTTGATGCTGACTAACAACGGAATCCAGGATGCGCATTTCGTCCTATTTGGGACTCGTCATCCGGATGTACCTGCGTTTCCCAGTGAGTGATGATGTTCCTGCTGAGGCTCGAACCTAGTGCCCATAGTTTCAAACGCCAAAGCGTTATCCACTAGACCACCTGGGCCACGAGAGTCACCTCTTGTGCAACGGGTCATATTAATTATTGAATTGAATTTTTGGTTTTCCCGTCGATTGATTAGACCGAAGTTCTGGGCCTCAGGTTGACATGTCGGCTTCTTGTGCAAATGCTTCGACGATGTCTGAGCAAATAAAAATGACTACAAAATCCGCTTACCTGGTGAAATGCAGTGCAGTGACAGACATTCAGAGGAATTCAATCTACATCAACCGAGAAAATGAATAAAGGAGGTTTAGGAAGATATAGAGAATTCGGCGTGTATGCGCTAGATTGTGCTTCATTTAGGATCACTTTACTGACTGCCTCCATATCTGTACTCATAAAATGTTTAACACCGCCAAAGAAGTAATAAATTCCTTCTTTTGTTCAACTTAATCATTAGACATGACCATAAGTAAGTAGAACTCATAGTGTTCTTATCTCGATTCATTTATACTGTGAATCCGGATTCTAACTAGTGAATTGTCAAATGCCGATCAAGAGGACGTCATCAGGAATCGGTATGAATGCAGTTGAACTATGGAAAGATATTGTATTAAATGTTTGTGTTGAGATGAACTATTTCATGCTTTTACACATGAATGGTCGGGTAATGATAGTAGGTTGATAAATTTTATTTCTTTATTTTCTGTTTCGATGAGAACAATTACGAAAATTAAATAATTAATAGACTTAACAAAAATGTATTATTTTTCAATGAAAACACCATAACTTGTCCACACCTTCAAGAATTATTATACCTATGGCCATTAGACTATCGAGGTATTAGGGGAGCATGCGTAATGGTTAATATTCCACAGTTATTCGAGCTTGGTCACTAAACTAGTCTGAAGGAGTCAGTTGTAAATAGCACTCTCTTCGAGTGGAGTGAGTAAGTTAGGAATCCTTACAGCAGGGAAATTACAAAGATGAATGGAATATATATATATATATATATCCCACATTACTATTTATTATTATTTCCTTTAATTCCCAGAGGAACATAGGGCTTCAGCCGCCCAAGTCTCCATTGCGTCCGGTTCTCTGCCAACGTTTTCACCCCGCTCTAAGTCTGCCCACACGCTTTCATCTCCTCTTCACATCACCTCCTCCAAGTCACCCCACCATCGCACTGACGACCAACTCGCCGATTCCCTTTCGGGTTCCAGTCGAGCAATGGCTTGTCTAGTGATGTCACTTGATGCCGTGTTTTCTCAGAGTATGGCCAGCCAATCCACCTCCATTTCTTCCTGCCTATTTGTTTCACAATCGGTTCCTGCTGTGTTGGTTCGCTCATTGCCAGAGATCCCTGTTTCTGATCTTTTCTGGCCGGCCATCTGATCTTGAACGAAGTATTGAGCGAAGACAACTGTTCATGAAGGTCTATAGTTTGTTTGAGATTCTCTTTACGACGCGCTGGCCAAGTCTCTGATCCGTATAGTGAGTAGCACTGACTGACTTCCCATTGGAATTGAAAATCCGGATGTTATTTTTGATGGTGAGTGCTGTTGACCTCCACACAGACTTGAGAGTAATGAAAGCTTGTCTTGCCTTTCCGATTCTTGCTTTGATAACCTCGTCAGTTCCGTCCACCTGTAGTTGAGACGATGCTTTCCAGGTGGGCAAGTGAAGTAGGTTGCTTCCTTCAGATTTCTCCCATTTACACTGGCTGATTGTTGTCTGTTGTTGTTGCTGCTGTTGGTGTTGGCCAGGAATCTTCATCACCTCGGATATATCCCATATATATATATATATATATATATATATATATATATATATATTCAACTTACCTTCAGTTAAACCTCAGTTGCTTATAACTCATTAGGGAAAGATATTTTTATCTAAACGTAGGGTGTCCAACATTTTTTTGAATGCTTGACTACATTTATGTCCTTCTAAGTGAAAGACACTTGACTCTTCAGCTTGTCTTTGATTGATCTAGTTGAAGGGTTTCAAGTTACAAATCACTACCGATGGGAGAAATCTAAAGGAAGGAGTTTCTTCCACTCATCTCGGTAGTATCGTCTCACGGATGAGGATGTCACAGTCAAACAGATGGTCATCATTCTGGGATCAGTGTAGAGATCTACGGGTTCCATCATGGAGAAAATATATTCAATAAAGCTACACAGTATTGTACAGTAATATTTACTGATGATGTGTCGGGCACCGTTTTTTTACCGCTCATAATCATATCAAGTTACTCACACAACTTTCGGATTTCTTTTATATATTTCCATTATTTCTCATCTCTCCATTTGATTGGTAGTAATATTTGCCGTCATTGCATCATTTATAAAGGCTAGTGTTTATAAAAAGCCAATGCATTCTAATAGATATTTAGGCTTGAACTCATCTCATCTGTTATAAGTGAAGGTAGGCTTATTTAAATGTCTAACAAACCAAGCAATAACACTAAGTAGTCCATCAAAAAACCTAATTGATGAAATAAAACAGATAGAAGAAGCGTTAGTTAGTGTTAAGTAACTATCCTACATAATTCATTAAGAACATCAAAAAAGGTCATAAGAAAAATAAAAATAATTGTGAAACTAATAATGATAATATAAATAGGAAGGGATTTAAAGTATCTACAGTTCTACCTGATAAGGAGAAAACATCTGAAACCCTACGCAGGATTATTCATAAAGCAGGAATCAGGGCGGCATTCAAACCTACAAACTCACTCAGAGACAAGCTCTGTAGGCTGAAGGACCTATCTGACCCAATTAAACAAAATAACATAATTTACACTATACCTTGCAATGACTGTGATGTCAACTATGTTGGTCAAAATAGTAGATCAAGGAGGGGGGGGTCAAGCTATCAGAATATAAGAATTTAGCTAAGGTTAGAATGGTATACCCCGTAAAGACAAGTAAAAAACTTAGCATTTCCAGCGTATGCATTAACCCACAACCACATAATGGAGTAGGATAGGGTTACAATTCTGAAAAGTAACAGAGATAGGTGGGCATAAAGGTTAATTACAGAATCTTTATTCATAGAATCTACACCCAACACGTGCAATAGGAATGAATCATCACCCATAGAGAAATGGAAAATATTGCTACCAATCAAATCGAGAGATGAGAAATGATGGAACTGCATGAACGGAGTCAGGAAGCCTTGTGAGTAGCTTGATATAATTATGAGCGGTAATAAATTACGCTCGACACTTGATCAGTAAACATTACTGTATAACTCTGTGAAACTTTATTCAGTAAATTTTCTCCATGATGGAATTATACCCTACCACAGTGCCCAAGTTCTATTCTTAAAGAAATCTGCAGCGTTGAGCACAAAGAATGAAGTCTGAATTTTCAACACTAATGTCAAGTTGGTGCTTCTGTATGCGCTTCAGCGACTTGACACATCCCGAAAAGTAGCTTAAACATCCCCCATTGAGTCATATAAAAAAGAGAAGACGTTCAGTGAAGAGACTCTTTTCGGCGAATTCATTCACATAACTGTACAATCGCATTTATATATAATTATTTTTTTTGTTTGTGTACATGAGGTACATCATGAAAATATTCAGACTTTCATCAACATCTGCCTTCATAGCCATGCCACTGAAGATCAGATGGCCAGATAGAATAAGTAACAAGGAACTCTGCTGATAAGCTAACCAAGAACCTATTGCCCGATAAATATGACGGAGATGCTGATGAGACTGATGGATGACATCCAACGAGCACGAAGGCCTCTAGTGGTACCCGAATGGGAAGTGATAAGTTGAACATCAGTCGGAGAGTGATATAGAGGAGATCATTTGAGGACGTAAACTAAAGCTTATGGGTCATCGTGAAGCCAACTAGAGAAGACTGCAAAGTACAGTGTGCTATGGAGATGTGCTTCTGAAGCCCTGTACTACTGAAAACCCAAAGGATTAATAATAATAGTAATAATGATATTATTATTATTATAAGTTACCATTAAAAAACCGAAGTCATCAGTGTACACAAGGACTAGTTTGCTACAGCATCAGATAGTGTTGTCTACTCCTAACTACTGAATGGAATTTCTTGATCAAGTATGAAATCCTGTCATTGGATCATTTTCAATGTATTCTCCAAGGAGAATGTAGGAGGATTTCACTTTTAACTGATTACTTAACAAACAACTAATTAGGCAAAAGAAATAGCCTGCCTTTTATTCACATTTAGAATAATTCTCTTAAACTTGCTTCTTCTCTTTAGTATTACTTACAACAAATATTGAATAATGAAGCATTTAGCATGAAATCTGTTCATTTCATCTTTTATTTTATCTGACTGCTTTGAATACCGTTTTCTAGGTTATATCAACAAGTGAGACCGAGGAAGATAATTTACAAAGAAGGTGAGAATGGTATTTGCTTATATTTAACCTACTCCTTAAGTATTTTCTTTTCTTTACAAGATTTCATCATTAGCTGAAATCGGTTACAGAACCATTGGAAAACCTGCATGGAGTACTGGAGAGCTGTTTCGCCTTACTTTGGGACTCCTCATCGGTACACACCCACCGATGTCAGCTCATAATGAAATCCTGTAACTAATCAAATCCCCATAAACCAACACTTGAATATCAATCTGGTGCTCACTAGCGACTGGACCTACTCAGGTGGGTAGTTGCCTGGGTCCTAGCGAAAAGTTTTGACCAGTGGGTGTACAGCAGGTCGGGTGTGAGAACAAATGCGCTCCACCGATGACATTGGCTAGTGATCGTGGCATATTGTGAATTGGCAGAAGTTGGAATTCATGGTCTAGCAATTAGATCGGATCCCAGTGACTTAATGGTCTACGAGCTCGCCTTGTAAGTAGAAGGTTCTGGATTCGAATTCGGTCAGTGAGTACTGTGAGGAGTCCCAAACTAGGACGAAACAACTTTCCAGTACTCCATGCAGGTTTTCCAATGGTTTTCTAACTGATGTCAGCTCATGATGAAACCCTGAAACCAACCAAATCCCTGTAAATCAACACTCTAATTTTATTTTCTGTCTATACTCTAGGTAGGTAGGCTTTTATTATTCAGAGATCAGTGAATAGTTAAGTAGTCTGTTATAATCTGATAGTTTTAAAAGATTTTTGAAGTCTAGTAAGTGTTGACTGTCCTCATTATCACCTTTAGTGCCAGTGTCATTTTTCAGTCCTTATTGTTTACGACTTGCAGCTGACATAATACGTAAATCAACACACGATTCTTCTAGTAACCGAAAGTATCTGGCATCTTGATAGTTTTGCAATTAATGGTTTTCTTTGAGCTGGTTGGTTTAGTTGTGGATCTTTCGTCGTCCTCCTGGGCAACATCTTCAGCACAATATTTAGCATAAAGTCAAATGATTTAAATTTCTTCATGAGTGATATAATTGCGTCTCCCGATAACCATCTTTACCTATGTATTGACCATTTTCTGTTGACATGGATTTTAAACTTTCTGGTCACATGATTTACTTTTTATCACTTGGTATATTTGGTCTATATTAACGTGTTTGTTAATTGCATATTCATTTGAGTACCAGGCGTCTAGGGATTTCCTGGAACTTTTGATGTTTCGTCTGTCTGAGATTTCGACATTATCCCAATCAAATTGATGTCCATAATTGTCTATATGCATTGATATGAAAGAATATATATCGTGTCTTTTCACGGCTGATTTGTGTTCTTGGATTCTGATTCGAAGGGGATGCCCACTCTGGCCTATGTAATGCATGTTACAGTTGATACAATTTATTTTGTAAATGGTATTAACTTTATCTCCTTTTTCTGTTGGATCTTTCGGTTTGCATAATATCGAATTAAGCGATTTGACTGGCTTGTGTGCTATATCTATATGAAACGAATTCAGTATTCTAGCTGCTATTTAGAGATATTTTCATGTATGGTAGTTAGGATGAATTTTCTTGTGATCTTTGATGATGGTTCCTTGTTGGTGTTGTGATTCGATTTTAAACACTTTTTGATGAAATTTTGTGGAAGACCGTTTGTAGGTATTTTTCTTCCATTCTTTCCAACTGTGGAGTGCTACAATGTGTTTGAACTCTTTTAAACAATGTCTGCACACAGTTTCTCTTGTGAGTAACTGGATTATTGCTAGTATAGTTGATCATTTGATCTGTGTTCGTTGATTTTCTGTCTACTTGTGTTTCTAAATTTTCTGTGTTGGTTCTCTTGATTAAGACATCTAAAAATGGGATTTTGTTATCTAATTCTTCTTCTCTTGTGAATTTGATGTCTTCAAATATGTTGTTTATTAATTTATGGATATATTCTAAATTATTTCTCTTAATTATTACAAATGCATCATCAACGTAATGCAGTTTATTCAGATATATAAGGATTATTTTGACCGAATTCTAATTCATTCATAATCCTGTGTATTTGGAGAACCTAGGACACCTCTAGCCCTTATATTCTTTTGACCATTTTCATGGTAATTTTAAACAACTTCAAACATTTACTTCCATCAGATGGGGAGACTGCACTAAAAGTGTCAATCAGGTTGTAATTTACACATTTCCGTAAGCGAAAATTATGAAAGAGTTAGAATTTGAATAAGAAAATAGTCAGATAGATGCTTGTAATGGTAAGCGAGGAAAAGATTTTCAAAGGCAAAACATTTTTTAGAGATTATATCCACTGTGATTGTATTGGCTGAACAGACTTTTTTGTATTCACAAGTCATTTAGAAAAATATATGGGTCGTTATTGCTTTCGGTTCATATTATTGCTGCGTATTCTGTAAATACATACAAGTTAACTGTAGCGTCTTTGGTTCAATTGTTTCCATAGTTGTAACTACAAAGTAATCGGATGACTTTAATTACAAGTTGATATTAGTTGAACACAATATTGGAAATAAGCAACTTATTGGACCAATTACTTTGTTACTTTTTTTCCGTAAAACTATAACTGGAATTATGTTATGTTATGTTGGTGAAGTTCAACAATAGCGTCTTAGGAGTGCGAACGCTCCAACGACCTTGAACGCATACTAGTCGTTGGCTGACGACACCTGTCACTATCATAACTGAAATATCAACGCTATTCACCAACTAAACGGCAAATTTCATTCAGATCACGTTTTTAAGTAATGTTTGGACAATATGTTAATAGTTCGTTAGGGTTAGGATTAGGATTAAGGTAAGTATTGAGGCTACGGTTGCGTTGGTGGTATAGCGGTTAGGACGCTCGCCGACCTCGCTGAGCCAGAAATAATGCTTGTGAAGAGGAAAGGTTAGGTATAAGGCTAGCAACCTCATCGTATAAAATAATGACTACTACAGAAACTTCAAGTCAATAGCTTGAAGCCCTATGTTCCACTGGGGAACGTGAAGGAAGAAAATTAGGGTTAGGTTCAGGATCAGGATCATAATTAGCATTAGGGTTAAGATAAGGGTTGTAATTAGGGTTAGTGGTAAGTTTAGGATTAGGATCAGAATTAAGGTTAGGGTTAAGACTAGGGATAGATTTAGAGTTGATGTAATTTATTTCAATTTGTTTTATTATCCACATTTTCCTGGTAAGTAGTCGCTGGTCTTCTTACTGGAAACCATAGTAATTCAACCGAGGACTTTTGGGGAAGACTGCACAACAGGATAAGAGAGATAAACAGTTCATAAAAACAGCTTATGTTTAGCCTCCTCGGTGAATACATGTACAGGAACTAGTCTAACCTATCGACTGATACTCCTCATTATAACTGGGACGTGTCTTTAAGCCGTGTCAGAAAAAGATACCCTTTTTAATGTGTTTTCAGACATTTTCTTGTAAATATACGCCATTTTTTGTGCAAAAATCACTAATGTTTATGATTGGCCAGCTGAAGGTCACTCGTGCGTTCGCATCCCTTGAGACACTATTGTTGAAGTTTACCATTATGTCATCTCTCAAGACATGTAACACAACCAGAGATTGATTTTTTAAACCTACCAACTTGGAAAACAGCATAACTCATTTTCATGCTTCAAATGAAAATTACACCCAATTCATATTGATTAGTAGTTAGTCATGGTTTACAACTTTCGATATTTTTTAAAAATAATTATTTCTTTTTTTCTTTTGCTTCAGAGAAGAGTTAATCAATGCCAAGAAAAGTACATTAAAACGAAGATGTTGTCGATTATTACCATGGCTTTTATTATTACTACCACTCTTATTTCTCTTCTTTGTCTTGTTATGTACATTCGTCATACCTGGTTGTCCTTTACTTCTACCATGGTTTATATGTGATGAAAGAAGTCCAACTGGAGAATGGATTTTCAGGTCATTTGTAGTATTCCGTATACGTGAGCCACCCTTTTAAATATTAAAAACATAAACATCATTATTGGAACAGGTTCACTAGTATAGATCAATCCACAGCCGTGTGTTTGTTTATCTTCTTTCCTTTCCATTCACTACTCCTCATTATACATCATCACCTCATAAAAACCTCATTGATATATTGCATTTGTGATTTATAATATTCTTTGTTTTATTCTACACTTGGTTGATGTACACAAGTGACTCTCTATATATATTTCTTTTCTTCCTTTTATATACTCATAGATTGTATGTTCAATAATAGTAATAGTAATCACAATTGTTTCTAATCTCTCATCTCATATATTTGTATACACATAACTAGTGTGTAGCGTGAGAATTTCACTCACTCACTCTCTCTCTCTCTCCCTCTGACTGTCTGTGTATATGTGTGTATAGTTCAGTACTAAACTGTGATATGTACACACATATCTGTGCACAACATCTACTTAACTTATACCTACCTGAATGAATACCTGATTTTTATACTATACTATTGCACAGAAATTCATTTCTCCCACTCTTTGTCACTCTTATCACTCCTCCTAATCATCACAGAGAAAAGGATGGTGTGGTGTGGTTTGCTACCGTCTTCATTCTGTGTTGCTGTTTTTCTTTTAAAATTTTTTTTTTTCAAACATTAGTGTATCATAAAGTGATCTTGTACACTATCTATGTCAAGTGTGCTTTTTATTCCTTCATTTTTACTTTGTTTTAATATGTACAGTAGTGAGTGATGGTGACTATTTTTTTTTAAATTTATTATCTGCGCCATCCACTTGGTTTAATATACACTCTCTTTTTTTCTCATTTCATCAAACACATTACTTTTCACTTCTCACTTCATTTATATACGACTTTGTATTTCTTTATTAAAATCTTTTTTGGATATTTTAAATATTGTATGAAATATATTTTCAAATTTGAAGGAAAAAATAATGATAATAAAAAGACACTGAAATTTGTTTTACTTATTTGATAAGATGAATTCTTTCTTGTTTGTTTTCTAAAAAAATTTAGTGTTTCATTTTCAAAATGGATTCCTTTTGGTTCTTGTTGACATCTGATCAGATATTGAAAATCGTTTGCTTTTGACAAATAAATAGAATGCACAATGTAGACAGCATTGCAGAGCCCGAAACAGTTGAAATCGATTAGGCATATCAAAACTCTTTCATTCTGAATGAACCTAGATTACCTTACTATGATACACCAATCTCTGATAGGTATTTATCTAGTAGTGGTATGGAGTCTGTAGATGGTAGAGCTTCCGAATAATGTTGGCAGTTTACTCAGTGAGCACAAGAATCTGTAAGATTTGATAGTGTGAAATATTCCCATATTATGAATTAAAAGTCAATCTGAACGAAGAATATTCTTTTCAATAATTTCTCTTCAGGTTCTTACAATTATAAAATATAATATTTGTGGTCGTTACAATAAAGATAGCCAGGTATGCGGCGGATACATTTTTTTCAATTTTTTATATTTTTTTAACGTAGAATAACAGATTAGTAAGAACCTGAAGAGAAATTATTGAAAAGAATATTCTTCGTTCAGATTGACTTTTAATCTGTAAGATTGGTTACAGGTCTACGAGCTCACCTTGTGGCCAGAAGGTCCTGGGTTCGAACCCTAGTGGGCACGTAATGTGAAGAGTCCCAAACTAGGATGATGGAAAGAGCTGTTCAGTACTCCCAGATTTACTAATGGTTCTCTAACCGATGTGTCAGCTCATCATGAAATCATCCAACCAATCAAACAAAATCTCGACAAGACCAATTCTTGAAAATCTGTAACATACCAAAAGAGAAACGTGAACTGATAATTTAGCGAATACTCAAAGCGCTTTCTTATTTACTAACGAGGTTAAGAAAATAGGACAGTGCTTAAACTGAAAGTGGAAATAAAAGTAGTAAACTTTTAAATCGCTGTTTTGTTCAATATATTATGTGAAATTATAGTTTCTTTTTCAAAGCGGTGAAAAATTATAGCTATCTTCTAACGCCAAACACAAATGAATATAGTAGAGAAAAGTAGGAAATCCAATTTATCTTTTTCCAGGTCCATACAGTCGATTTATCCGAAAAATATGATCTAATCCAACAGATTACCATGGTGTTCATGCCACTCAACTATACCTGGACATTTCTAGAGATATTTTATGTACTCAGTTCAAACTGTTTATACAGTTAATTTTGTTTATTCTTATTGAATATCAACTGTAGTGGTGGGTAATTCCCCGGAGTTATTAGCCACAGGATTCATCACCGAACATCAGATGCTGACCCTCACTGTTTAAGTCGACTTGTTTAGCTGAGGGCTGACAGTAAAACATCCACGCCACTTAGCAGCCCATCGTGTTACTTTCGTTTGTTCGTGCACAATCCCTAGCTAGTTAAGTAGTCAACCTCCCACTAAGATTTGGTCCCGAAATATACTTCGTAATTTGAACGATCAACCTTGGTGTTTTACTTTGCCTTTGGTCTATGCGGAACGAATACTATAGAACTTGTGGGTATTATGTCTTGCGTTAGTATACTTCGTACTATCTGTGAACGTCAACACCCTAAGCCACTCAACAACTAACAGTTACAACTACGGTTTCTTAAACCCTATGCATTAGCCCCTCAGCTTTGATTACTATTATTATTGTTGTTGCCGTCAAGTCGACTCAAAATCTTATGTTTTCACTCAGCTACACTTGAGATGAGACTTATCGGAGGTCTATTCTACTGAGCATAAAAGCCCCACGAATAGAATTTTACCAATCAAAAAGTCACATTATAAGCACCTTGAGCAGTCGAAGCTTCGCACTCAGTTGCAGTCATTGCTGATAAAAATGAACAGGCTGTACAGATGTTTTGGACTAATTCCTGCATATCCTTAGCTGTGACTAACTTAGAAGGTTGTCAAGTTCTGAAATGAGTAGCGTCCAAAGGTTTTCAATCAGCTTAATATGCGACGTACTTTCACCTTGCTTCCACAAATAGGAACTGACATCAAAGAAGATAAGTAAGTAAATTTATTACTTGTCATTTAAAAGGAGTCAGCTACCTGACGTTTCGAAATGACTTAGTCAATATAGCTACTGAACGCTAGGGGACTAGGAGAGTCGACCAAATGAGCGTCTCATGGGATAGCGAAACCGAGGATATAGAATTATCGGCTTCACACTAACTATAAACCAAGAATATGAGGTATGTATGCATTATTATTCGTAGTTCTTAATAGGACACCATATCTCCATTTAGTCCTGTTCTCCCCACTCCTCGTTAGCTGGCTCCACAACTTCCCACAGGCTATCATATCCTCCCCATATGGTATCTTTCGGGTCACCCTAGGACGCCCAACTTGCCCTTTCTCGCTCAGGTCTCACTCGAGGGCTTGGTTTGCGATATCATTCGCAGGTCTCCTCAGCGTGTGTTTGGACCATCTCCATTTCCTTCTGCACGTTTGTAGAGCAGTAGGCTCGTTGTTGGTCCACCCCAGAGTTCTTTGTCACTAATTCTTTCTGGTCAGCTAATTGATCTTCTGTATGAAGCCAGAGAAAACAGATGTTGACATAATTGTGGTGGCCTGTTGGGAATGCTTTTTACGAGAGGCCAAGTTTCTTACCTGTATAGAAGAACTGACTTAACATCGGTGATGAAAATCCGGATTTCCTTGTATATGCTAAGTGCAGTAGATTTCCAAACTGACTTCAGAGTGATGAAGGTCTATCTCGTCTTTTCGATCCCTGCTTTGACTTCCTTATCCATGTCATCTGCGGTTGTAACGATGATGACTAAGTAAGAGAAAGAGGTGACTTCCTTTAGATTTCTCCCGGTTGACAGTGATGAGTACCTGTTTCTGTAGGTTGTTTCTCTTCTTCACCCCTATCTTCTCCGTGTACACTTGAAATCCCGTCTTCGCTGCCTGCATCTTCTGTCAACTTGTTGATCTTTTCTCGTAGATCTTCAAATTTAGTTTCGACATTTAACATAAATAATCCACAAAGTTAAGGTCTCTCAGGGTCTTCTCGATGGAACAACATTCATTTATTTTCTCATTCTCTTCGATCAGCCTTGTGATCCTGTCTACCATAGTTTGTAATGTCATCGGTGATGTTAGGCAGCCTTGTCTTACTCCTGATTTCAGTTCAAAGTCTTCGTCTAGTCTTTTATTTAGAATCACCAAACATGTGGCATTATCATATGGTTGTTGAATGAGATTGATAAGGGTGTTACAGCTAGTGCACTTTCAAGGAAGAAATATACTCAGTCTTCAACCCAAAATCCAAAACAGAACCGTCCCCAGCAGGTTAATATTGAAACAGAAACTGTTGTAGATACCCCAATGATTTCTGTTCTTTCTAATGAAGTACACTGGGTAATAACAATACAGGCCTTACATTTTGAATTTTTCGGAGTCCAAATTCCAAGGTGACAACATTTTAATGCAAAAATGCCTCACAGTTAACAAAAATGCTCACCGAAACAAAAAATATACGCAACTGTCTAAGACGAACTACAAACAGTCTAATCTACGTGAAATTTTAAAATAATGTGCAGAGCAAAACTTTAGTATCTGAAGGTAAATTATCAAATGTGACGGGGAGTTTGGAACACTTCGTAGTATTGGATCAGTTTCCAGATTACCTTGCCATCAATACTGTCGAAGGTCTTTTCAAAGTCGTTGGTGTTGAGGTAGAGACTACACTGTCGTTCTATGAACCGTTTCATAATGATGCATAGCTTTGCGAATTAGTCCGCGTAGGATCTGCTTTTCTTAAATCCAGCTTGTTCCAAGAGTAGATTTGCATCCCCAGCAGTTTTAGTCCCTCCAGGATGATACGCCATAGTATTTTGCAAGTAGTAGACAAGAGTATGGTTCCGTCCCAGTTTATGCTAACGTTGAGTCACCTTTCTTGTAGAGTTCGGTAAAGTAGGTATTTTTTCAATCAACAAGTAGTTTTACCTAGGTCTTTGACTGTAAGTTGAAAATTTGCAGAGGTCATTTCCGTTCCACCTGCTTCCACCGATACCTAGAACTTATCTATTATACCTTCTGAGTTCTACCCAGTCTGATTAACCTTGACACCTTCAAACGTTGTGTGGACAATCTGTTTGTCTATGACAATTTCTCCAGGCTGCTTTCACGAAGGCTCTCACTAGGAGGCGTCTTTTTGCCTCCTTGATTTCCATTAGGTTTCCCTTGGCGCAGCCACAGGTAAGCATGATTGTCTACCACCAGTGAAATAAAATAACTGTTGTTTCTTTTGAATAGGACCACAGTGTGCCTGTAATTGCAGAGGTAGTATTGGAGTTCAATAACCTCTTTCGAACCACTTTTCCGGTTAACGAAACGAAGTCGGATGCGCTCCTGGCTTCTTCTGCACAGTATACCAAGCTTTCTTGGGTAACACACAGTCAAAGATTATATTTTTCAGTCACATGGAGACAAAATTTAACTAGATAAGATCTCTGTTATTCATCAGTGCCAATGGGTAATAGTAGAGCTCAAAGACTTCTCAAAACGAAATATGTACTGTGAACTGGCAGAAAGTTTAACTAAAAACGTTGAATAGGAATTCTGTCCGCGAGGACAGAACCCAGCAATAAAAGCTATCGGTCAATAATCAATGGTCATGCAGTCAATAAAGACAGGAGTAAGACGGGGCTACCTATTATTAGGCAGCACTTATTGTGATTCCGATTATGATACTACGGTCCATGTTCTCATGTTCTACCATGTGCCAACGTTGTGCTCGTCAAAAACGAACAACAATATATTAAGAAGCACAAGTGAAAACTTGACGTGTATTGTTAAGGCAATGGATAGCGACACGCACGGCTTATGGAGAAGCTGAGCACTCCAAGGTCACTTATGCGTATAGCGAAATCAAATTTCAACAAGTGCGAGGTGAACGCAAAAGTGCGCAACGCGTAATATATACAACAAACGAAAATCGACGTTCAATAATTCAATGGCAGATACACTACAGAAATACTGAAAACTGGTTTCAGTAAGTGAAAAACAAGCGTACATGAATTGGCTTTGTAAGCGTACGGTTTGAGTTAACAAGGGGGCGCTATATTATTTTAAAGGTTGACGGTGCAGTGGATAAAATCCTAATTTTCAACGCTCAATTTAGTTAGGTGGTTCTAATGACTCTCAAGCTTAGCGCACTCCACAAAATTCAGGCTTCGAACTCACATGAACAACTAGTTGCTCTAGCTCCATACTGCAGGTGAGGTGGCTGACCGGAAAGGACAAGTTACAAGGAACTCTCGAAGAAATCCAGGCCATAATCGACCACACAGCAAATAATAATATATATTTATCCTTATCTATGTGCGTCGGTGGCACAGTGGTTAGGATTCTCGCCGACCATGCACATGGTCCGAGGTTCGATCCTCTGCCGACGAACACCTGATATCTATGGTCGGCCTGCAACATTTGGGCTACCGATATCCATGCTGAAAATTCCATACTTATACCAAAAATACAGTGTGGAATCAAGCTGTAATAAAAAAAATAAAATAAAAATAAATACCAAGGGGGGCATCGAGCTATATCATTCCGTCGAATGGAACCTCGGCGAGAAACACGTTGAGCATCCGAGAGCGACATGAGGAGAGTCGTGTGTGGGTTTTTTGTAATATATAATATATATTTATTCCTATATATGTAGACAGAATACATAAATCGATTATACATCGACGGAAATTTAAGCCATCATCAGATGATCAACATCTGGTTGATTGCGTAGCCTTGATGATCCTCCGAAACGAACCACTCAAAATTTTTCCAATCAGGTTAATACGTTGGCGCATTTATCAGTCATTACTTCACGGCAGACGAACTGAGTAATGCTGTCATAACTATGAATTATATTTTCCGTCTTACAGTTGCTGTCCACACTCCCAGTTATCATCGTAAAAACCGACGAACCATCAGATGGCTTATCACATACGAGTCTGAGGTGTTGGATGTGTAGTGGAACAGAAGAGTTTGTCAATTCAATTGAATCCTGGATATTTCGCTTTCACTGGTCATCATGTTTATTTCTGCTGACTGAATAAGATTACAGACACCAAGGTTTTGCGAGAAAAAAGAGCCCGGAGGCTGTGCGTTGTAGTGTGATTGTATATCACTGTACTGGCTTCATACCATTGTTATCAAACACATTTTCGAATAGCCGTAAGGGTCATATTCCCCTTTTTGAAGCCGGGGGAGGGGTGTGAGAGCAGCCTGACTACCAGGTTGGGTGGGCCAGTCTTAGTTGTCAGCAATTAGTATGGCCAAAGTTAAGGTCTAGCAGGATGAATGGCCATGCAACAATCGTGAGCGTTTAGGAATGAACTTTTCAGCCAAAACGATTACTCAAACTACAGACTTACAACCTGTTATATTTAATATAGTGTCTATGAAACTACTTCCGAAAGCACAGCAGAGGGCAAGTGAAGCTGGGAATACTTACTGAAACAAATGGAAGGGCATTCATCTTTCGGCAGGTAATGAAGGCCTCACAAATCATGGAGAAGAAATGACTCCTACTTGGTTTCTTGTTCCACCCTTCTGACAGCCTTAATTGGCTAAATCATATGTGTGACCATAGAGTACGGTGTTGTAGAGGCTCTGAAAGCGTTATTTCCAGTTAAACCCGATCAGAACTGAGCTCTAGAAAGTTCAAGCAGCGTAACTAACTGTTTTTTACACGTCTAGATAAGTCAGTAGCGGTTTCCGTGGGCAACATTTAGTCGAGTAAGTAGTGTTAATCGCTTTTCTAATAGAAAAGGTCGTATATCCTAAGGATGTTCACTCGTTCCTATAGGCTTTTTCAACAGCCTACAAATGGTCTTAAGGTAAAGATATGTGTTACGAGAATCGCGACCTCACAGTTTCTGGGGGTATGTAATAAAGCCAGTACATAGACTAATAGGATAGTCTAAAGAAGAAATTTATACATGTAGTCGAGAGAACATTGAGCTTTGCGAAAAAGTCGCTTTTTTATAGGCTGACTGAATTAATCATATTTGGAGGCTGAAAAAGTATCTTCAATTCATAAATGGTAGCAATCTGAGCTTCTAATAAACTGCTATTTCGACAGCAAAAAGAATTCATATGTGAGGACAGACAACAGCATTTTACTCGCGTGGAAATATTGCACTTATTTTAACTGTGACATCTCAAAAGTTTTCCATGAAGTTGATTTTGAACACTCAACTAACGGGATGAATTTGATTTGGAATAACTCCAGTATTTACACAATATCTAGAATCATATTTGTCGACAGTTTGCTTAGATCCCACGTATACGAAGTATTATTCAAGGAAACAGGTTGCTAAATGGAGTCATGAAGGGTTAATCTAATGCTCCCTATCTTCTGGCTAGCACTAGCAATTTATCGAAATGCTTCTCCGCAGAACTTTTACATTTGCCCAATTACCGTAAGTAATAGGCTAGTTAAATGAATTATACTAGAAAAACAACTTACATAGATGATGATGCAATTGAACGGTACTCTCATAAATCCAGGGTGGTTCACATATTGCACGACGTATTTGACGGGTAAGGGCCTGGTAAACTAGCTCCGAAAACGCCTTTAAAAAACCTTAATTGAATGCGGAATACACAGCCGAATTCTAAGAACCAGTTGGTTTGCCCTTTCATTTCATTGGAAATCTACTCCGAGATGCTGAAACCAACTGGGTGAGAGGTCTCTTTCATTGTGTCATGCCAAACTTAACTACCTTCGGTATATTTTGGTCGACATTTGACTAAGGATTCCGCATTCAATTTTGTCCAGCTCAGTTCTTTTTTATGTAAGTTTACACTCCCATCATTTTTCTGGCTTGGTTGTGCAGAACTAGGAATATTCAATTTTACCACCATCACATTTTTAATATGACTTGAGTAGCTAGAATGTTGAAACCACAACGCCCAGTATCATGCATTACAAACCATTTCGCCTAATAATTCCTCTATACCCATTCTTTTTATTATTATTTATCTCTATGCATACGCTTCCATGCCATTTCGCATTCTCACAGAGTAAATAGCTTGTAGATACGTGTATATGTGAATACCAGTCTGTAGTTATGCTTAGATAAAGTGGTTCATACATGCTGAAAACTTAAAAATATAAGGATATAAAGATGTGTATATAAAGTACACTTGTTTATTATTACTATGACTGAAATTACTGACCACTCACCGAACACCTAAATGATCTTCAAGCAATCCCGCATCTGTATGAGATGAGTTATTTGCCAGAGCATCACAACTTAGCAGTGTGAACTGCCCCAGTATTCTTGACAGTAATATGCAAACATGTAAGACGTCTTTTCCAGATAACAAGAGGAATTCACCATGTAATGAATTTAACCTGAATGTCATTACTTGATGAAATACTCATGTCTGCTAGAACAAAGCTAAAGAGGTTTTTATGCAAATCGGTCTTTCAAGAGCATATTTATATCTTAAGTCTACAGTGCACTCTTCTAATATGTGAAATATGATATCTACAAACCCCGCCCACAAATGTTGGTACAGTAAACATATACTACCATTGTCCATTATTGTTCAGAATGCACTGAGACTTTTAGGGCTATATTTTTTAAAAAACCGACTTGAGATTCTTGTAAATTGAGTTTTCGTTAACAATAGCCAATAACAACAGAATATGAGAACCCAAGTTGAAAACCGGTAATTATGAACATATTCGGTACGCGAGAATGGCTTTTAATATCGTCTTGACGTTTTGTTCTTGGTTCGCTTGTTATCTTTTCATCATATTTCCCTCTATGAAGTCATCTTAATTCTGCTGTCTTAGCTTCTCAGGCTCGCGAGGTAGTTACACCGATTCTGCTGCAAATTCTCAATTTAGCTGAAAAATAAGACCTTGATTTCATTCAAAATGCATTCCACAAAAATATCATCTACAACTTCACATTTACATTTACCTCTCCTCAAGGCTATTTCGTGGTTATAATCTCGACCAGTCACTCCATTATGATGGACTTGAAGTTTGTTCCGTTTCTGCACAGAACACTAAGTTCGTTTCCGTGTGTCTGCAGTGCTTCTTACTTCGTATGACAAATAGCTGGTGTCACCACGACTACTTACGTTCACACCTTGTCACATAAAAAACCACATTCCTCTCTCAACATAACGATTTCCTGACGTCGGAAGCCAGCTGGCTTCCGACGTCAGGAAATAAATAAATAAATAATACAAGTCTTTTAATTTCACTAGTGAAATTAAAAGACTTGTATTTTTTATTTTTGATTACAGCTTGATTCCACACTGTATTTTTGGTACAAGTATAGAATTTTCAGCATGGATATCGGTAGCCCAAATTTTCAGCCCAAATATGCATTTAGTGCAAAATGTATTCAGTGTTTTTGCATTACAGACAGTTCATAGACTATTCAAGTGATGTCAACCCAGTGCTTTGCGCAACGCCAATTGACCCTTCAAACTTTTTCTCTCCATCTAGGATATATTTACGAAGGTTCTCAAACCGAGGTCGACTAAAATACGCGTGGAATTTAGATTCTCAACGACTGGAACTCTTTACCCGACTCATTAGTATTAGCTCCATCGGTGAACGCTCCTAAAGAGAAACTGGATCGTGAGGATTAACATGGGCAACAGAAGACTTTCTATCCTAATAATCTGAATCTGGAACCGACTACCTTCTGATAATAGATCCTATGATAAACTCAACAGGTTCAACATGTCCACCCTAGCTTGCCTGAAAGGTCACAACTCTTGGTAAACGGCAAAACAAAAACAGTGCATTTTCTGATTGAGGCACTCAAGCAATCTTAATTCTATTACCACTGCAGGGAAGGCTCCACCAGCTAACTAAGTTTCCTTTCCTTTATACCTTGCAGTGAGTAGGTTTAGTGTAATTATTTTTAGAAGAATTGTATCGGCAACTATACCTTCTATTACTATGCGGCATAGAACATTCTCGATCTGTGTAGGAATGACTAACGTCAGCAAATCGTTTACTGTTGTTTTCCATTTCGCGGAAGTGTATAATTTTTTGGACATTCGTGATATCTATTTTTCATAATCTAATGACAAGTTTAAAAAGCGCTGCGTTAATTTTCTGCAACACATAAAAAGAAAGATCATAAAGTCGTAAAAGGCCTGAAATAAATGTTGTCAGTGAAACAAAGGAGAAAACAGAGAATGTGGGATAGGGATTTAGGGTGTTAATCATCAATGTTTATGGAGTACTTGTTGACCTTATTGTGGGTCAAGGGTCGGTTTGATTATTATTGTTTGTTACCTCTAAACTCACCTAGATTATCCCGTTTGTGTATTCATTTGTCTGTCTCATTTACACTGTCTCTCACACCACTGCCTACATTCACTCTTGCAACCTGTATTTTATGTTCAGTACATATAGACTATTTCATTTTGTATGGTTTTAAAGGACAACCAAAGCTCACCGACTATGATTCCATCTTGTACTTGTACCACAATACACTTTCTGATCTAATTCTGATTGTCTGTACTAGCTATTTTATGCTGAAACCAAAAGATTTAGAATTATGGAGACAAGCGACAAATTGATTGTTAGAGGTTGTCCGCTCAAATGTTTGTTGTTTGTTTGCTGGAGGAATAGTACGCCGTGATTTTTTGTAAGTCTTAGACGCTTTTAGGCTGTACTTTTCCGCTTGTGGGGTGTTGAGTCAAGTACTCTGGGCTTAGAATGTGAGTGGACTAATAATATTTTTTCTTCAGTTCGGAGCATGCTCACTCTGAAATGCCTCTGGAGAAAAGATATCTGGAATAGTCATTTTATCTCGGGTATATTTTGTTCTCAATAGTTTGAATTGTTTTGCTTATTTTTCCTTTTTGTGATTGTACTAGGCTTTGGTTTTGTTTTGTTCAAATTGTGGTTTGATTCAGTATTATGTAATTATCACTTTTACGAATGTGTGCTGCAGTCGTTTGCCTTATTCTCGAATCGGGCTCGAATGATAATTTTTAAGATCTAATATAGTACGATATCCAGTATGCTCACCTTCGATCCAACTATCTGAGTAGTAATATATTTCTTATGTTTTAATTGTAGTTAAATTTGAACCTGATTATGATGTGGTTTTGTTCTCTGAGCTGGATGGTTAATTTGCGAAGCTTTCATCACCCTACTGGGTGACGTCTTCAGCGCATACTTCAGTTTGAAGTCAAATGAAGTCAAAACAAAACCACATCAAAATCATCCACCTGAGCTACAAATCTTCTCTATCATATCTGAACCTGATTATGCATATCATTTGCCAGTCTCATACGAAACACAGTTTGTGTTGATATGTGTAGCATTTGCTTGGTACATTTACCAGTGGTTGACGATCAGTATTAGTTTTGTGATCCAGATACTCTACGTATCTCTATGTCACACAAGATATTTTAGCGTTTATGATACTATCCAACGAATCAGTCTAGAGAATACTGAATGAAAGTTAGAACCATCACCCAATCGTGTAAACTTATGTAGCCAAGCTACTGAACCACCTGTCTACTAGCAAAGTATGTCGATAAGTTTCAGGCATAGTCTCTTGTAATTTCGCTCAGGCAGTCATTGTTTTAGTCACTACTATGTGGTTACTGTCATAAGACCGACTTAAACGGCTTTAGTTCAAGATAAGGGGGTAAAACCTAGCAAGCTAAATAACACTGTGAACAGCGGGGAATAATGTTAGGGAAAGAGATAGTTAAAGCATCTCTAGGGTGATTAAATAGGCAAACATGAAAGGATATGACGCATAAGACTATTTCCAAGAAACACTAGCCTCAAAACAGCTGAAGCCTTGTGCTAAACACTGAATAACAGTAGGGATAATATTCATAATCTATATTTATCCACCAAGGACTATTATTTTTCAGGTGCTCGAATGTCTCACTCTGGAACAAAAAGTCGCAAATCTAATCATTTAGTATCGCAAACAAATGCATCAGTCAAAAGGTTGAAGACCGTGGCAAATGAGAAGAATTTCTACTGGTCAAACTTAATCCTTCGTTTCATTGTATTTTGTATAGCAGTAACTGCTTGCTATTTACATTGGTTTCATGTTTCAAATCTTCATGAAAATGATCTTTTTTTCTCGCATTTATCCAATATGGAACGTGAACTGACATTCAGAACTGAAATGGGGTTTTATTATTCTTATTTTAAGCAGGTAAAGTCAATCATTTTTCCTATTTTGATATTTGGAAATGTATTTACTTACTTCTGAATGTAGTATCCTATGGAGTGAGTTCAGTCTTTTTTTCTAATCCTTTACGTTCCCAGTGGAACATAGGGCTTCAAGCTAGAGGCTTGAATTTTCGGTAGCAGTGGTGTTTATTTTTACGGAATAGGGTTGCTAGTCTCATGTCCAACCTGTTTACCGGTCACATTACTTGCTTAGCGAGGTAAAGGAGTGTGTCGGCCAGGGATGGAACCCCGAACCACCTGCGTGGTTGGCGAGCATTCTACCACTATGCCACCGACGCAGTCATTACACCATATTATTAAAATAAATATTTGATCTTAGTATTTTTTCAAATTTTCACTAACTGCATAGTGTTCTGTTATAAAAATAAAAAAAGACACTTTCCTCAACTTTGGAATGTGTGTAAAATCAATTCTCCAAACTTTCATAGTCAAGTAAGTGGAGTCTTATTTTTAGTTTTGTGATATATTTTTACTTATCTAAGCGAAATAACTCAAATGATATATAATAATGGCTTTATTCCAAACAGTACTTTTGGTACAAATATGGAATTTTCAGCATGTAGTGGAGTATTGCATCTAACTTTCTCATTACATGCGTAATAATTAAAACAGGGCATTTACATTGATAATATTGTAAAATAAGTGAGTGAATATAAAATGGAAATTAACTGAAAATATTAACAACAATGTAATAATGAGAAAAGTGGGGCCATTTACTTAGAGTTCCCCAGTAATTGGCAATTTCCTACCTTGTACTGTTCTCATCATATAATATATGTGCTAGATAAGGTATCGTAGAGTATTTGTACTTAGTCGTCTGAGCATACAGTCTTCTATAGTTGCTTCTAGTTCTACCTGATGACGTAGATGATAGGAGAGAGTTGTGTGTAGAGAGGGTGCTCAGAATCTGACAAGATAATATTTGCTAATCTCTTGCAGGAGTCCATGTGTCTATCTATAATGGTATTGACGAGTTGGTTTAAGAACACTCCACTCACCCCACTGACGGCTTTTAGTACCCTTCACAGTATAAAAAAGCCTTTCTTAAGTACCCTCGGATAGGTTAACGGGGAGCAATAAAAAAGTATAGTCAGAATATATTGTTAGGTATATATATATACTGGCGTGGAATTATGCTCCTGTCCATCCGAAGACAAATACTAGGCCGCATCATCCTGGAGAGAATCATACAAGACCTGGATGCAAAACTCCGGCCGGAACAATCTGGATTCAGGAGAAACAAATCATGTATTGATCAAATCGCCACACTACGGATAATCATTGAGCAAAGCTTGGAATGGCAGTCACCTCTTCACCTCACTCAACTTCATCGACTTTGAAAAGGCCTTCTGCTGACAGCGTCGATCGAGAGGTGATTTGGCAACTACTTCACTACTATGGGGTGCCATCGACAATTATACATCTCATCCAACAGTTACACGACAATGCTGCATGCCAAGTAATCCACAACGGGAAACTTACGGAAGCCTTCGTAGTGAGGACGGGAGTGAGGCAAGGCTATCTGTTATCGCCAATGATTTTCCTGATTGCAGTAGATTGGATAATGCGACAGACAACGGGCAATGAGTAAACAGGCGTAAAATGGACTCACACAAAAAACTTGGAGGATCTGGACTTCGCCGATGATATATGTCTGATTTCCCACAAACCGAAAGATATGCAAGTGAAAAGCAACAAGCTGGCAAAAGAAGCATCCAGAGAAGATAGGACTTCAGGTGAACATAGATAAAACAGAGGTGATGAAGATTCCTGGCCAACACCAACAGCAACAACAACAGACAACAATCAGCCAGTGTAAATGGGAGAAATCTGAAGGAAGCAACCTACTTCACTTGCCCACCTGGAAAGCATCGTCTCAACTACAAGCGGACGGAACTGACGAGGTTATCAAAGCAAGAATCGGAAAGGCAAGACAAGCTTTCATTACTCTCAAGTCTGTGTGGAGGTCAACAGCACTCACCATCAAAAATAAGATCCGGATTTTCAACTCCAATGTGAAGTCAGTCAGTGCTACTCACTATACGGATCAGAGACTTGGCGAGTCATAAAAAGCATCTCCAACAAACTTCAGACCTTCATTAACAGTTGTCTTCGCTCAATACTCAAGATCAGATGGCCGGCCAGTAAAGATCAGCAACAAAGATCTCTAAGAGAGAATCGACACAGCAGGAACCGATTGTGAAACAAATAGGTAGGAAGAAATGGAGATGGATTGGCCATACGCTGAGGAAACCATCAAGTGACATCATTAGACAAGCCATTGCTCGAGTGGAACCCGAAAGGGAAACGGCGAGTTGGTCGTCCAAAGGTGACTTGGAGGAGGTCATGTGAGGAGGAGATGAAAGCATGTGGGCAGACTTGGAGTGGAGTGAAAAAAGTCGGCAGAAAACCGAAGGCAATGGAGACGCTAGGGTGAAGCCCTATGTTTCTCTAGGAATTAAAGGATATTATATATATATATACTTCTGGATTTACAGAATCACAACTCATCCAGATAGTCTAAAGAAATACTCAACTGTTGTTATGCATACAGCGAAAATGTCACACAACAGAGTGAGGTAAAGTTAATAGAGTTGAATAATATTTGGTTACTAGATTGTTAATCACTTTGTGACAGTTTGAGCTCACAAATTGCTCCTGCAATACAATAGAACCACACAACAGTATGGCATTATAACGTAATAAATTGCAATCAAAAGTAATTCATTTTAATTACGCGGTGTAAATAGCTGTGAACCATACGCGGTATTTAAAAGATTGTTACACAATTTTGTTTCTCAAGTGTTTAAATTCAACATTAATCGGTTGTAAGTCAGGTGGTTGAGTCAATTAGCATGGTCTTCACCTTCATTATTTTGTGGCAGTGATATACTATACTGTCGTAAACAGACTTCACTAACTTTTTTCCTGATACATTAACAGTCCTTCATTTGAGGTTAGAGTTGTGTCAAAAAAATTTATGGATAGGGTAGTATAAAGATCGAAAATTTCCGCTATATATTTACTGTAAGCGAATTTTTCTTAGTATCAATTGCTTTAACATGAAATCCTTTCTAGACTACTCAAAACTGAGATTATCCAAGAGTGTTTTAATAGTTTATCTACTATCGTATTTTACAAGTCATAGATGTTTGCTATGGCGAATAGTGCCAGCTTGGTTTTTCGTAGCGCTAGGAATTAAATTAATTAAGGATTATGTTTCAATAGTTTATATGCAATGATACTTTTTTGTTGTAATATTGCGACTAATGTTACTACCTGCGATTACATCATTTGTTTTTTATTCATACATTATTGATAGTCATATACGTGGTTCATTTCTTGTATATCCGAGATTGTATTCTAGGTTGTTGACAGTTGTGCTGAGTTACCCTTGTTGTATGTAATCGGTATAACCTTAATGAATATAGATTCACTTGTGGAGAAGAACATGGTGATAGACTACTTTTCTTTGATGTCTAACTGAGCAGAAAAGAGGATGATTCACCCAAGAGAAATGTCTACAGAAAACCTACGTCTGTAGGACAATATACATACATTTCTTCAGCTTTGTACTAATCCGATACCAGAATCAATTTGGTTAGATGCTTGACGAAGAGAACAAGAAGAATCTATGCCTAGAAAGTGAATTGGGATACATCCAAAATACGCAGGTCCTAATGGGTTATCCTAGTAGGTTTATAAGGAGATATGAGATGACAACAGTTAAAATGAAACAACTATTCCTAAAATTGCAACTTAATGGGGACTTGGTTAGTGAAGTCCTACATCTAAGATTGTCGAGAACATCATTGTTTTTATGCTGCCATCTGTTACTCTTTGTACTTCGCAGTCTAACATAGGCATTTTCCCGATTTCCGTGGTGAATTATATTGAGTCTACATGACTGTTTATGTCTAAGAAGAATTTCTCAATATTATTCTTTTTCATTATTACTAATGTGTCACCTACGCATCTCCACCAAACATTTTATTGATGACATGAGTGGTTTAAGTGCATTCTCTTTCCAAAAATCCATGATTATGTCAGCTAGTATTGGTGGGGTGGATGATCCAATGGCTATTCTTTCATTTTGTTGGTATATTTTTTCTTCAAATGTTAGGTATGTTGTTTTCGATAAAGAAAGGAAGACGAAATTTGCAGTATAAAATGATATCATTCTATTTCACAGATTCTCATCAGCTGCAGACTACCTGAAATTACAATGGTTATATAGATGATAATAACATACTTTAATGTTCGAGTGGTGGTAGAAAAAAAAAATTAAAAAATAATTTTTTTTATTTTAATTTTTTTAAATAAATAAAAAAATAAAATTAAAAAAAATTTATTTTTTAATTTTTTTTCCAAATTATTTAAATTTTATTTTTTTAATTGATTTTTTCGACAGAATTCAACCCCTTTTTATTATCTCTTCTACGGATAGTTGTATCCTGTCTTTTAGGCCATCATCTTCATTTAGTCTTGTTTTCTGTGCAACCATGGCGTTTTGAATGGCTATTTTAGTAGAGAGACTGTAAACATCAAATTTGACTAGTAATTTCCTCTCCGTCTATTTGAATGGCTTTTTAGTCGTCTCGCTAATTCAAATGAGAATTGAATTGTCTCTTGTTAGTCTTAGTATTGTTGCAATAAATCTTGACAGCGTGGTGTGTTTCTAAAATCTACAATCGGTTTTATCGGATACCCTTCTGTATGCAGTTTCATTGCGCCACATATTGACGTAGACGTGATATCCGGCTATCGATCAAAAGGCGTGTTTACTGCTCAGCAATCCGCTCCATCCTCCTTTACGGCTGAGAGACCTGGCCATCGAGAATAGAAGACATGAAAAGCTTGGCTAGCTGTCTGTCTTTGATCATAGGTGTCTGTGTTCTATCTCCCGTGTGAAGTGGTATGATAGGACGAACAATATTGAGGTTACACGTCGAGTGCTAGGTAGGTAAGAGGGGAAATCAATAGACGAGGCTGTGAAGTTACATTGATGGAGATGGTTAGGACATGCGTTACTTATTATTGCTAGCCTAGCCATCGTCTTCCTCGACAATGGGCAATGTTATCTGACGTAGGACGGATCAAGTTGGAAAAGAGTTAGCCGGTGGTGGTCAAACCAAAACATGGTATCTATCAGTCCATAAAATCCACAACAGTTATCTTAAGCCAACCACGTAGGGAGTTTTAGACTAGCTGTCTGGTTGAGGTCCTCCGGATAGTAAAGACCAATGGTGACTGGAGACAATTGGTGATATGGATCGAAGTCTTTCTCAATGGCTGGTGCAGATGTATCCACTCCTTGTGACTTATAATACTCGTATCTCGTATCCCTCATATCTCTGTTCACTGTCTGTATTTTGTGTTTCTTTTTAGTTTCTTCTCGTGCTTTGTGTGCTAAGTGTGAAGTGTGGCGACTCAAACTGTGTTGCACATTGGTGCAAAGTTCTATGTTGAAACCAGTGATGAGTCAGTCAGTCAGTCATATATTGAAATTAAAGCATTTGTATTATTCTCTTGTATTTTCATTGTTTTTAATTAGCACTTTCAAGAATGATGATTATTGGTGGTGGCATTTTGTTTTTAGTATCATGATGACATTTTTTTTGTTTTCTTATTTTATTTACACGCATGCTGATATCATCAGTGATTGTACATAGGACATAATTACCACTTACTGAGTAGTAGTAGCCTACTGAAATACAACACCTATGCATAAAGTCACGCCCACCCCCCTTCATCCTCATATTTTTCATAATTTCACTGAATTATTGAGTAAAAGATAATTACTACCTAGATTGTTTATTATGACTGATTATGACTTTTTTTGGTATATTTACTTATTTGTTCCTCTTTTCTTCAAAATATTTTGTTCAGATGATTTTAGCACCCACCTTTATGGATGCATTCAATTCATTGCTTACTGATAGTAGAACAGAATATCCGCCTTGTTTAAATTTGACCAGTAATAGTAATACAGGTAATTTGTGCATTATGTCTTCCTTTATAAATTTATGCTATAGATAATGATCAAGGTGTTAATTGTTCAGCGCTTAATGCTATTGAACGCTTCAACTTATTCCCTGAGCTATTGTTAGCTGGTGCTTACAGATACTTCAGTTCATTTGGTTTAATTAAACGTTATTGTTTTCACGTGAAAAGAGATCCACCTAGTCATCCTATCGCAATAGCTATAGACTCTGATGTTATGAAGAATTCCTTACAGCTTAAAAAGTGAGTGATGAATAGAGGAACTATAATGGTTTCTGTTTTTTTTCTCAAATTATTAATATATATTCAATTTTATCACGATGGTTTTCCGATCACAGCAGTCTATGCCTTAAAGTTACCTTGCACAGTGAGATAGTCGGACAACCTATACTGGCTTGAACCATGCTAATGAAGTTGGTAGGATATAAGTAAGAGTAAGACTGAAAGCATTTGTCTTCATAGTTTAGGTTGCCTATTGTCTGTCTGTCTGTTTTCGACACAGAACTTTGCACCGATGTGCACCAGTTCAAGTCGCCACACTTCCTCCTTGTAGCACACAAAGCAAAAGAAGAAGGTAGAAGAAATGCATAATAGAGACAGTAAACAGAGGAGTGAGACAAAGGAATAGTAATAAGGAAGAACAATATAGTTTCATTGGAAATCATAAGTCACAAGGAGTGGATGCATCTGCTCTGGCCATCGAGAACGATTTTGAGCCATGTTACCAATTGTCTCCAGCCCGTCATTGGTGTTTACCGTCCCGAGGACCCCAACCCGGAAGTCTACACCTTCCTACGTGGCTAGCTTAAACTAACTGTTATATATTTCATTGACTGGTGCCATGTTTTGGTTTGACCGCCGCTAGGTCTTTTCCAGCCTGACCCTATGTCAGCTAAAAGCGCCCATCGAGGAAGGCGATGGCTAGGCAAAGGTAACACATGTTCTAACCATCTCAGTCGATGTAACTTCACAACTTCGTCGATTGACTTCCCCTCCTTACCTAGAGCTCGACCGAATCCTAACCTCAATATTGCTCACCTTAAAATACCACTTCACACGGGAGATAGAACTCAGAAACCTATGATCAAAGACAGCTAATCTTTTCATGTCTTCTACTGTCGATGGCCAGGTCTCACAGCCGTAAAGGAGGACGGAGCGGACTGATGAGCATTACACACGCCCTTTGGTCGATAGCCAATCGGATATCACGTCTACTTTAGAGACGACGTAAACTGGCAAATGCGAAACGAGCCCCCTGTATTTGTGCTGAGATTTCGTCAGAGATCAACCCATCGGGGCTGACTGATGCAACTTCTGTAATAAGTGAAGCGATCAAGGTACTCTATCACTTCACTCCCTATTTGTAAACTAGGAGTCAGTGTAGTCCAGTCCTGTACCATCATATTACATTTGACGGGAACGAATTGCATGCAAAACATTTGTGGATTGCAGCTCAATGTGTTCAGAAGACTGCATTTTGTCGGCGTCCTCGCCTAGAAGGACTATATCGTCTGCATATTTTTAGTCAACGAGATAATTCCCTGGTAGCAAGTCAATCCCTGAGTCTCTGAAGTGAGTTAGGGTTAAATCCATTAGTACATTACTGGATTAAAAGTTGCCTACACTGTGATGGGGGATTTGAAGTCGAAGCCACTCGAAACTAATGGAACGAAATGGTGGTGGGAGCAAAATGTTTTCCTCGGTGTAATGATGCTGTTTCCCCACAGTGAGGAACAGGAATCAGAAAAAGTGGGCATACGAAATGATTGGTAGCGAATTATTCTCCAGCCGTCCTTAACCCTCCTAAATGGGATTGTACAGATAAAACTCTACAAGCTTCTTCTTATCCTAACAACCAACCAGAATATCAGCACTCTCGGGAAATTTTCTCCTGGGCTCTGAAGTCACTCAAAAATAATTTTTCTGTCATTTTGATCACCTGAAAAACAAACCAACTTCTATATTGTGTGTAGGAAGTTGATAAAAACTAACCGCCCACACAGTCGTGTGTTCAAGTCCATGACATTAATTGCTGAATTTTAATAAACGTGTTTATCTGAAATCTAAACACTGATAATTCATCAAAATCTCGACATGGTCAAGGTTACCTGATTTCTATAGTTATACATAGTTGTGATGGTACCTTCAACCGTGATAAACTGCTTGCTCACAAAGTATCATAACAGATATGAAGTCATTTTTGGCGCTAGTCAACTTTTGTCATTTTTAGCATCAACGTGATCTCCATCTGCGTGTAACTACGCTTTAGTTCGTTCATTACAACTATATATCTTTGAGACATGGCTATTTAAGACGCAAGATGTAGAAATTTACCTTTGATTACAAATAACTTTGTTTATCTCTTATGTTAAATAAAATAGTTTTGTTTGGTAAAGCGTTTTAGGCAACGGAAATGGATCGACCAATAAAGTTGGGGACCGTTATCGGTTTAAGTGACTATACTATGCACTACGCATGTCAGACTAAACCTTTATTTAAAAAGCAACTGAAGATATAAGCAGATCTAGTTACCGGTATGGAGTACAAGGTCAACTCGACCACGTTTCTGTATACAGAAGTTAAGTTATAATCGTTTAACAACAATGGCTTCTGCAAATCGGAGTAACCAAGGTTTTATGTGTGTTGATTATTTTAGCTTGATGGATTTTAACTACATCTTCTGTGTTAACCAGGAACCTAGTGATCGCACTAGCTAACAGTCTCACTTTTCATATGAAGACTAAGGGATCTGCTATCGCGAGTTCATCTGAATTGGTAAATGCTTATGAAATAATGAAACCTTTACAATCGCCACATGTAATTTAACTTGGTTGAAGTCAAGTTAAGTCTCTCTGTTAATGTAACTGTTTCGTTGACAAGCATCTTACTTGAAATTGCGTGACCTCGCAGACAAGTTAAGTAACCAAACTATCCAATCACTTCACTTTTAATTAATTATTTAACTCAGCATCTTTCATGACACTATTCCTAAGTTATCATTATCATCTTACATCTGGTACTTTGAAACCTTTAAATCTTATCGGTTAATCTATACAGTGACGGAAGTCTTCTTATCGAAGTTAACACTGAAGATCTTACTCAGCCCTATGATGAAACATTCACGATAACAAATCACGGCTTTAAAAATAAACAATTTCTAAGCATTATTGAGTTTTGCAAAACATGATACCTTCAGTTTCAGTCGAAGAACATTAGTTGTTTTTAAATTTATATAGTGTATTTTCCACGTAAATTGGTGGGACATGAGTTCTAGTGAGAAGTCGTGACCAGTCAGGTCCAATTAGATGTTACGTGTGTGGATGGATGTTCCACCAACGACAATGGTTGGGGTCGCGCTAAATCACAAATTGGTGGAAGTTAGAATTCATGAGCCATTGAATCGGGTCCCATTGACTGAATGGTATACGAGCTTGTCTTGTAACCGGAAGGTCCTGGGTTCGAATTCCAGTGGGTGCGTACTGCCGATGATTCCCAAACTAGGATGAAACAGCGGCTTTCCAGTACTCCCTGGTCTAAAAAACATGAGCAGAAATTATTGGTTCAGGATCATTCAGTCAACTAGCTTATACAGGCTGGAGTAGGGAGGCAAGATGATAAGGGTGACAAGGGTAAAGGGGAATGATGAGCAAGAGGGCGTCGTGTGCTTTTGTAAGTGTGTGGGTGGTTTTTACTTCCCGGCTGCTCACACCACGGAAGTTGATTTTTTCTTGAGGTACCTGGAACAAAAAGAGAATTAATGTTGCATGACCGCAGAGCCCAGGAGACAACTGCTTGAGGCCGCTCACACACACATGATCTGTCTGAAGTGGCTTATAGGTTTGGTTCCGTAGTAGTAACTTACCGCCGGCTACGGACCACTGTAGGGTAAGTCGGAATGTTAAATTCTTGGGGTCGACCTTTTCTGACCCCCTCCCTCCGGAGTGGAGAAACAGCACAGCTGGCATGCTGGTCATCTAAGGGAAACACCTAACTGTGGCTGTTAAATCCCTGTTCCTCAGCAGTTTGACTTCGTCCTTGAGACCCCGAGTATAGTGTAGAAAAGTTCTTACACAATGCCGGTGATTGCTTTAAGTCTAATTGCTATCCTAACAATCTTTCTGGTATGACAGGACTTACAGGTTAAAAACAGTTAAAAACCTCCCAGATTATATCAGTCCTTGAGTATATAACAAGTCAGTGAAAAAAGCTTTTTATGTGAATACAACAGTTTGACACTTATTACAACACCTGACTGTAGTTAAGACGACAATAGTGGTTAGTTTTTAATAGATTTAAATGGATTGATTTCTATGCATATTTATTTTAAGTAATTTCAAATAACTGTCATTCAACTGACAATATTTCCAAAAAATATTTTCCTGTCATTTTACAAATTTTTTTGCATAACGAAAGAATTCCATGTGGCCTAAATCATTCATTGGTGGTGGTGAACGTATCATCAAATGGTATCATCTTCCGGACTAATTTTATTAAAGCTTCAGTAAAAGAGTTCATAGTACGTCGAATATGCTGAAATAAACAGGAAAGTTTACATAAATAAATATAGAGACCGCACAATTTTAGCAACAGAAGTAGTATACCTTAAGGCTTTCGTCGGAAAACTAGAGTCTACTAATGCTTTTAGATAATCTAAATTATAAGGTGTTGTCATCAAACAACTCAATAATATTAGCCATCATATTGGTAAGCATATATTTCAAAATTTGAAGAAAGTTTTGTATCCTATCCACAAGAAAATTCAACCTACCATACATGAAAAATATCTCTAAAATAACAGCTAGAATACTGAAATCGTTTGATATAGATATAGCACACAAGCCAGTCAAATCGCTTAATTCGATATTATGCAAACCGAAAGATCCAAAAGAAAAAGGAGATAAAGTTAATACCATTTACAAAATAAATTGTATCAACTGTAACATGCATTACATCGGCCAGAGTGGGCATCCCCTTCGAATCAGAATCCAAGAACACAAATCAGCCGTAAAAAGACACGATATATATTCTTTCATATCAATGCACATAGACAATTATGGACATCAATTTGATTGGGATAATGTCGAAATTTTAGACAGAGGAAACACCAAAAGTTCCAGGGAATTCCTAGAAGCCTGGTACTCAAATGAATATGCAATTAACAAAGACGTTAATATAGACCAAATATACCAAGTGATAAAAAGTAAATCATGTGACCAGAAAGTTTAAAATCCATGTCAACAGAAAATGGTCAATACATAGGTAAAGATGGTTACCGGGAGACGCAATTATATCACTCATGAAAAATTTAAATCATTTGACTTTATGCTAAATATTGCGCTGAAGATGTTACCCAGAAGGACGACGAAAGCTTCGCAACTCAGCAAACCAGCTCAGAGAACATTATTAATTCCAAATCCTATCTTCTCTCCCATCTATTAGTAGCAAATATTCGATGGCGGGGATGCATTAAGGCACTGTTTGAACATATGACTTATTAGTTGGAAGTTAAATGTTTCTGCCACGGCATTCTCAATTATACTGGTAAATATAGATGTATATTGATAGTATACTTGTTCTTTGTATGATTGCTACTAATAAACTGTGCTTGGACAAGTTAATAACTGTTTCTTAATGTGTGTGTGTGTGTGTGTAAAACTTAGACATTTTGGTAATATGTTGTAATCCGCCATACTTCTTATTCGCGTTGGGCATTATAGTATCTTATTTCATTACACACTTCTTTTATCTAATTGGATTAATAATTTAACTTAATGATAGCAATAATTATAATATATTACTTTCTGTTCATTGTTTAGACTGGATGTGATACCAACTCATCAACTGAAGATCAGCAATAACTCTATAATCAGTTGTGAAGGATCTGGAGAACCACCATATTTCTATGTGAATTCAGTTTTTATTTTGTCAGGTTTAATACTTTTTGGTCTTGCATATTCTGGTTGGTTGATTGCAAGATTTGGAAGCGTAAACAGATCCAAGAGTGAACTGTTCATCTCACTTTTCGGTGCATTTATACCAGTTCTAGCGTATTTCTCTAATCATAGAGAAGCTACTCGTGTTCAATGGACTCCACCGTTAAGGGAGAGTTTTGCTTATCCATTTTTTGTACTTCAACAGGCTTTTCTACTTAGTCAATTTAGATCACAGAAAATGGTGAGTAAACTTCAGGATACTTGCTAATCTTAATTTCTACTTTAAAATAAAATATCATGCAAACTGTGATCAAAATATGACCAAATAGTCCCAAAATAATTTGGGCGCCAAGTGAGAAGTATACACATATGTAAAATTTATATTTGTAAAATCTCAGCGAAATTGAAATGAGTAATTCCAACGTTTCATTCAGCAAACTGATCTGAATTTCTTCAGCGAAATTAATCAGAATTAAGATAGCAGAGGTTTATACATAAAAAGGATATCTGTTTTTTTTTTAAAACTTTTTCCAATCATATGAGTCATCAAAATATAATAAACACAATTGCATGAACTGTGATCAAAATTTTGACCTCCGACTTACAAATATTATTCAATTCAGCTTTAGATTTTCCTGTCTATTGATTGGACAGAATTGCTCGGTCTCAGGTTGACATGTCGGCTGCTTGTGCAGATGGCTTCGACGATGTCTGGGCATGTAATTAGAAGTGTTAATTGGTGGATGATGGTGACTAGCAGTGGAATCCAGGATTCTTTGGCGTTTGAAACTATGGGTACTGGGTGCAAGCATCGGTGGGAACATCGTCACTCACTGCGGAATGCAGACATATCCAGATGACGAGTCCCAAATACGAAGAAGTGCGCATCCTGTATTCCACTGTTAGTCACCATCCACCGATTAACTTCTAATTACAAATATTAGTCTACTTTTGTTTAAACACTATAAACAGAGAGTACTTTTCATCAGAATTTTAGTGATTACGTTCGACTAAAAGTTCATGGCTGTAGATAACTGAATATGAAAAATATGTATGTATATATGCGGTATACAATGGTGTGTGTGTTTGAGTATGTGTGTATGGGGAAACAATTGTAAGTCATTTGTCAGCCTCTCCATAAGAAAATATAGATAATCAGGAATTTAGATCAAATGTGATTAATTAGTGATACATATCCATTTTTATTTATTTATTAATGTGGACTTGCTATACATCAGCTAATATCACACCTTCACGTCTTTTCAAACTTTTTGAATTCACCCATTAATGCAGGTTTTCTTATTTTTAAATTTATCCTTTTCTCAATACATGACAAATCGTATTTAATATTCTCGTAATTCGTGCTACTAAATCACAAATCAACAAAAAAGCAGTAATAACATTATTATTATTGCTCCCTTGGGATCATAGTGGAACATAGGGCTTCAACTGCACGTCTACACTTGCTTCTGTCTTCTGCTGTACTTTTCACCTGCATCCCTGTTAGTCCATACACTTTCAACTCCTCTTCACACCATCTCCTCCATGTCACCCTTGCACTGACGTCCCACTCGCCGCTTCCCTTTCGGGTTCCACTCGAGCAATGGCCTGACGCGCACGCGATATCACCCAGCGGCGGCCTCCTCAGCGAGTGTTCATCTCCACCCATCTCCACTTTCTCTTGCATATTTGTTGGGCGATTGGTTCTTCTTCTGTTTGTTCCCATAGTTTCTTGTTGGTGATTCTTTCCGGTCCGGCCATCTGATCTTCAGTATAGATCCAGCGAAGACAGTTAGTTGTTGATAAAGGTCTGCAATAGCCAGCCTGTTGGAAATATTCTTTGTGACCCGACCGCCAATTTTCTGATCCGTATAGAAGAACTGACTGACTTGACGCCTGTATTGAAAATCCGACTGAATTTTATTGTTGATGCTGGGTGAGTGACGAAGATTTCCAGATTGGTTTCAGGTTGATGAATGTGTTTCTTGCCTTCGCGATTCTCGTTCGATTTGATATCCTCGTCCGTTCCGACTTCCTGTAGTTGAGACAATGCTCCGTAGATATGTGAATGAAGTAACCTCTTTCAAATCCCTCCCGTTGATGGTGATTGGCGCTGGATGTTGGTGCTGTTGTTGTTGGTTGGTTATTTTCATAACCTCCGTCTTGTCTATATTCACCTGAAGTCCTGTCTTCGCCGGCTGCTTCTTCGACCAGTTTGTCGGTTTTCGCTTGTAAGTCTTCGATTTTGGGTGACATCGAACATAAATCATCCACTCGAGAAATCCGGGTCTTCTAGGTTCTTCACGTCGGTCCAGGATATCCCTGTCCCGTTCCTCGTTTCCCACTGTCTGACGCATAATCCAGTCAGTCCACTACAATTAGGAATATCATTGGTGATAATAAGCTAGCACCCTTGTCTTACTCCTGTGTTTACTCCAAACGCCTCGCTGAGTTTTCCGTTGTGGATCAGTTGACATGTGCCGTTGTCGTACATCTGGCTGTTGAATAAGGTGGATTAATATTTGGGGTACGCCGTAGTACACGAGTAATTTTCAAATTACTTCGCGGTCAACGCTAACTGTCGAAGGCCTTCTCAAAGTCTATAAAGTTGAGGTAGAGGTTTGATTGCCATTCCAAAAGTCGAGAATCTCATATTTTTCGAACAACATATACGGACGGGAAACAAAAAGACCTTCTTAACAGTACAAACAGTAAAACCAATTGTTGTGTAAGACTTACAGCGAAGAGTAGTGTTCAGTAGTGGACGATTTGGGAAAGTGAAGAATGCATTCATCTAAACCACAAAGACTTCGGTCAGCTACTTCCTGACTAAGTGCAGAAAGCCTATACAATTCTCGTAAATAGTTCAGGAATCTGTTAGCTGATATTATTTCTGTTTCTGTAGTGTATTAAAAAATTCGACCCAGTCCCATCAGTCTCAGCAAATTGAGGTGGAAAATGACACTGCAAGCGTACTACTTCTTAGTGACCGTTTTGTCAATTTAGGGTCTTAAAAGATGTTAATGTACCTCTCTTTTTTATTATCGGATAATTTCACCCACCACTTGTAGCTACCTAATAGATGGACTTTGTTTGTTGTAGCTCTGTAGACTCATGGATATTATACCATGCATTCTTTTTTATTTTGAAAGCTCCAAGTAAGGATTTCTCTTCTTCAATTTTACAGTTCACATATGTGTGAACTGGATTTTCCACATAATATTTGTTGTCTTTATTAAGTCGTTACACTCATGTATTCTAGTTGTTACACCATAGAAAACTAAAGTCAGTTGGGGGTATTAAGCGATTAAAGAATTCATACGGATGAGAAGAGTAACCAAGCAGAAACTACACCTCCTTTATTATTATTTTTTAGGTTCTCTTTGCATATTTGACGATATTGAGTGATGAATACCCTCATAGGTGTCTGCGTTCTATCTTCTGTGTTAACTGGTATAGTAAGGTGAGCAATAATGAGGTTAGGCGTCGAGTGCTAGGTAGGTGTGAGGAGAAATCAATCCACGAGGCTGTAAAGTTACATCGATTGAGATAGTTAGGACATATGTTACGCATGCTCGCGTAGCCATCGATCGCCTTCCTGGACAACGGGCAATGTTAGCTGACATATGATAGATAAGGTTGGAAAAGAAAGAGGTAGTGGTGGTTGAACCAAACCATTGCTTCACCAGTCAATGAAATCCACAAGAGTTAGTTTAAGCTAGGTAGAGAGGCAGGTGTAGACTGGCTGTCTTGTTGGGGTCCCCGGGATGGTAAGAACCAATGACGGGCTGGAGACATTTGGTGATATGGCTCAAAATTGTTGTCAGTAACTGCGCAGAGTTGTCAATAATGGCGCAGATGAATTTACTCTTTGTGGTTTGTAATATCCAACACAATTCTATTGTTCTTCCATACTTGCACCTCTGTTTATTATCACTCTTTTGAATCTCTCTTTAGTCTGTCCTTTTGCTTTGTGTGCTACAAGGGGAGAGTGTGGGAACTCGAACTGCTGCACATCTGTGCAAAGATTTATGCTGAAACCAATCAGTCAGTCAGATGAATACCATTCTGTGTGTTTGACTTGACTAGGCTTTCCCACTTCACTTACCCACCAGCGTGCTTTGAAAATAAACTTCCAAACTACACAAATACCGTATACAAGTTGTCAGTCGGTAATTCCCGCAACTAATTTGATCGAAGGGGAAGTTACTTAGGCTTAATTGCTTGGCAATATACTTTTGAGGCCTAGGGTTGAAGTATCTTTCGCTGTAATGGACTTCAGGAATCACATAGTGACATTAAGCTCCAACATGCTAAAAACAGCTATAGTGTGATTGTTCACAATATATATGTTTGTTTTTTTCTTCAGTAAGTTTGTGCTCATCAACTTTTATCTTTATTTTTTATTCTTTTCAGTTACCATCAAGCCTATTGGAAACTTTCATTTCCTCCCTAGCCTACTGTATACTTCTGTTAGGTTTTCAACTGCCCTGGCAATTTGCTCAATTCGCTTTACTTACTCAAATTATATCTATTCTATGCGCATTGTGTATAACCCTAACAGTGAATCCACCTAATTCTATACAACAGAAATCAATGATTATAAATCTTTTATTATTAACAGTGAAACGAATCTTGCGGATTCATTTATTCGTATTCAATTTATCTTTTCTATTACAATATGGCAATCGTTTACTACTTCAGTCTGGTTATTTATTTTGTCTGTTTGGCAGTTTACTGACTGTGTACATACTTCAACAGTTAATAGAGAGTAAGTTATATTATTTTGTTTATAAAATACACCTGTTTATTTGCTTATAGTGATTGGTAGTAAATATTACGTTTCAAAGTATTGTCTCCTTTGAGTTAAACTATAGCTCATTGATGTAGGCAGCTTAGCTTTCATCTGATCGGTTACGAGATCATAATTTCTTTTTTCTTTCCTTCACCCTCCCAGTGGAACATAGGGCCTCAAGCTGGTGGCTTGAAGTTTCTGTAGCAGTGTTTAATTTCACAGGATGGGGTTGCTAGCCTCATGCCCAACCTTTCCTCTTTACCAGCTTTCTTTTATTCCTGGCTTAACGAGGTAAAGGAGTGCACCTGTGGCCGGGGATCGAATCCCGGACCATTTGCATGTTCGGCGAGCGTCCTAACCTCTGTGCCACCGACGCACTGAGATCATAATGCATGGTCTAATTATCATAAGATTATATGCAAACACAAAATACATGTAACCTAATGTTTGTTGCATGTACATTCAACTGACATATAAATTTCTATTTGATTTTGTTGATTTCAAAGTTGTGTTTATTTCATCCATAATCTTTCAGCATAGTTACCTGAACTCTGAGAAAACATTGTGTCTTCTAATATAACAGAAGATATTCGACTCAGTTCAGAGTGACCGAAGCACCGGGCTATCGTTTTGCTCATTCAGGACTAGGCTCATCACGCGTCTACTAGGTTTAAGTTAGCTCAGAGAGACAAATTCTGGCTAGCTACCTGAGTTAGCTGGCAATACGTTAAAATTAACTTCTCAGTTTGTAAATTATACAGTTCTAGAAGAGATTTGAACATAGTTTTCTTTAAAAACTGAAATCAACCAGACTACAATATGTAATCTGTCTGGCACCATGAATGACAATTAAGAAAGCAAGCTTATAGTCAAGATGCTGACTGGCTGGAGAGTTGTACACCATTCACCGTACCCACCGTTGATGAGTTAGCCTTTAGACGAGTGAAACAGACATCAGGTATTTACATCGCTTCGATTTATCTAGTGACCAGTACTGGTTGATGTCGTTGGTATCCAACTACTCACATTAGTCGATCAGTAGCATACAGCACCATGCAATAGGCAGCTCATATGTTATGATAATGGTTTTGGCTGCTAATGGGAAGCTGTAGCGAAATTTCATCTTGAATTGTTTGATTTTTCAAATTTAGAATTTAATACTACTGCTCACTTTTAGCACAGCTGGTGTTTACTTTCTGATGTTCGTCAGAAAATTACGTTTAATACTTTGAAGAGACTCAGTCCCCCGCTGAAATTTGAACGTGGTTTATTGTCGTTAACATTTTAATCACTAAATTACTATATTCGCGTTTATTCCTCTGTGGAACTGGTCTACATAAACGAAATCGAGTCCTGAATGAAATCATGTGTGATATTTAGATGAAAGGGGATTTTGTTATGGCCGCAGATAATTTTTGCTAATAAATGCTAGCATACTGCACCAACTGTATGACACGTGAATTACTGGTTTTAACTCCGATCATGCCTGCTTGATAACTGCTTTTAGAGTATTCATGGAAACTTCCCATTGATGTATATATAGAAAATCAAAACAAGTGATTCAGCGAAGAGACTCTTTTCAACGAATTTATCATCAAGCTGTACAATCGTATATACATGGTTTTTAAGAAGTTATATCGGGTGAGGGAATTGAATCATAGGTGTGAATGCATACAATAATAATAATAGTATGAAATGCAATTAAAACTAAAATGTTTGTGATTATAATCATAGTTTAATGTCAAGTGGCAAAACAAATTATTGTCATATATAGAATAATTCATAGGATGGATAGAACTTGAAAAAGAGTGTGCAATTGTAGGATTAGTGGACAAATCGAATAAAATAAAGACATTACGTAATATTGTATGAAATTTGATAGCATAGAATTTAACGTTGTAAAAAAGAATTGATTTAGATTGACAAGTGGAACAAGTGAAATAATACCGGGGACAGTTCAAATTGAGAGTAGTGATAGTAACAATTGACGTAATAAGGAATAGAATACAAATTGAATAGACAAAATGAAAAAATGAAAAATTGGTAGAGCCAAAATATGATTGGGGATTACCATACTTTAGCATAGACTGATTAAGACCATAAAAGTTGGAGGGGTTGAGCAAACTTTTTCTGTACACAGAGATCTGGCTTTTCTGTTTCGGTAGACAAAGCTTCAGCAATACAGATGAGTCGGATACGTGGTGATTTGTGCAAATTACTTTTCGCCTTGTAGATGACTTTAATCGTGGAGGCTATAGAGATAGGGTGATTATTATCGACAAGATGTTCAATGATCGCCCTTGGTATATATAGCTTCACTTCTACCTCTTCGTAACGATTATGCAGGTTAGTCATCTTGCACCCTCATGGAGAAAACCCCAGTTGGACGACCGATATGCCTAGCTCCACATGATGAGGTGAATTGATAAACGCGTATAGAGTTAGTTGGTCAACAGCGGGACCTTGTCTTTCAGGTTATTGAACAGTTAATGGTCAACTGAAAACCATGTGCATATACACAATTGTATAGTTTGATAATAAATTCGTTGAAAAGAGTCTCTTCGCTAAATAACTTGTTTTGATCTTTAGAGGATTGTTTAATAAATTAGATGAAATAAAATATGAAATGTAAATCTGTTTTTCTTTTCTTTTTGTTTATATTTTCTCAGCTTTCGACATTATGAAAAGCAACGAGAAAAAGAAGTCGAAGAAGAATGAATTGTCTACATTCTCATCAACAACATTACACACTCCTTTCATACGCTTTCTATGCTTACCTGTAATAGCTACTTGTATTGCAACAGTTGGACTTGGGATTGTCGTCTCATGCCTTTTGAAATATACTTCTGTTGGAGGAAAAAATTTGTCACCAAATGATGATGGTGGTCATATATGGGATTTATTGAAGCATAAATTAAGTATATTTGTTGGTACGGATTATAAAACATTTCATACAATGCTATATGTTTGTGCACCTGAATTCGATTTCATTAGTGTAAGTGTATTTTAATATTATATATATATAATTTTCTTCATATCTTCCACTTTCAATGACCATGTCTCGCTCACAGCTGTAGAGGAGAACACAGTATACTCTCATTTTATTTCATCTAATTTATTAAACAATCCTCTAAAAATCAAAACAAGTGATTCAGCGAAGAGAATCTCTTCAACAAATTTATTATCAAGCTATACAATTGTGTATATACACATGGTTTTCAGTTGACCATTACTATTCAATAACCTGAAAGACAAAGTCCCACAGTTGACTAACTCTATGCACGTTTGTCAATTCATCTGATCGTGTGAAGCTAGGCATATCGGTCGTTCAACTCGGGTTTAGTCCAAGAGGTTGCAAAAGAACACTATCCTGCATAATGGTTACGCAGAGTTAGAAGTGGAGCTATAGCAAGGGTGATCATTGAACATCTGGTCGATAATGATTACCCGATCTCTACAGCCTCCACCACCATTAAAGTCATCTACAATGTGAAAAGTAATTTGCACAAATCAGTCACTACGTGTCCGACTCATCTTTGGCCATCGAAATAGAGAAGCCCGATTTCTGTATACAGAAGAAGTTAGTTAACCTCCGCCAATTTCATGGTCTTAATCTCTATAAGCTGAAGTATGTCTTCAACCGTAGGTGCCTGCGTTCTATCTCCCATGTGAAGTGGTATAATAGGTTGAGCAATATTGAGTTGTTGAGGTATTAAGTGTTAGGTAATGAGTGAAAGTCAGTCGATGAGGTTGTAAAGGTGAATCAGTTGAAATGGTTAGGACATGTATTAAGTATGCATAGCCATCGCTTTCCTTTACAGAAAGTGTTAGTTGACGTAGGATCAGCCTGGAAAACGGGTAGTGGTGATCAAACCAAAACTTTGCATCAGTCCATAAAATCTTTGACAGTTCGTTTGGGCGTCGTACAGAGGTGTCAACTGTTTGGTTAGGGTCCTCGGGACAATAAGAACCAATGAAGTCTGGAGAAAATTGATGATATGGTTCAAAATTGTTTTCAGTGATGGTGGAAATGCATTCACTCTTTGTGATTTGACATATCCATTGAATCCTATTGTTTTCCCGTGTTACTATTCTTTCTCCCTTGCATTTCTGCTTATTACCGCTCTTTTGAATCCCTTTTCTTTCCTCTCTTTTGTTCTTGTATTGTGTGCTACACAGAGACAGTGTGGCAGATCGAACTGTTACACTTCTGTGCAAAGTTCTATATTGATGAAACCGGTCAGTCTAACTAGGAAAATGTTTGTTAAGATCTCGAAATTTCTAATAAGACACTTTCATGTTCTCTCAAAATATCATTTGATATGTGGGCGTCCGTGGCACAGTGATAGGATGCTCTCCAATCACGCATGTTCCGGGGTTCGATCGTCGGCCGTCACACTCCTTTGCCTCGCTAAGCCACTAACAAGACTTGTAAAGAGAGTAGGCTGGTCATTAGGCTAACAATCCCATCCCCTCAAAATTAACACTACTGCTACCGAAACTTCAAGCCTGTAGCTTGAATCCCTATGTTCCGCTGGGAACGTAAAGGAATAAAAAATGTGGGCCGTAGTATTGTATGGTTTGATACAAGTGAATTGTACACAACTTAGTTGCTGGTCTGTAGAGTTAGGTGTACCTACTACATATAATACATTTGATTTCACATTGTCAAATATCGTAACGGTAGCCAAGATTAAAGCATAACAATCCACTTGTGTATTCGCATTACTAAGATCGTTATTCTTCAACTTTGCCTTTATGATGTTACTGTTTTTATTAATACTATGTGGTGATTAATTTGTGTCAATCCCTATCTAAAACTTAGATATTCTTTTCCCCTCTATTTTTGCCAGTGGATGGCTTTAAAACAACCCTTTGAAACTGGTCTTCTCTTTGGTGCTATATTGGCGTGTTGTATTGTCTGTTTTAAACCAGTCAAAACTTTGTTCACTTCTTCTAATACTGCATCAACGCCCACGCATGCTCAGCAATCTAGCAATGATGATTACCTGAACTATGGATACACATTCAAAATATTTAGAGATTTTATTTCCTTATTAATTATCATACAGGTAAGTGTGAATAATTTTCACATATACTTTTCTATGTGTTATTTTATGCAATGATAATGATAATAATATCAGCTTTATTCTGGGAAATGTGTTTAAACAGTACGGAATTCAAGTAAAGTACGAATCTAATGACACAACGTCTTCCCATCTAAAATTTGACTCACTCTTCTAAAACATTGATTCCCAAGTTTTGATTTTGTAGGGATTTTTGTTTGATTGTATGGAAGATTTCACCATGAGCTGACATCAGTTAGAGAACCACTGGAAAACCTGGGAGTACTGGACAGCTGTTTCGTCCTAGTTTGGGAGTCTTCAGCAGTACGCACCACCGGGGTTCGAACCCAGGACCTTCTGGTTACAAGGTGAGCTCGTAGACCATTGAGCCACTGGGACCCGATCCAATGGTTCTTGAATTCTAACTTCTGCCAGTTCACGGACCCCAACCAGGGAGTTGTGACACACCAACCGATGGTAATCTAGCACAAAAATCCTTCACCCCACGACGCCACGTCATGGACTGACCACCTCTCCGCCTTTTCCATCCCGTCCCAGGGCTGGCTAGCGAACAGAGACCTGTACGGAAGCCCCTGGGGTGACATTCGCAGCACATGTCCAAGCCACCTGAGCCAGTGTTTCCAGATGACGACATCCAATGAATGGCGATCTCCATTGTGTTCAAACACACGCCGCCGAACCTCAGAATTACTCACGCGATGATGCCATCCATCGAACGCAAGCAATTCTCCGGAGACAGCGGTGATCGAACACGCAGAGTCGCCGAACATCCTCAGCCTACTCGGAGAGGCCAGGTTTCACAGGCGTAGAGCAGCGCAGCCCGCACCGAAGCATTGTATACCCGACATTTGAAAGCCAGGCTAACGTCGCGTCGGCGCCAGAGGTGGCTCAAGTTGATGTATGCCACCCTAGCCTTCATTATACGGTTGGAAATCTCATCCGTCAACCCTCCGCCAGCACTCACACAACTACCCAGGTACACAAACTTATCGACAGCTTCAAGCGGTTCACCTGCAAGAGTGAGTGCAGGTACAGGCCCCTGCCAATCCTGTAACAGTACTTTGCACTTAGACGGTGCGAAGCACATACCATACTTACAGACACTGATCGCCAACTGATTAAGTGCGATTTGGGCAGCCTGCATGCTATCGCACAGTAAGACGATGTCGTCTGCATACTCGAGGTCGAAAAGTCTATCTCCAGGTAGCAGATCTACACCACCTTCACGCACATCCTTCAGAGCTGACTCCAGAATGTCATCGATGGCAAAGTTAAAGAGAAATGGAGAGATTGGGCAACCCTGTCTAACCCCACTGTTGGTTGGGAACAGTGGTGATAGTTGGTTGTATGCCCTCACTCTACCTGAGGTGTTTATGTGTAGGGCTTTCAAGATGTTAACAAATTTCTCAGGTATACCTCTCTCTAACAGACAGTTCCAGAGCACAGTTCTGTCCAACGAATCGAAGGCAGCCCTAATATCAAGAAACACAATGATCGTTGGCCTGCAATACGTGTGGCGGTGTTCCAACAACTGACGAAGGGTGAACACATGATCAATGCATCCACGACCTGAACGAAACCCAGCCTGCTCTCCGCGAATCAATCCTTCACGTATTTTGCACAGTCTGCGAAGCAAGACAGCAGTCAATATTTTAGACGCGACTGGTAACAGGCTGATACCCCTATGATTGTCACACGAATTACGTCGTCCCTTTTTGAAGATGGGGACGATAATGGCTTCGTTCCACATTGATGGTACACTCTCTGTCTCCCATACCTTCCTGAACAACCCAGTTAGAGCCATTGTGAGAGTCTCGCCACCATCTTTAAAAAGAGCAGGGAGTAAATTGTCTGGGCTGGGAGCTGGTGGCCAGCTAAACTGCTTCCCGAAGTGCTCTGCTCAGCGTTCCAGGCGTCTTTTCAAGCTGGTAATTGGCGTGGCATCTGCCTCACAGACCGTCTCGCTGACACCTTGTTTCTTGCCACCGGTGGCTCGGATGAGTTGGAACAGCTTCCAACTGTTGCCAGATGCAGCAGCTGACTCCATCTCACACGCACGTTCTGACCACCAGGCTTCGTGGTCCTTACGTAAACACTGTCTAATCTTGCGCGTGAGCGCCTTTCGCTTATTGTTGTATTCGCTGCCAGTCGGAATGGACCGGCTTTCATCCAGGAGTTGCAAGGAACTCGCAGAAACCCAGTGGTTTTTAACGGAGCATTCTTTCAAGCCGCAAGCGGCTACACTCGCCTTTTGCATGGCACCTTGCACATGAAGCCAATGTTCATCTATACTACTTAGGGGGTTGCTGGCAAGCATTGTTTTTAACTCATTCTGATATTTCAAAGAAGTAACAGGTGCTACTAGTTTGCTCACATCAACGCTTAGACGACGGCTTTTACGAACCCCACCAAATCGCAAGACGAACTTGGCACACACTAACGCATGATCGGAGTCCAGGCATGTGCTCCAGAAGGAGCGACAGTCTTGTATGCATCCTCGCCACCGGAAACTGACTGCAATATGATCAATCTGAGTCCAAGCTTGCTTCGCAGAGGGAGGACGCCAGGTAGCGCTACGGCGATGGCTGTGCCGGAAGTTGGTGCTGGCTAGAAATAGGTTGTGATCCGCGCAAAGCTGCAGAAGACGGTCCCCATTATCTGACCTGCGACCATGTAGTCCCCATTGACCACCTAGACGATTCTCCTCTGAGCTTAGACGCCCGACCTGTGCATTCAAGTCCCCAGCCAGCACTACGATATCCCTCCGACCCGCCTGTTTCAAGAAATCGCTCAGTTGGTAGTAGAACTCATCCTTCATTGCATCCGGGCTGCAATCCGTCGGTGCATAGGCAGAGACAACAAATAGACACCGCCTATCTGGCCTACTACTCCTTAATTTCGTATAACCTTCCAGCCTCATAGCACATAAACGACTGTTAATGGGAATCCAGTCGAGCAATACAGCTTCGGCTCTAGCGCTCAGTGCGACACCGACACCAGCTACTCCGGATGCTGACGCCACAGGGTCCCCGGATAAGCGCAGGTGGTACATACTACTAGAACTTCCAGATGGAGAGGATAGTCGAAGCACTTCACTGGGATCTTGAATGCGGGTCTCCGAAATGCAGCAGACATCGATAGCGAGGCTTTCCAAAGTTCTTACCAACCCTGCCTGTTGTCCGATTTGCATCAGCGTCCGAACATTGTAGGTAGCCAGCTTGAACGCGGCACGCGGTTTCAGGATATCTGTGTTAGATGTCACATTGGGGACAACCATTTTGAGGATTACTCACTAACATCTCGAAACGACACAGATAGGCTGGGAATCTCGACAAAGGCGAAAGGCTGTCGAAGGTTAAGAAGTCAAGGTTAGCAAAAGTAAAATACAAGAAAGTATGTATAAAAATAAAAGTAAGGTAGGAAGGACATAAGTTACTTGAGGCATCAATGTTACTTGAAATCATTGTTAATAGCGCGCGATGAGTTTCAATGAGAGTTTGTTGCTTTATTTTATTCATTGTGCGAGGGCTGAGATACTGCCCGAGCGCCCAGACCGAAGCAGGTGGTTTTATTAAGGGACCACCCCCCGAGCCTTTGATTTGAAGTCTAATCCGCAAAGCAGCGGAGCAGCGTCAGGAGCTGCATTCCCATAGTTGCCGGTGACCCATATGGGTTCATACGCCGTTTGATCCGATTGGGCACTGGAGCCCATGTACCCCATGGTAACTGCTTTTAGTTTAACCGCTATCCAGAAAACCTTCCTGACATGGTAGGACCTGCAGGGACAGAGTCCCAGTCAGTTTAGCTTGTTGGGTCATTGAGGTATTCAAGCCCGACCACCACGGCAAGGTAGAAGTTATCGGCTGGTTAATCCAAATTGTTCCCAGATAGTCAGGACGAACAATTATGGAAAACTTATCATGAGCACTGGAAAGTGGAAAAAGTGATTCATATTCGACTCCTTTTAAAGTTTTTTTTTTTAAATTTTCCGGGTTACAATTTGGAATCAATAAAATTTACTCTTCTGTTGCTATGGGATATGAACGTGGATTAGTAGGATATTGTATATATATATATATATATATATATATATATTAGAGTAGAGACAGAGATGAGGATCTAATTGAAAAGTAAATATTTCTTCGCTCAATTTTTTGCATCAGTTAAGAAAGTTTCTCACTTTTGGTTTGAGCCACTTGAAGTGGTGTAGATTGCATGGTTGAAGTCTCCAAGACGTTAAGAACCAATAGCTGAAGACTTTTGATGACATGGCGCGAATGCTCTTTATCTGTCTGTCTGTTGTCGATACAGAACTTTGCACCGATGTGCACCAGTTCAAGTCGCCACACTTCCTCCTTGTAGCACACAAAGCAAGAGAAGAAGGTAGAAGAAATGCATAATAGAGACAGTAAACAGAGGTGTGAGACATAGGAATAGTAATAAGGAAGAACAATATAGTTTCATTGGAAATCATAAGTCACAAGGAGTGGATGCATCTGCACCAGCCATTGAAAACGATTTTGAGCCATGTCACCAATTGTTTCCAACCATTGAATTTTACCGTCCCCAGGAACCCTGTGTACACCTCCCTACGTGACTGGCTAAAACTAACTGTTGTGGATTTCATTGACTGATGAGGTTATGTTTTGGTTTGACCATCACTAGCTTTCTCTTTTCCCAATTGATCCATCCTATGTCAGCTAACATCGCTCGGTATCGAGACAGGCGATGGCTAGACATGCATACGTAACACATGTCCTAACGATCTCAATCGATGTAACTTCACAGACTCGTCTATTGATTTCCACTCCTTACCTAGCACTCGACCGATGCCTAACCTCAACATTGCTCACCTCTTTATACCATTTCACATGAGAGATAGAACGCAGGCACATATGGTCAAAGACAACTAGCTTTTTCGTGTCTTCCACATTCAATGACCATGTCTCACCCACATCCATAGAGGAGGAAAGAGTGAACTGCTTAACAGTCAGTACACACGCCCTTTGGTCGACAGCCGGATATCACATCTACTCCAGAGACGGCATAAACCGGCACATGTGAAACTATCCCCCTGTATCTCTACTGAGATTTCGTCAGAGATCCACCCGTTGGGGCTGATGCTCTTTATGAACTCCTAGATTCTCATCATTCTTCATGTATATGTCCTCTCTTTCCCGTATATATTTCCGCCTATTATTAGTGTCTTTGCATTTTTTTTCTCGACCGTTTTTTTGCTGTATAGAGTGTGGTAACTTGAACTGCTGAACTTTTGTGCAGACTGAAAACTCAGTCATTCAGTTACTAATCGACTGACACTTGAATATTCTAATTAAATCAATCAGAAAGTGTTCTATCATTACGTTGACTAAGTCACAGCAGATGAAATTAGATTTACGCTAGACAAGTAATAACTGACTACCTATGATAAACAGTGACATTATAACATTCTGGTCAATCATTTAACAGTTCTTCTAGAAATTCTCGACGTTAATTTACACACTTTTGTATATTTTTAGATGCTGATTTTCACTGTAATGGCTGTATTCATAATGAGATTGAAATTATTCTGGACTCCACAAATGTGCCTTTCACTTGCCATATTAGCTCAGTCATCCCGATGGTTTGATATATTTTACCTATTGAAAAGTGTTGGTAGTCGAATTTTCTCTAAACCGACATCAAATGATGTTTGTAAGCCTGATAAACAGACAAATGTTCAGCATCGAATTGTTTACATTATTTATACAGTGCTTATGTTATTTGTAGCATTCATGGGTGCGCGTGGATTAGAAAATGTTAAGGTTAGTTGCGTGCATTTTGTTTTCTATATAAATGGCCGCCTACAGTAAAATTCAGAAAGTGTTGTTCCAGATTAGATAAGTTTATTGTTTTTAGATTTTTGATTACAGCTTGATTCCACACTGTATTTTTGATACAAGTATGGAATTTTCAGCATGGATATCGGTAGCCCAAATTTGCAGGCCGACCATAGATATCAGGTGTGCGTCGGTAGGGGATCGAACCTCGGACCATGCACATGGTCGGCGAGAGTCCGAACCACTGTGCCACCGACGCACAGTTTAAAATATTACACAGTGATGCAGTATTAACAACTGGATGACGTTTCGAGCATAAATTATATCAATTTTAGTCACACGGTTTACACAATGTGTCTTATATCACAAAGCACAAAGTTTTTGTGTGATTCTAGCTGGAACTCACCTGTTAGATTCATACATATCTCATTGAGAGTGGTAGTGCACCTACTGAAAAACAAGTTTCATTCTCATTTTTTTGCAAAGACTTTAAAGTATCAGGTACCTATCTAGCCACCTATGTCCCATGCAATGGTCAGAAGATTCTACTTATTAAATTTTGGATTTCCTTTTATTTGCTTTTATGGAAGCAAAATGACCCGTCTTTGCTTGTATGTCATAAGTTCAAAGCCGAAATTGGAAGTTTTGAATAACATTCTCATAAATGTTCACAATTCATGCATATCACTAGTAATACTTTTTACTAATGGATCTCTAACAGCTTAAAAACATTGCTCAACTCCTAGACAATCAAATTTTAAAACACAATTTACTTTTCGGTGGGTGGATAACATTTTGGCGTTTGAAACTATGAGGACTGGGTTCGAGCCTCGGTGGGAACATCATCACTCACCGCGGAATACAGGTACATCCAGATGACGAGTCTCAAGTAGGAAGAAATTCGCATCCTGGATTCAATTGCTAGTCACCATCCACCAATTAACCTCTAAAGATAGCTTTCTTTGGTACAGAAGCTGTCTTTTCAAGAATGATTTGATAAGGAGTCTCTTACGGGTGTACGGATCTCTAATCCATTTAGCGATTTTATTATATGTAGAATTCGACATATCTAAGATGGGTCTCAGCCGGTTCCCAAGTGTGTGAATCTTTGGAAGCCCTTAAAGCCAGGGAGTATATGATCCAATAGCTTTAAGTTGTTGATAAAGTTCTACATTCATAAAAGCATGCATCAGTAAAGTCTTAAGCTGACTAGCACTTCGGTCCAGTAAATCGACGGGAAAATCTAAAATTCAATTAAATAAAGCTATCTTTATTAACCCGCCATTCAAGGGTGATCAAATTATGCAGCTGACAGCTCAAAGACTTTGGTCAACCATCAAGCGCACATCCTACGCCGCATCTCTTTCTCTCATATCTCGAACATTTTCAATCCCTGTACCTACGATTAAAGGACGAAATTCTGTGAACTAAACTTCACACTGTATCTACAAGTGTTCACCTGCAGTTGCGGTGACACTCATGTAAGTAGGACTAACACAGTGTCCCAATGTTGTCGAAAAGAACATATTCCGAAATGGTTATTAAGACACAGAAAATTCCAATACAATTAATCTGAATAGAAATCCAGCATCATCCATTGCAAAGCACTTATTAATGTCAGGTCACAACATCAATATTAATGACTATTTCACATAACTCCAATCCAAGGTTATTAAAGGTGATGGAAGCACTTTAGATTAATAACATACAGTCTAAACTATGTGTACAAAAAACAACAAACTTCAGTTTTCGCCTACCATGGACTACTTAAATATGATTAATAATCAGTATAATTTTCATGCATTTTATTTTATTATTGTGAACGGTGCTAGTTGTAAAGAGATAGCAGAGAAACTAGAAAATATTATCCTCTAGGGATATTTGTCTTCTGGATACTTGATTGAAATTTATCTGGTGGATTAATTTTTCTACCGTAATTACAATATTATCAAGATTTCCACTCATTATTATCTGTGGATTAAACGACTGACACTATCCTCTCAGCTGTATAATTATTTGACATCTTAAAGTTTCGAAACACATTTGTCATCATTGTTACTTGGCTTCATAACTACTCCATTTCACTAATAAGAGATTTTGACGTCATTTCATTTACGGAACGATAGCTAACCTTCTGTCAGTCATAACATCTAGGTGTTTAGCTGGCTATCATTCCAATTCTAATATTTGTTTATTAGCTATAAAATGCCTTTAAAATCTCGAGAAAAGCTTTTCTTCGTTTTCATTTATTTACTGTTTTTCAAATTTGGCTAGTCGGAATGGAAGATACAAGGTTCATTTAGTAATTATGAAAATGAGATATTGATTGGTTGGTTTCGAAATTTACCACAAAAGTATGGTAATTCCAGTTCATGGATAATATCTGGTCCAATGTCACTGTTAGGCAATCTACGTTTAACACTGCCAGCTTCTGCTCCTTATCCATCAACACAAAGTATATCAATAAATCAGTCAGGATTTGCGTTTACAAACCATCCACACTATGAGAATACAATTCTTCGTCATAGGACTATTTTAGCCTATGCAATATATAGTCGCAGACCTGTACACGAAGTATGGCGAATTTATCGTTATTCTTTAAAAGTGAGTGTTTTCTAATCGACTTATATGCCAAACTGTGTTCACTTTAGAATTTCTTTCCTGACAAGAAAAATTTCTTAGCTGGTGTATACAGAATGAATTTTGTTTCCATTTAGATTCATGTACATGAGCAGAACTCAGTTGTATCTTTTACCTAGGCTAGGAAATATAATGCACGACAGTCTATTTCATTTTGAACTTCGCTTTCTGAGCAGTTGTATTTCCAATGTTTTGCTGTGACTTTCCAGGAACAATGGTGTTGATGTTCATAATTGATTTTCACCACATACATTATGTGGGGAACGTTTCCTTTATTTTAGTGTACCTAAATATCAGTTGGAGGATTCCATAATGAGTTGACATCAATTAGAGAAACATTGGAGAATCTGGGAGTACTGGACAGCTGTTTCATCCTGGTTCAAGACTCTTCATCAGTACGTACCCATCGGGGTGTATCATTATGTAGAATTCCACTCTGTCTGTGACGCAATCATGCAATGCACATGCTTGTCAAGTTACACATACAAGTAACGCAAATAACACAAATAACGCCATATGCTTACGTTTTTCATAGGTAAAACGGTTATCTGCAAAATCCTATCTAGATGGTATACTTCCTGTTAATTTTTAAAGCCTAGGATAGAGAACGTTTGAAAGTTGTGATCTCATCAGTAGTCTTCTTCGTCTCACGTATTAAAAATTCATAGTATTTCAGATATGTATTCCTTAATTATAAGGATTTCTGGATATGGAGGACCATGAATAGATTCATTTTGAATAATGGTTCTATTGTAGTTCACTGAAAGAAATCAGCTATTGGTCAAAGTTACGCATCGAGTTCACCTTGTGTACTACAAGTTTTGATGTCCATTGACAACTGTAATATGACTTTTAGCTTTCTTTCTCACAAGAAGGCAAGTAGATTTTTTTATAGTAAGAAAACGTGTGTAGAAAACTTATACTGTGTAATAAAATTAAACTGTCTGGTATACTAGGCTTATGATTAACATTCCAGTTATAAAACATTCATTTTTAAACAGGTCTCCTGTTAAATTATTCATGTTGTACTGAGAATTTCAATATTCGTACAACTATTATTGGATTCAAGTTAACAGCTCATAAGGTGTCGTTACATCGTTAGTTTAATCACCGAGTCATGCATGTAGAGTTAACACCTAGATGGAAGAGATATTTCAGTATCTCAGAATGTATTGAAATACGAACAATTTTTACAGAATGCTATGGTATTATTCCCCATTTCGACATAATCAAAAGTATGCATAGGTCTATATAGAACCGAAAGCTGAAATGTTGCACATTCATTAACTTCCACAAATATCATCTCCGATGTTGCGTGGAGTACTTGTCAATTACGACAACGTAATTTTTTGTAAGGTGTAAAAACACTAGTAAAGGATGTCATTTAACATATGAAAATCGACGATATTTATTTAAACTCATAAAAAACTTGGTACAATATGGCACCAAGAAGAATGCGCCACATAATAATCATAAAACAAAATAGATCAAAAGAAAAAAAATATAAGTAGAGATTGGATAAAGAACTTCATCTAGAAGGAAAACACTCATGCTTAACAAGTTCAAACAGTGTTCGTTAACTATCATCGGGAAGGGAAGAAAGAAGGAAATCGCAACACATTCGCCATTAATTATGATTCTTGGCCATATCCGATAACGACGCCACGTCATGGACTGACCACCTCTCCGCCTTTTCCATCCCGTCCCAGGGCTGGCTAGCGAACAGAGACCTGTACGGAAGCACCTGGGGTGACATTCGCAGCACATGTCCAAGCCACCTGAGCCAGTGTTTTCAGATGACGACATCCAATGAATGGTGATCTCCATTGTGTTCAAACACACGCCGCCGAACCTCAGAATTACTCACGCGATGATGCCATCCATCGAACGCAAGCAATTCTCTGGAGACAGCGGTGATCGAACACGCAGTCGCCGAACATCCTCAGCCTACTCGGAGAGACCAGGTTTCACAGGCGTAGAGCAGCGCAGCCCGCACCGAAGCATTGTATACCCGACATTTGAAAGCCAGGCTAACGTCGCGTCGGCGCCAGAGGTGGCTCAAGTTGATGTATGCCACCCTAGCCTTCATTATACGGCTGGAAATCTCATCCGTCAACCCTCCGCCAGCACTCACACAACTACCCAGGTACACAAACTTATCAGCAACTTCAAGCGGTTCACCCGCAAGAGTGAGTGCAGGTACAGGCTCCTGCCAATCTTGTAACAGTACTTTGCACTTAGACGGTGCGAAGCACATACCATACTTACAGACACTGATCGCCAACTGATTAAGTGCGATTTGGGCAGCCTGCATGCTATCGCACAGTAAGACGATGTCGTCTGCATACTCGAGGTCGAAAAGTCTATCTCCAGGTAGCAGATCTACACCACCTTCACGCACATCCTTCAGAGCTGACTCCAGAATGTCATCGATGGCAAAGTTAAAGAGAAATGGAGAGATTGGGCAACCCTGTCTAACCCCACTGTTGGTTGGGAACAGTGGTGATAGTTGGTTGTATGCCCTCACTCTACCTGAGGTGTTTCTGTATAGGGCTTTCAAGATGTTAACAAATTTCTCAGGTATACCTCTCTCTAACAGACAGTTCCAGAGCACAGTTCTGTCCAACGAATCGAAGGCAGCCCTAATATCAAGAAACACAATGATCGTTGGCCTGCAATACGTGTGGCGGTTTTCCAACGACTGACGAAGGGTGAACACATGATCAATGCATCCACGACCTGAACGAAACCCAGCCTACTCTTCGCGAATCAATCCTTCACGTATTTTGCACAGTCTGCGAAGCAAGGCAGCAGCCAATATTTTACACGCGACTGGTAACAGACTGATACCCCTATGATTGTCACACGAATTACATCGACCCTTTTTAAAATGAGGACGATATCATGTACCTTTATTTAACACTTTTTGTGTGCGTAAATTTGAGGTAATGAATTGTGACAATCGCTCATATCACTGCTAATCTAGTTTCTTTTTGGATGCTTTATGTCTTGCAATACAAACTGCCTTAAATTCAATTTAAGATTCTAATTTCAAGTTAGATCATGCACTAACTTCAGTAAGAGAACTATTGAAAACAATGGAGTACTGAAAACTTGTTTTGTCCTAGACACAATCTCATCAGTATGGATTATATATCTAAAATTAGAATTTAATGGGCTTTTAGTTCCCCTCCAATGGCTGAAGGCCTTGCTTTCGACCCTTACTGGGGTAATGGTTATGTACTGCTGATAAGTACTACTCGGAGTTCAGTGGTTCTTCAACTGTCATTATTTCGTAGTCTAATTTGGAATCAATAAAATCCATGCAAATCAGCACTCGAAAATAAGATTCTAATTGTTATAATCGTTTTCCTTAGTTATAAATAAGCATTAAATCTGTTTTCCTTTTTCTCTTAGACTGATTTTGTGATCGTCGAAGGGCATACATGCCCACCTAGAGGAGGATGCAGTAAACCGGAGCTTTATGATTTACTAGATCCACAACTAATTGGACAACCAGCATTGTGTGAATCATTGTTATCTGTAGAAGTTTCACAAACTGGTAAAACGCCGAGTATTTTGAAGCCATATTTTACAGTTGTGTACGTTGAGTCATATACAAACAGAGTTGTACTATATGTAAATAAACTTGACTAAATAACTCGATGTAATTTAGCATAAATATGAGAGCTAGTTACAAGGAAATGCCCGGTGTTCAGCTCAACGGAGAAATAAACCACCTCGAAATATTTTCACTAATTGGTTACGGTACTGAACACGTTTTACATCCATCTCCGATTATTTTGTTCCCGTGTTGTTATATTATGTTATACAAGACATGTTGTTGTACATGACAGACTATGGTTTATGTGAATAAATTCTATATGCTAATAATTCTATTTGTGTTTTTAAATTATCAGTGACCAACGGACTTCAGATTATGCGAATTAGGATATTTTCACTAATCAACGCATAGGTATACGCTGAAATAGATCTTTGTTTAATTACAATACCATGATAAATTTATTTCAAGGTATAACTACTTCAATTCATTGATAAATTAAATTTCAAAAGTTCTTTTTCACAGTGCTCGGTTCATTCTTCGATACGGTTAACTCTCAATTAGTTTCACGAAAATCTAAGTAGCCGACTAGTACTACCATATGATACGTTGACAACTGCATGTATGCGCGTGTAGTTATCGAGTTGCATAAAGCTGTTGTATACGGGACACTTCATATCTCTTTCGTGTAAAATTCTCAGCAACCAAGTTGATACGCTGTGAAAGACTGAAACATTCAATATCCAACTGATTAAATATTTAATTAATTAAATATTTAATATTGAGTTATAAGTATTAAAAAAAAGTGTCTATATTATTCATAATGGTAAAAGTGTTGCTATTATAAAGAATTTACATAGTTTACAACTGCTTATATGATATTTTGCTATACAGTTTAATCATCTTCTTCAGATAGACATACTCTCTCGACAACTCGACGTTGAGATTTCTTTTGAGACTTTTTTGTACATTTTTTATTTGATATGGACTTTACTTGACTTAATTCTTCTTTTGCTTCTTCTTCCTTTTCTGGGAGATTCTTTGCAGTTTGCTTTCTCTTCGACTTTCGGGGTTTAGGTAACTCAGAAAGCGAATTGTCCTTGTCTTTTATGCTTGTTGAACAGGATGGTAGAGTGATAGAACTTTTACAAGGAGATTGGTTATCTGCCTTTTTAGTCCGTAGCCGGTTGGCTGCACGACGAACCCGTTTGCTTGGCATTGAAACCTAATACGGGGTTTGAAAGAGGTATTGAATGAGAAAACTGTCACATTCGTTATTTATGTATTCTTTGCTGCTTACAAAAGGTAATTCATGGAATAATAACACACGGTTGTAATACGTCTATAAATGAATGCGTTGAAATTTAGTGAACCAATTAATCGTATATAGTTTATTGTCTTAATAAATGCATTCAGTTAGAACAATACTTCTTCAATCTGTAGATGTTTCATAACTCACTGAATATAATCGACTCATGCTGGGGACATCACTCGTACCTACTTCCCATGAAACTTCATGAACTCTCTAACAAACAACTCTCGCCGCGCCTGGGCAGCGATGATTCGAGATGTTCATGAGGCCGGCTCATCCTCCCGTAGGAGATAGCCGAGGTAAAGTAAAGTAAGTAAGTATGAATAAAATTGAGGTAAGAAGTAAATAATCCTTCAGTTCTGGGACCCGGGTCCCAGTGGCTCAATGGTATACGGGCTCGCCTTGTAACCAGGAGGTCCTGAAGTTCGAATCCCGGAGGGTGTGTACTGAGTAAGAGTCGCAAACTACGACGAAACAGCTGTCAAGTACTCCCGGGTTTTCCAATGGTTCTCTAACTAATGTCAGCTCATGATGAAATCCTGTAACCAATCAAATCCCTACAAGCCAACACTTGAATGCTTATGAATTGAATAAGGTTTCACAATTGAGATGATAAACTTCGACATACTCTGGTTTAAGTGTCGATGGTTCACTGGTAGAACATTTACCAACCACCATCCATGTGCTTTGGGTTCGATTCCAGTCAAGCGAGGCAAGGTTGGACGTAAAGATAGCAACCCTATCGCTACTAAGACTTTAGATCTCAAGTCTGAAACCCTATGTTCCACTAGGAACGCAAAAAGGGCATTTATTTAGCGTAGGAGAAACAGTATACTGATAAAACTAATAATAATTACTAATTTTGTGGAAAGCTCATAAAAGTGCTATGACCTATCATCACTTGTGTTACTCGAGGTATTCAACTTAATGCGTGAAATATCAACCAAGTAAATTAACTGGTCAACTTACCTCATCCAATTCAGATGCATCAACATTATCACCATTGGTTTCAGAATTTTTACACATTTTATCTTTAACAGGAAAGAAATTAGTTATGAGTGGTTTGGATGAAAGAATTTTCTCAGGATTTCCAAATTCCATAGTTTGTCTGTGTTTCAGTACAGAAGCTAGCAAAGCTTCTGTTTTTTCAGCACTCCATCCCAACGAAGCATTCACATGCGTGAAGAGAAGACTAAGGATAAATAGTATCATTTATAAAATTTGTTTGATTTACTTACTTATTTTTATCCATAGTAGTGAATAATCTATTTGGAAAAGCATGCCTATCATAATTATGCTAGTTACATTGATTATGTTCGCTGAAATAATAATGGTTTCGCAGATTTTCACCGCTAAGATCTACTATACCTTTCAGAAGAGATGTAGAAATATCAAGTATTTAAACCTCTCCTACGCATTCTAATGTGCTATATTGATCCAGCAGGTTTATCTACGAACAGTTTGTAAAGAGCACAACAAAAATATTTACTTTCAAGAATTGATCTGTAAGGATTAGGTTTGTTTTTCAACTTTGACCAGGGGTTGATATCAGTTACAGAACTCTCAAAAATCAGGGGAGTACTGGACACCTGTTTCATTCTAGTTTGGGAATCACCGGCAGTATGCACCCACTGAGTTTTGAGCCCAGGAGAAGTTAGAGTTCATGGACCATTGAGTCGGGTTTCACTGGTTGAATGGTATAAGAGCTTGTCTTGTAATCGGAAGGTCCTGGATTCGTACCCTGGTGTTGGGTGCGTACTGGCGATGATTCCTAAACTAGGATGAAATAGCTGTCCAGTACTCCCTGTGGCTGGTTCTCAATGGTTCTCTTACTGATATCAACCAGTGGTCAAACTCGAAAAATATTTATGCCTGTTCTGTTAAACTGGTTGCTTGTGAAGGTGTACAAATGTTCTGTCATGAACAAAGTTGAGAAGAGTATTCAATTTCTAAAGAAATATTGTGAATTCAATCTCTATTTATCTCAGTTAATCTAAGTACAGCACTCCATTATATCACTCCGTTTACCTATTAATTTACCAAAAAGCTACTTAGATTCTTTAATTCCTACTCAATTGTAGTGTCATTCATGTCTTCTCAAGCACCAGTTAATTAACCTGTAGGGATTAGGTGAGCACAAGAGATATGACATATAAATATACAGTTTTTGTGCATAATCAGGAAGGGATAGGCCTAGCGAAGTAAAGAAAAAAACTGAGTTGTAACCTCGGTCGATTTGACAGAGATAGGACACGACTACTAAGCAAATAATCACAAGGCAGTACGACGGCCTATTAGAATCAACACACGATAAAAGTCACTTGATGTAATAGATGAATCTAAACATGACATAGTGATTCCAAGCCATAAATTAATAAAAATTATATAACAATTTTCTTAGAAAAAAAAGGATATTTGACCAGTAATGGTACACGAGGTAGTTCCCATTCGAATGGTGGAATATCAGTTTTAACATTCGGGTACAAATAGGCACGAGCAATACGACCATCTGGAAATCCTGAAACCAAAGAAAGCGATAAAAAAGACATGCTAAATTCTGTTGAAACAGATCCTTGTCAGGTAAATATAATTGCCTGGAGTTTGCTGCATTTTAACTTGTACTTATTCTCTCAGATTCTGCTACTTGACATTATAGCCACACCTGCATATCTCATAAATTATGGTGGTTGGAAAAATTATTCTTCGAAGTCTTATCATAGCAAGAAGCTGAGGCGGACTGTAATAAATGTGTAGATTACTACTGTCAAAGTGCAAGTAACTTCCTAATGCAGGTTGTAAAGACTTGTAAGTAAAAAATATATTTCATCAAAGCCAAAAACTCTAAATAGTTGTTTGTGTTAAGTATTCCTTGACCTTTGAAGTTACGGCAAACTGACACAACTTTCCTCAAGGATTCTTGATTTAGAAAAACCAGTCTTTACGATGCACACAATGTAGGAAATATTCAATGCCTAAACATTGCCAATTACTCAATAAAACCAACTTGTTATTCAAGTCATCGTCGAATATAACTACCAACAAAATGACCTCAATGTTTCATCTTGTAATCACACGCCCATTCAGGCTGATGGAGCAACATCTCTAGTTTACTGGAGGTATGTTGTCAACCTACCTTACTAAAATATTCAAATTATGAGTCAAGCAAGCTAACCGAATACAAATACATTTTTCGTACCGATTGAGGTGATCTTGTTTACAACCCACTTACAGAGATCCCTTACTAGACCATCGAGTATGCATACAACATAACTGTATTAGTAGAAATACAACCGTCTGGTGGAAATGTGCGTAGATCCACATCGAAGTGCGCTAGTTTCAGTTGCCATACCTCATAATATCACAAACAGACAACGACAGAATATACTACTTCTGGTTAGTTATATAACACATCCCCGACATTTGTGACTCTATATTTGCATTGAAAGCTTTCTAATGGGTGGAAGTCGATCATTATATCACAGTCCCAAAGTCAAGCGTATTCGCTTTCCTGGACTTAATGATTCGGTAAATATCAGATAAACCTTAGATCTTAGATATTGTGTTAGTTTCATTTTATGCTCATTATTACAAGTGGCTTTTTCTTCTTTCTTAAGAAGCTCGAATGATCAGAGAACGAAATTTGTCAGAGAGAGATTTTTGGTGCTCACATTTAAAAATTTTCAGAGGTAAACTGTTCTTGACCTGTTGTAGGTTTAAACAACGTTTCCAATTACACTTATAGTTGGATGATAAACGGCCGAAAGAAAGTGTAGCTGACTGCAGAAGTGCCGAAGTGATTCCATTGTAGAACTAACCAAGAATAGATACGAAACGAAATTACAAAACAGTTAAGATAGTTCCATTATAGATAAGATTTTATTTTGATAAATCGCACAGTGTTTACAGTAATGTTTACTGATGACGTTTCGAGCACAATTTATTGCTCATAATCATATCAAGGTAATCACACGACTTCCTAAATTCATTTATATAGTTCCATTGTTTTTCTCTTGATTTTCACTTGATTTGATTGGTAATAGGGACAGGCTCTGTAGGTTAAAGGACCCAGTTGACCCAATTAGACAAAATAATATTATTTACAAAATACCATGCAATGACTATGAGGTCAACTACATAGGTCAAACTAGTCAGTCAGGGGTAGTCAGATTGTCAGAGCATAAGAATTTAGCTAAGGTAAGAATGGTTGACCCCGAGAAGATAAATAATTTAGAAAAAAGCTCAGCAATCGCAATGCATGCGTTAACACACAACCACACAATAGGGTGGGAGAGGGTTAAAATTCTAAAAAGTAATCTAGGTAGGTGGAGAGAGAGGTTGATTACTGAATCCTTGTTCATCGAGTCTACACCCAACACATGCAATAGGAATGACTCGTCACTCATACCTGAAATATGGAAAATACTATTACCAATCAAGTGAAAATCAAGAGAAAAACAATGGAACTATATAAATGAATTTAGGAAGTCGTGTGATTACCTTGATATGATTATGAGCAATAAATTGTGCTCGAAACGTCATCAGTAAACATTACTGTAAACACTGTGCGATTTATCAAAATAAAATCTTATCTATAATGGAATTATACTCTACCACAGTGCCCAAGTTTTATACTTATATCAATAGTTAAGATAGATAGTTCAAAATTTTCAAATACCCAAATGAAATAGTAAAATGTTCACCTACCAGGCGACGGTTTCAAATTAATCCAACGACGCCTAACTGGACTTGATTCAGGCACTTTCACTATTTTTTTTGATTGTAAAGAATCTTGAGAACGATTTGCTTGCCACCAATTTCTAGATAAAATAATTTGTTTTGTAAAAACTCCATAGTATGAAAAATATCTGGAAATTCGGGTGAATTAGCATGCTGATTACAAACCACTTCTTCTTTGATCTTAAAGTTACTGGGAACAGATTTTCCGTCTGATAGGCTATGAGCCACACTTATTTATAAAGATTCGATAGTACTACCATCCAGGTTGAAGTAGGTGGAGAGAGATTCGGGCCTTGAACCCACTGACTGAAAGTCAAATACTTAAGTCAGTGAACTACGTCTCCATCTCTTCAAAACACTAGGCAACTCAAAATTTCATGAGTACTACTCGCAAACCATTTCACTATTTTCTTATTTGAAAGAAAGTAAAAGTCCCATATGCATCGGTGGCACAGTGGTTAGGACGCTCGCCGACCATGCACATGGTCCGGGGTTCGACTCCTGGCCGACGCACTCCTTCACCTCGCTAAGCCAGCAATAAAAAAGCTGGTAAAGAGGAAAGGTTTGGCATGAGGCTAGCAACCCCGTCCTGGAAAAATAAACGCTGCAACAGAAACTTCAAGCCTTTAGCTTGAAGCCCTATGTTCCACTGGACACTTGAAGGAATAAAAAAAAGTTTCATATCAAGCGGTTGTTGATTTACTGAATAAGACTACGATCTATTTATCTTTCTCTTCGCAATAAAACGTCGTTTTAGTATAGACTACACCAGCAGATGAGGAGTATAAGTCAGATGACAGCATTATCCCAACCTTTAATGTTAAGAATCAGTCGACAAATACGATTTGTTTATAAATAACAATGAACATAACAGTTTCCTGCTCACTGAGTCCCAAAAATTCATTATGGAAATGTAGTCTCTCGACAATTACTCTACTAAGCAAACCAAAAACTCCATCAATAAACATATAAACAAGCTTCGGACGACATATAACTGCTGTTAACATTCAATGACGAATTCATGAAAACTCACGTAAATTGTTCCAGTGGTTTAAGAATATTCTGAAGCAATTCTTCTGAAGGTTTACATTTACCATGAAGCCAATTATTCATTTCAGTATTCAATGAATCATCTACTTCACCGAATTCACTAAGTATTTCAATTGCTGTGACTGGACCAACTTGATCGATTCCATGGGTATAATCACTTCCACACAATAATGTTAAACGCAGAATATTTTCTACAGTAAGGCCTATTTTATTTGAAAGACAAAAGATGATGACTTAATGACAGATATATAAATATTGTAGCGATGATGGAAAAACCCATTATTTTCTGCATCTAAAATTCAAGGGCGACATTCCTACGGCAGTTCTATCCCAACATCTAACCAGAACGCGTCGGTGGCATAGCGGTTAGGGCGCTCACCAACCATGCACATGGTCCGAGATTCGATCCCCGGCTGACGCACTCGTTTACCTCGCTAAGCCAGCAATAAAAATGCTGGTAAAGAGGAAAGGTTGGGCATGCGGCTAGCAACCCTATCCTGTAAAAATAATCACCACTGCAACAGAAACTTCAAGCCACTAGCTTGAGGCCCTATGTTCCACTGGGAACGTGAAGGAAAAATTATTTATTATTATTATTATCTAACCAGAATGACTTTCACTCTGTACATTTATTCTTATCCTTCGATAGCTGTCCAATGTTTACTCAGAAACTGAAGGACATCTTGCTTAATCTTAGCTCCTTTATATCTATATTCCGTTTTAACTATTCCTGTGGTTCAAACCATATAGGGCCTGTGATTAGGCAGGTTTGTCTACCAATTCGATAACAATTACCAAGTCGGTTCAGAAAAGGTGGAAATAAATGCATAAAATTTCATTTCTATCACACTTAGTATATACAGTACCTCGCGCTGACGCTAACACATATACCGCATTCCGAAGTTATTAACACGCACAGTTCACTTATGTCTTTTACATACAACTGAAGCTGTTGCAATAAAACCGGCTAAACCAGAAATTTGTATTCCAAAAGAACTCTCCTAGACGTTATTCTTACTATCAGCCCTCGGAGTACGGTCTTTATAACTAGCTCCACAGGAGCAGTAAAATTTATATCCACACATTGATGTGGTTATCATGCATTACTTATCTTAAATGCACCGTGTCAGTACAGGTCTAGTCGGGTGATTGGTATGTAGGGTTTCGGCATTAAAGTTCTTTCAAAAGAGATGAGCCAAACAAACCACCTAAAGCTATGCAATTACTTTTCCTAACTATAGCTGAAGCTATAGGGATTTTAGGAGATGGAGAATTTTTACGGTGACGCAAGATACGCTGTATGCAAACGCAATTATTTATCCTATAATTCTCAAAGTACTTGTTTGACTGAGACCAGAGACAAATTAAAACCCTCAATAGACCGTCCAAAAATAAGAGATGCATTTCGGGATCATAAAAATCAAGGAATGATGACTGCTTAAACAGCTAGGACTCGTATACGAACTGCCGGACGTAACACAACAGCTTCCTAAATAGCGTGGATGCATGATTTCGCTACTTCAGTTTAACAAGTTGATTTAACTATTGAAGGTCAGAATCTAATGTTGAAGCAAGAATACTGCAGACTACTAATTTTAGGGAATTATCTGCCTCAACAGGATCAATAAGAACACGACTAACTTACATTTACCTTGACTTACCATCATAAGATCATCAGGGACGTAATCATCCCATTATTGTCATATCTTATAATGCCTTTCTTACACCTTTTCATTTGATATACTTCATATCATTACTTATCAGCCTTTGTATTTACACTTTGCTTATCTTGGCTCTATTTTATGAGCATACGTCACTTTTGATGTGGTTGTGTTTTCTGAGCTGGATAGTTAGTTTGCGAAGCTTTCATTGCCGTGCTAGACAACATCTTCAGCGCATACTTCAATACTTCACTTTATCATTACATTTGTTATTTGTCGTTTAAATGACAGTCAAAGCCAAAGGACTATTATTTCATCTTATACTTGTGCCCCAATAGAGTTTGTGACATAATTTCGACTTGCCCAGTAATTGTGTACTGCTTTCATGGACTTGTTAAAGCTGAAAATAATTGTTCGTTGAATTTTTGTTTGTTTGCAAAGTACTTTTAATTGAATATGGGTAAGACGGATCTCAGAGAAGATGGTTAGGGACGCCACATTAGATTATCCGTAGATATTTTCATATATAGGAAGATATGTAACATGAGATCTTCATATGAAAAAAGGCAGTTTAAGAAGGTGAGCAACTGCGGAGAGGAATTTATTCTCAATAACGTTAGTATAATTTTTCGTCCGATCATCAGTGATGATTCAGTAATATCTTCACTGTCTTCGATTTTAACTAACTTTATAAACTACACAGTAGTGTTTTGCTAGCATATAAAATCAATTAAATGTGTGCATACAGATTTCTCAGTTCACATATAAATAAGAACAAATAAACAACGGAAGCAGGGTAGCTCCGCGAGCTTGTAGACAGTAATCAGTTATGACTTTAATTGTATGAGGGTCAGTGACACAACTTTACAGACCACATGTTCTAAAAAGAATAAGAATGGCTTCAATCCGCAATCGCCTGACCAGCGTTCGTATCTCGAGACCATTGAGTCATACGTTTGTGGTGAGAGCAGGCTAGCCAAAAATGGTAGACAGCATTTTACGTCAATGGGTATGTCGCAAATATTTGTGGTGGGAAAATATGAACAAGACTGATTTAACAACCAATCACAGCAGACTTGGCGCAGGCAGATGTAGTTAAAATATAGATGACCTGATATTCAAAAAGCAGTCACAGAGAGATTCAAAGTCAACTTTCTGTAAGAAACAACCAATCAGAAGACTGTGTTTGTCTGCTTGAATAAGCTATAATAATGAATTCAGTATGACCGTGTGAAAACAATTGGTTCAACGGTTCTGATTGTCCATCGCCTACTTGCAGTCTTGAAATTGTCGCTGGATAATTATCGATTCTATAGATCTTTCCAAAAGATTCACTTCATATTTATTCTACGGAATAATGGCCAATTTTTCAAGAGTAGCAGAAATCTTTGAACAAGCCTTCGTCGCTTTTGGTCGTCTAGCACAGCTTACTATAGACCTTAAACAATTTCAAGCACAACAGAATGATGGAGATTCTAAAACCTGTGGAAAATGGTTACAAAAAGAAATCGATGATCCTAAAACGGCTATTTCACGTTTTGGAGCAGATTTATCAAAGATTGCTGAGGCTGTTGAAACCGAAACAATTAATCAGATAAAACAAAAGTTGAAAACTCGTGCTTTTCAGGATGCAGGGCTTGGAGATACTTCCTTTGAAAATGAGACTGGGGATACACAAGTGAAACATGAAACTACAGCACAGAACACTGTCTCAGCAGACCGTGGAAGGCGGAAACAAGCGTTGAGTCAAATAACTCAATCGGTTGATGTACATCCTTCAAGAGGCGCCGGGCAAATGATTCTGATGAAGACTATATGCCTTATGATACTACTGCAGAAGCAGAAAATATTAATACTGAGAAGAAATTTCGACAACGTGTTAACAATGAGAATACAACAACGCCAACGCCTCAAAATGATCTGTTGCCTAACTCTTGTCTTTTGTCGTTACACGTGTACGTTATCACAAAGATTTAAAGGCTATATAATCGTACCATACCTTAAAAATACTTTCAGCTCAATTCTACTTAAATTGAATTGAATTCAATAGTTAAAAAGTAAGCAGAAGTATACACACACATATATACATATATATACCTAATTTTCGTTTCACTTCATCAAGTTTATACAATGATGGATTTGTTCTTCGTTTTTTATCATCACCAGTCCCGAAAAGATGACGACAAACAAGTCTAACACCAAATGGCCAAACATCAGAATCATCACTGGCGACTAAATCAACTAAACCGTAACGTTGCAATGCCACACATTGAGCTTCTGCTTCCTCTGGGCTAACAACGAATGGAAATCCAAATAAGCGTAGCAAATCCTAAAATGTTTTAAAAAAATAACAGATGTTTACTTCATATAATAAACTCAATTAAAATGTATAAAAACATAACCTTAATGATAGAATAAAATGTGGAAGTGGTATACGAAAGAAGCCTGTAACAGTTAATCGATTCACATTGCATTACTATTATTGTTCATATAATGTTACTCAACAACGATTTGCAATTCTGTGCACAAGTGGAGATGATCCACAGCTTTTGTGTGAGGTGTAACGATGTACTAACCGACTCCCCGAACCTCAGTAGACGGAGAGCGGTTCGAAGGCGTAAACCACTCATTGAAAGTCGACCGACTAGACCAATAAGTCACAGCTACACTTTACTACTATTACTACTGAAATTATAAGCAATTAATACAACAACAGGTACTGATCATTACCGATGGGATAAATTTGAAAGAGGTGATTTCTTTCACTTATCTAGGATGCATTATTCCAACTACAGTCAGAACGGATGAGGATATCAAATCCAGTAAGGACTAGAAAGGCAAGGCAGACCTTCACCAATCTGAAGTCTGTTTGGAAATCTTCTGCACTAGGCACAAACAACAAAATTCGAATTCGAAAGTTGGTTTGCAGGGATACCTAGCATTCTGACATTGGAAACGATGGGTTACGGCTTCGGGTTTCAGAAGAAGCATTACCACTGACAAAAATTAGGAACTTTAATTGTATTCCATCTTGACTTGGTGGGTGGATTATGATTTCCTTCGTTTAAAACCTAGATCCGATACCTTGCGGTCTTTTGAGCTTGAATAGCTAAAGTTTTAAAAATGAAGCTGAACAGCGATCCATTGTCTTTAGGTTTCCAATGAATCTTTAGCTCCTGCTAACTCATCACAAAGCCCATCTTGAAATTAATTGAATCCTAAGAGACCACGAACTTCAGAAAGATTTATGTTGTAACATCACATTTCTGAACTCTGTTTGATAAACAAATCTAATCATTATACACAGAAAAATTTCAGAAACTTTATAGCGTTGAAAACATCATTTTTGGTTACTTGGTAAAGTTTTCTTAGCGAAAAGATTGATGCAAAAGGTTTTACTATATTATATTACCTGAGCTTCTGAAATACAACGTGTAGTAGTGGATTGAGCTTGTCGCGTAAGACGATCAGCCTTTTCTCTTAACATGTTATCATCAACAATTAGATCGTCGTCTTCTAAATCTGAAGATGAGATGTATTCCTTGATGTTAGAGTCTTCTACAGTTTCTTTATCAAAAGATTCACTTTCTTCATGTGTGTATGTGGATTCACTTTCCTCATGAGAACTGCTTTTATCAGTTGAGTATTTTTGCAATATGGTAGACTCACTGGAAATGTTAGAAAGATCAACATGTTCATGCGTTTCAACTTCAATGAAATCGTCATCGTCATCATCTTCATCACTGTTCATTTCATTGTTTTGTTGCGTATCTTCAAAGTCTTTAACATCATCTACTTCATGAATCTGTTGAGATAGATTCGAATTCAGGTTAGATTCATCCCGACGAATATTGTTGTGATCACATAATAGACTTTCGAAAACTGGTGACTCAGGTTTTATTGGCAGCTTTTCTGTCTCTAAACTAAATGAATCTTGAGAAGCGCTCACAACAAGCACATTTTCAGAAGAATTATTATTATTAATAATAATTGTCTGGTCTACTTTATTAAAGTTATCAGAAATGTTCGCTTCTTTTTCACTTTCATCTTCCATCTGTTTCTTGTTCAACGACTCCGAAATGGTTGATTGTTCATCAAACGAATAACATTTTGAGTCAGTAATACTTTCCTCGATGATATTTTGTTCATTTACAGGGATTTGTAATTGTTTAGGTGAACATACATCATTACTAGGTAACTCAACATTGGATACTTTTTTCAAGTCCTTCGTACCATCCAGAGAAGCATCCAGAGATGATGCTTCTTTAGTACATTCAACTTCTTCATTGTTAATTGATGCATTTAATTCAATGGGGTTTAATGCAATTAATCTGAAAGAAAAATAAAGCAGGAAAGTGTTCAGCGATTTACTTAGAAAGTCTCTTTCTTTAAAATACAGCCAATTAAAACTGGTAGTCTGGACTGGACAATATATATCATCCACTAAAATAGCCTCCGTCATTTTATCTAAAAGCATCGATTAGTGAGGATACTCTATGATAGCTAGGAAACTATGTTCACCTAACAAGTTGGAAGAAAACGAACTGCCCTTTGTTGAGAAATGTCACACACACAGAGTGTATATTCAACGAGATGCAACTTGAAGTATGGAAAAGAGCAAGTTAAGAAAACGAAACACTCATTTTTTTGAAAATAAGAAAGTCTTTATTCGTCTTCTATTCCAAGGGAGAAGTAGCGTGGTGAGAGCTGGCTGCAAGCCAAAATTGTAGACAACAATTTACGTCAATGTTCACCTCCTGAATCAGGGTCATGAGAAAAACAATTAAAAAGCTTCACCTTGAGAAAATCACTAGTCAATCACAGCGGAGTTAACGTGTGGAAATATGTTTCGCAGATATATGGCTTGATTTTCTGAGAAAAGGCTAACAATAATGTACATAAAAACCGATGAATACCTCCCGACTTTCTCAATAAAAAGCTGTTGCCTGGTCCTTGTCTTTTTTCGTCACAGTAGTATCCCAAAAGACCAACAAGAGAGTGAAATAAGGCATAAATAAATGCCTACCTGAAGTTATTTATTTTATTTTTATTTGGATTACAGCTTGATTCCACACTGTATTTTTGGTACAAGTATGAAATTTTCAGCATGTGATATCAGTAGCCCAAATCTTGCAGGCCCGTCATTGGTATCAGGTGTGCGTCGGCAGGAGATCGAACCCCGAACCATGTGCATGGTCGGTGAGAGTCCTAACCACTGTCCCACCAACGCACAGGTTGTATCGTTATAAAGAATCGTGTGTTCAATAAACCAATCCAAAATAGTTAATTACCCTTTTGATGTCACTATCAGCTGCATTAACAGATTTTTATGCACCTTTGGTAACAAGCACATAAATGCTTCCATCAGGTTTTCTGATGTTTACATTTTGGATGCCCTAATTTACAAAATTTCCTTCGCTATTATCCCACCATTGAAGTATATTATTCTCATTTATTTATATTCATTGTAATATCAGGTAGTCGGAAACTGACAAGAATCTGGAAAATAAAATAATCTCATTTTGCACTGCAAATCTGACCCTAATTGCTTCACCGAAATTTATCGAGAGAACCATGTATGTGTGTGGTGACTGAAAAAGTTCAAATGCTTTTAATATGAAGTTACTCACCAGCAAAAGAAAAGGGAATTTCATTAAAATTTCATACAAACAGACTTACTTTTCTAAATCGAATGTTGTCGATGAAGGTAATTTACTTAGACTGTTTGATTTTTTCAACGGAGATTGTTTAAGCAAAATAGCATGTCCAACATCCTGCGACTGGATTCGCATTGCTGTCGCTATAGTTTCAGTAGACTCTGTAGATAATGCTGAGCATAAAGACTGATTTTTTAAAATATTTTTTATCATAGAATTATCTAATTGAAGAACTTGTTGAACAGCTTCTTGTTTAGTTAAATTATCAGATAATTCTTGTTGACGTTCTGCTAAACGACGACGTAAAAGTAAACGTTTTGTTTGAACGTCGGAAAATGTTTCAGGGTCAAATGATGCTATACAAAAGAAGAAAATAAGTTAAAAAGTTGAATAATAACTAGACTGCATACATATTAACAAGGTGATATCTCATTGATAGTTTCAACTCTTTCAACAGTATATTCTATAGGTGATTGTGCTAAATACTAAACTACGTTCAGATGAGAATGATCAATGTGTATTGAATTATCCTGGATATATTTCATCAAATACGTCCAAAGTCAAGCTCTATGTATGATTGGCCGAATGGATAACACTTTGTAGAGAAGAGATGTGGCTCGTTGACTTGAGTACTCCAATCTTCAGCACATCTGACCCAGATTCGAATTTCACTCCATCTACTTCAGCCTAGGAAACTGGTCAGTATCATCGACCTTCACACAATGAGTGTAACGCTAATAGCCTGGAGTTGAGTTAATGAATTCTAACCAAGCTTATAAACAGAGACGAGCATAAACACAAACGCATACAGGTAACTTTTTTGAGAAATGAAATACACTGAAGAATTTTCTAGCACTATGATGTAAAGCAGTGAAGTGGTTGATGTGTTGTAATGATTAAGATGAGTAAAATAAATATAGCGATGATAATATTATGAAAAGTGTCTTGACTATTCACACTAATTTTACACTGGAATTGAAAGGCAAACTATTGATTTCTGACTGTCTATCTGTTTTCGACATAGAACTTTGCACCGATGTGCACCAGTTCAAGTCGCCACACTCCCTCCTTGTAGCACACAAAGCAAGAGAAGAAAGTAGAAGAAATGCATAATAGAGACAGTAAACAGAGGAGTGAGACAAAGAAATAGTAATAAGGAAGAACAATATAGTTTCATTGGAAATCATAAGTCACAAGGAGTGGATGCATCTGCGATAGCCACCGAGAACAATTTTGAGCCATATCACCAATTGTATCCAACCATTGCTTTTTACTGTCCCGAGGATCCAAACCAGTCAGGAAGTCTACACCTTCCTACGTGACTGGCTTAAAATAACTGCTGTAGATTTCATTCACTGGTGACATGTTCTGGTTTTACCGCCGCTAGTTCTTTTCTAGCCTTATACCCTATGTCAGCTAACTTTGCCCGTTGTCAAGGAAGACGATGGCTAGACATGCATGCGTAGCACATGTCCTAACCATCTCAGTCGATGTAGCTTCACAGCCTCGTCGATTGATTTCCCCCCCCCCACCTACCTAGAATTCGATGCCTAACCTCAATATTGTTCACCTTATTATACCACTTCACACGGGAGATAGAACGCAGGCACCTATGATCAAAGACAGACAGCTAGGCTTTTCGTGTCTTCTCTCGATGGCCAGGTCCCACAGCCATAAAGGAGGACGGAGCGGACTGATGAGCAGTACACTCGCCCTTTGGTCGATAGCCAATCGGATATTACGTCTATGCCAGAGACCGAGTAAACTGGCATATGCGAAACTAGCTCTCTGTATCCGTGCGGAGATTTTGTCAGAGATCAGCCCGTTGGGGCTGATGGCGCCTCCCAAGTAAGTGAAGCGGTCAACGTACTCTACCACTTAACTCTCTATTTCTAATCTAGGAGTCGATGTAGTGCAGTCCTGTAACATCATCTTGCATTTGGCGGGAGCGAATTGCATGCCAAACATTCGTACAATGCAGCTCAAGGTGTTTAGAAGACTCTGCATTTTGTTAGCGTCCTCTCCTAGAAGGACTATATCGTCTGCATATCCTAAGTCAACGAGATAATTCCCTAGTAGCAAGTGAATCCCGAGTCTCTGAAGTGAGTTGAGGTTAAGTCCACCGAATACCAATGGAAAGTCCGAAAATGAGAAGAAGCAGGTAACTACTGCTCCCTGATGTTTCTGCTCTGAGTTGAAGTTTCTGTATCGATTGGGTTGATTTTCCAAAGTACAGTCCATCGCCTCACGCCCAACCTTCTGTCTTTTTCCAGGCTTAGGATAGGCAATTAAACTACTAAACTAGGTGATTTCCTGAAATCAGCCCGACCGATAGCTGCTACCTTGACGTGGTGGTCGGAGTTGCGCATCGTGATGACCCAACAAGCTGCACTGGCTGGAACCAATGTTCCTCCAGGTCCTACCATGCGAGGAAGGTTGTTAGGGTAACGATTAGACTAAAAGCAGTGACTGGCATCCTGTAAGAATCTCTCTTACACTATGCTGGGGGTCTGAGGGAGAAGTCGTACTGCTGGGAAACAGGGGTGTAACAGCAGTGAGGTGTTTCCCTCAGATGACCAGCATGTCAGCTATGCTGTCTCTCCACTCCGGAGAAAGGGGGTTAGAAAATGTCGACCCCGAAAATTGTACATCCCGACTCACCCTACGGTGGTCCGTGACCGGCGGTAAGTTTACTAATACGGAACAAAACCAACAAACTAGTTCATACAGGCCGTGTGTGACCGGCCTCAAGCAGCTGTTCCCTGGGCTCTGCGGTCACGCAACAGTAACCTTCTTTCTGTTTCAGGTACCCGGAGAATCAATGAACTTCCACAGTGTGGGCAGCCGGGAAGTAACAACCGCTCACACACTTCCAAGAGCACATGAAGCCTTCCTGAGCATCATTCTCCTTTATTCACATCACCTTCCTCATCTTGCTTCTCTACTACAGTTAGTACTATTCTGCAGGTTAGTGAGTCATCTTCACTTCACTCTGTGACCACAAACAACGGTGACAGCCATAGAAACAGCCCAGGTAGCCTTTTAAAGCCACGTCGCTAACTTCAGATAGGAGCATTTAATGTTCTGAAATCAGTCTGTAAATCTACTGTACTAGGCATAAAGAACAAAATTGGTGTTTTCAACAATACTGTTAACTCATTCGATGCTTCTATATGGTTCAAAGGCTTGGCACATCGCCAAAATTATTCCCAACAGGTTGCAGACTTTAATCTACAACTGCTTTCGCTCCATACTGGAGACCGGACCAGGTAGTCTGGTAACGAACCATCCAAGAACCTAGGGCCCAAAAATATACTGGAGAAAATGCAGATGGATCAGACATACGCTGAGGAGACTAGTGAGTGACATTGTATGCCAGGCCATTATGTGAAGTTCGAAGGAGGAGTGACAAGTCAGGCTTTCGAGGGTGACATGGAGGAGATAGAGTGAGGAGAAGATGAAAGCTTATGGGTTACCGTGGAGCCAGCTAAAGACGACTGGAGAGGACTGAATGAAATAAAGATGTGTTGCTGAAGCTCTATGTTCTACTCGAATCCTAAGCGAATAATAATAAATAACAAATTGCCCTCTGATGGTTTTCAACAATCCTCTAGCTGATTTCGGCACATGATAAGAATTCCAACGCCAAAAAACATCCATGCTGAACAGGTTGTTTTTGTCACATATTCTTCTTTAAAAACAACTTTCTGATGCGTATTAGGCTTTACAGGTCAAATTTACAGAGTACAAACACCAATCGGAAATGCCGCGGCAATCATTACGAACAATAATAAAATTCATCAAACACAACTTAATTAACGATATGCATTACAGTTATTATAAACATTTACTCACTTTACCTTCATTGTTTCTTTGTATTAAATCTCGTCGACATGAACTAGTGTCTAATATTTCTCTTGCTAGTTGGACAACTCGCAATTGAGCAGGCAAGGGAAGTGAACAAAATGCATCTGAGTTGAGATCCATTCCTGACAATTTCCGGTCTGAAGAGTAAAAACCGTCCTAAAAGAAAGGCGTACTTGAAATTACTTCTTGCGTAATTAACAATCTAATTTTGTAGATGTTCTAGTATTTCAGGACTATTTAGTTTTGAAAAAAAATAACCATTTCAATAAAATATCGTACGGTGTTTTTATTATTTTACAGCCACTTGAATGGCACTGATGTTTGCACAGTAGCCTATTTGATATCCAAACAACTAAACCAGCCGGAAATCATACAATTATCAAAGTTTGCTTATAAACATCATTTGAGTTGTTAATAAATTATGTGTGAAGTCAACTGAAGATATTGCTGAAGAGTCCCAAACTAGGATGAAACAGCTTTTCAGCACTACCAGCTTTTCCAGTGGTTCTCTAACTTATGTCAGCTCATGATGAAATACTCTGTGCAATCAAACAAAATCCCCACAAATGCAATACCCCTACCTACCCCTCCTAGTAACCCTGTCTACCTACGACGTGGCAAGAAGTAGCCTGCTCCAAATCACCGTAAGTACCCGTTGAGTCATGAAGAAAATAAAAGACAAATTCAGCGAAGAAAATTTTCTTTATCGACGAAATCATCTTCAGAGGCTGTACAGTCGTATTTATACTTACAAAAAAATATACAGTGGTCTATTATTGAATTATAGGAGGTGACATAATTGATATAATTACTCGGAAGTGGCTTTAGAAGTGAAAGTTAAAAGTTGTAAATTACGTGGAGCTCAACGCCACAAAGATAGAAATTTGATAAGGTTACAATTACTATTGAGTCAGAATAAAGGTATTTGAGTGTCAATTTAAAAAAGTGTGAAGAGGGTGTGAAAATGTACAAAAGGAACATATAAGAGTCATAATAGTGAATTAATTATCAAAGTATAAGCAAACTAAACTTAAAATTGAAAATAAAAAAATTAAATTTTTACAGGGAACGACTAGTGAAGAGGTTAAGACTAAGGTAGAATAAGAGACTGGACAAACTCTTTCTGTATACATCGTTCGGGGTTGTATTGACGAATCGCCAGCGCCTCGGCCATAAACAAAAGTCGAAACCTGAGGCCCTTTGTACCATTTGGCCTCACCTTGTAGATGATCTTGAAAGACGACTCTGGTGGAGCTACATGGCTTGAGTTCACCAAATGCTCGAGAATTGAGCTAGTAATTGTCTTACATTGTCCCTTTGCTAACCATGCCGGATAATGTTCAGAGATGCGTTTGGAAAGTGTGCGCTATGTGCGGCCAATATAACTAGCTCCACACGAGCAGGTGGAATAATAAACACACATTGAGGCGGCCCAAAGCGGCAGTTTATCCTTCACACATTCATTGATCATTTTTCAGCTGTAGGCTTTCCTCAGTGATCTGAATAAGTGATTCTTCAGGATCTCAATTGCGGTATCACTTTTAAATTCAATAACCATGAATAGCAGTTTCTTCAGCACCGTCTGGGTTCTTTCAGGATTTTACCTTCACTTCACGTTTTGCTCGATAAATCTTGGATGATATCCATTCTGTATGAGGACTGGTCTGAGTCACCCCATTTCCCCCTCGATTGTATCACTGGAACATATTGTCCTTATTCTTGAAGATAAGGAGTGGATCAGGTTTCTCTTTCTTCTCAAAGGGACCGAACTATGGAAATTTGTGTATTGACGATTCCATGTTGGTTTCCTGTAGATCGATCTTTGAAGAGAACCATCAAATCTCCTTTTCTAGAAAAATATCCAGAAAATAGAATTCCGAGTTCATTTCTGATTCCAACGTGAACTGGATGGCATAATGGCGGTACTGTCGTCACATATGATTAAAGTATCATCCATGTATCCTTGGTACAAATGGAAACTATCGATAGTAGGCCGAAACATACTGTTCTCCAAACTTGCCAAGAAGCGGTCTGCAAGTAAAGGACCCAATGGTAACCCCATTACCACTCTATCTCTTTGTCTATAAAGCGTGTTGCCAAAGTTGAATTAGACATTTAAAGTGCGCCTCAGTAGTAATTCCTTTAAGTAATGGAAATTAACACCAACGTCTACTATTATTCTCAATGAATTTGCATTTCAACACCTCGAGTCTTTAACTTCAGGTCTGATCCACATAGCTGGGGAGCAGCGTCACGAATTGAGTTCCAATGGTTGCCAATGACCACAACAGATTCATGCAGTATTCCTCCGTTCGGATTATGGAACCCATGTATACCATAGGTTTGTAGTCGTGGTTTTCCAGGTCCCCAGGTAAACCAGCAAGTCCATCAGTCCGTTTGTAAACGTCAAACGGTCTCATTCAACATTTAACTCTTGTGGGGACAGAAGCTCAATAGATGCAAACTATTAGCGGGTCACAGGCCACGAAACCATGCTCCGACTTTACACACTCCTAGATGAACCAATCTCCATATGAATTAATTTTGATGGATGGTGACCTGCAGTGGAATCCAGCGTGCGCATTTTGTCTCATCAGTTGGATGTGCTTGCATTCCCAGTGAGTGATGGTATTTTCCCCGAAACTCCAACTCATCGTTTCAAAAGTCAAAGCATTACCCACAAGACCATTCGGGCCACGACAGACACCTCTTGTGCAACTAGTATCAGCTACTATATGGTTTAAATCCAATTTTGATTTTTCTATTGATCGATTAAATCAAAATGATCGGCTTCTGTTGACATGCCGTCTTCCAGTGAAGATGTCTTGATGATGTCCGAGGATTAACTTGAAGTAATTTAGTGGATCGTCACAGACGGTAACCATTTCGGTCCAATCAACCAACGAGAGTCAAAATTGTTTTAAAAACAAGTAGTGACACCTCCGTAGGTGGATGGTGACTAGCAGTGGAATCTAGGATGCTCATTTCGTCCTATTTAGGACTCGTCAGCTGGATGTACCTGCATTTGCCAGTGAGTGATGATGTTCCCACCGAGGCTCAAACCCAGTGACCATAGTTTCAAACGCCAAAGCGTTATCTACTAGACCACTTGGGCTACGAAAGCCACCTCTTGTGCAACGCTTTGGCGTTTGAAACTAAGGGCACTGGGTTCGAGCCTCGGTGGGAATCATCATCACTCACATGGAAATGCAGGTACACCCACCTGACGAGTCCCAAACAGGACGAAATGCGCGTCCCGGATTCCGCTGCTAGTCACTATCCACAAATTAAATTCTAATTAAATGCCCATACATCGTCGAAGCATCCGCACAAGAAGCCAACATGTCAACCTGAGACCGAGCACTTCGGTCCAATCAATCGACGGGAAAATCTCGAATTCACCTGCATATGGTTTCAAAACCAAACATAATCAGACGACACTACGTCCATACATATACACTGCACAAATATAAATAAGTTATTTTCAGTTAGAGAAAGAAAAATTTTCGAAACAAATGACGAATAGTGATAACAAGCTAATATATACTTAATACTTTTAGAGAAAATTCTGAAAACCACAGCTACCGACCAACAGAGAGACGCCATTTAAAGTAAATATTAAGATCCAAATAGAAAACTAAACAGGATCACAATAGTAACTCATTAGCACATCACATCACATTCAGTTCATATAGACAACTTGAAAAGTCTATAAACTGTACTAACCACTGAATTTCTCTTGGAAAAAAGCCGGTGAAAATTTCAAACTGTAATATCTCACATAAAGGTATAACGAATTAGTGGGTTCTACTACTGAACAATAGGCGACTAATTGGAAAACCAATTCTACAGAAAAATAAATCGACTAGATAGTATTGTCTGTCTGTCTGTCTGTTTTCGACATAGAACTTTGCACAAATATGCGGAAGTTCAAGTCGCCACACTCCGTGTAGCACGCGAAGCAAGAGAAGAAAGTACACGAAAAGCATAATAGAAACAGTGAGCAGAGGTGTGAGACAAAGGAGTAATAAAGAAATACAAAACAGTTTCATTGAAGATCATAAGTCACAGGGAGTGGATGCATCTGCACCCGCCACTGAGAACGATTTTGAGCCATGTCACCAATTGTTTCCAACCATAGATTTTTACCGTCCCGAGGACTCCAGCCTGGAAGTCTACACCTTTCTACGTGGCTTAGACCAACTGTTGTGGATTTCATTGACTGATGCCAAGTTTTTGTTTGACCGCCGCTAGCTTTTTTCCAGCCTGACCCTATATCCGCTAACATAGCTCGTCGAGGGAGGCGATGGCTTGGCATAGTATTGGAGGAATATGAATAATTCAGTCTTCTGACCACTGTAATTCGACGACAAAAGTTTGAAGATGTAGGCTACTGCTTCCCAACTACATCGATAAGTACTCACTGGTGCAGTTGGAATCAAATTACATTCATTAAAAAACAAACCTACTTACTAAGAAATCACGAGCCAACTCATCATATTCTAATCCAGCATTCTCACTTAACATGATTCCGCTACCTTTGTTATCACTCGATCTAAAGAGAAACATGAAAGACATCAAAGGTTATAAAACCATTCATTTTTAGGAAATCACTAATGTATATACAACAAAATTATTCATACTGGGAGTTAGACTGATTAGTTTTAAAGTTAAACTTTATTATCAGACTATTCACATCATAGATCTATCTATTGCTGCGGTTATCCATCCTGAAAAATGACTGCCATCATGTTAATTGTAAAATAAAGCGACTGTCTGTATGAGGTTTATTAAATTCCAAGTATTTGCAAACAACAACTCTTACTCCTACACCAGAAAGTTTGACAATGTCACATGGATTCGGTGGTTTGAGTGTATCCTAAATGTATGCTACCATCACTTCCTTAACGCCAAGTACCATGCGATGGCACTTAAAGTGACTGAAAAAAAGACAGGGAAGTGTTTCCGATTTGTAGGATGAAACTGATGAAATAGATAACTTTTTTGTATTCAAGTGTTAGTTTGCAGGGTTTTGATTTGATTGGTTACAGGATTTCATCATTAGCCGACATGGGTTAGAGAACCACTGGAAAACCTCGAAGTACTGGATAGAGCAGTTTCGTCCTGTCAAAGAGTCCCAAACTAGGACGACACAGTCTAATAGTAAATATACTTTTATCTACAACTTCAAAATCCAGTCAATATCAATACTGTTGCATACTTCTATTATATTTGAAGTAAGCAGTGAAACTATCTTTGAAGAAGAAACTCCCTCAATGTTCTCAAACTTCGTCCTCCTCTTTTGGAGACTCACCTCAGGATAACGTGTATTTTCCGCCTTCTAGAAGTTAATTTGGGCGCACTTTTGAATTGCCACTCATGAAAAATATTTTGTTTTGAATTACACACACACCCTCTCAGTTAAATAAGGAGTCTTTCTTTACACATAATTGACATTGGAAAGTATAAAGTAATGAGTTGTTAAACTAAATTTGTGTGGTAAATAAATTTCTTAATTAGTTATCCAAAATGATATTCGAAAATTGTAATGAGTAATTTAGATTCTATAGATTATACTTATTTTATCGCTGGTAACTACTACTACTTAATTCGTATCAGTATGTGTATTCATAGTTAGAACTTAATTGCTTGGAGGAACAGATTTGTTTATGCATCACATGGCTACAAGTCACATTTATTGTTCAAAGAGTGATGAAATTACTCAGTTTCCTAGGCTGATGGAGGTGAAGAGGGATTCGCACCTAGGGTTTACTCGACGACAGTCAAGTGCCAAAACCAATTAGTTTGATTCATATACGAATTCTAATCTACACAGACCTGTAAACTCACTGATCAACTAAAAAGAAAGATAACCAACCATACTTTGATAATTCCCTTGAGTTTTCTGTGAATCACAACCCAGTAGATAATATTATTACTATAACAGAAACACGTATAGATAACTAATATGACGAGTCAACTATCATATATAATCACATCCACCCTACTTTCATCAGTCTGCAGAAATGATTAGTCTTAAAGATACTTTAGAAACAATAATAATTTGCTTTATTCCACAACAGTACTTGTGATACAAAATGGAATTCTCTGCATTTTACCACAGTATTACATCCAGTTAGTATATTAACAATAAATAAAATTCTACATAGATTATGGGTAATCTCGGTTGGCTTTGACAACAACATATTAGCATGTCGGTAGCAAAGCCGAAATTGAACAGTGTTTGAAGGTGTTAGAAAAGTAGATGCCAGCGTATTTACTGGCATACGCAGTAACAAAAGGTTGAGATATACAGAGTGTGAGAGAACGAAGAATGTTTTAATACGGTTAGTAAGGAAGAAAGAAACAAAGCAGCACATAACAGAAGAAAGAGATAAGGAAAAGAAAGAAAGAAAACGTTGTACCTATAAATGATAAGAGTTGGAAAGACGAGATTCAGTTGTTCTACTAACCATTTAATAAGTTATTGGTATCACGCTATTTCTTTCTTTATCGCACAGAACATGAGCCAAGTAGGGTGTGGTTGAGATTTTGTACTTACTAGTGCGAGCATATAGTTTACTATATAGACTTCTGGTTTGACCTGATGAGATACAAGGGGAGAGTTGTGAATGAAGAGGGTGGTGTGAGTTAGATAGAATGGATTCAGCCCATTTTTCACATGAGTCTAAGTCCCCGTCGATCAGAATATTAACAAGTTGGTTTAGCAGCACGTTGTTTACCCTGCTGACAACCTTTACCATCCTACGTAATAAGATATAGTCTTTCTTCCGTAGCTCTGGAAAAACTAAGGGGGAACAATAGAGAATAATAGGCAGGATCCAAGAGTTAACGAATCGTAGGAGTAAGGGTTGGGTTATACCAGAATGTCTTAACTTCTTGATGTAGAAGGTAAGACGGAGTATTCTCTTAGAAATCATCAAGATATGAGACGACCAGGAAAGATCAGCAGATAGAATGACGCCAAGATATTTAATTTCCGACTTGGTCTCTGTTTCAGTGTCACCTGTAAATAACTGTAACTCATAGTTTAGTGTATAGTACCACACACCTTTATCAAACTAAATCACTTGCAGACTGTTTCAGACTAAAATCAAATCACTTACATAGACTGATTAGATGGAGCTGAGAAAATTTCAGCATCTTCCATAGCCTGAAGAAAATTTGACTGCTGCTTCAATCGCCGTAACAGTTCTTCTTTGGCTATGAATATGAAACAACAGTAAAGTTTGAAAAAAGTAGGTCATAATAAATAACTAGCAGACATTAAATAGTCAGTTGTATATTTTTTTTCTGTCTGATTCAATTTGGTTGAAATTGGGCCATGTAAGTATCACCCTGTTACACTGAAAAAAAAATTAACCCTGAACAATAGAGACTTAATGAGAAGATCAGGTGTATTAGTATACTTGTTGCAGCACCTCAATCTTAGCTCACAGATTAGTCATTTGAACCATATCGTTGTTTGGGGGTTCTTTTCTGACGTTAAACATCAGTTTCTTAAACAGAAGCTAGTTAGTGACAACAAGCCTCTTTTCCACAGTCTAAGTGATTTCTTGCTTTAACTCAGTACGGCCTGAGATTGGATGACATGCAAATGACCAGAGATTAGGGTCACACGATAAGAGCTAAGCATATCTTACTTATACTTGATAGAAGAGTGCAACGTTTGGCGCATGGTAGAGAATCATGCATTGTTTAACTGACTCATTCAGTGATATAGAGATCGATAATCTGAGCGTGGCGGTCCTAATCATTCAACACTACGCGTTCCCTTTAAAACGTATTCAGCATTTCCATATATGAAAGGCATCCAGGAAGGTAGATAGTGTATTTTATCTTATGAAAGTGTGTGGGTGATTGCTACTTTCTAGCTACTCACACCATGAAAGTATTTAAAATAGATGCAGACAAGTGGACAAGTGCTTGATGTCGTCTGGTTTTCAGAGGTGTTCGTATCAACTGACTGCCGGCTACAGACCACTGCAAGGTAAATCGAGGAGCAAAATTTCCAGGGTCAACATTTCCTACCTCCCGCCACTCTCCAGAGAGGAGAGAGACAGTATAGATGGCTTGTCGGTCGTCCAAAGGAAACACACCTTACTGCTGTTTCACCACCATTTGCCAAAAGTAGGGCATTGCGATCAGATCTCCAACATAAAGTGAGGGACTTACACTACAATGGTAAATGGATGGGTCAATTTTATAGTATCTCTTCTCTACTATCACTCAAACATTAAAGTATGTTATTATCAACTATAAAACCATTGTAATTTCAGGTAGTCTGCAGATGATGAGAACCTGTGAAATAGAATTACACTTGATTCTTGAAATAAATTAAAACTACCTAAGTTTTCAGGAGGTTGTGTTCCGTTTGTTGATACGTTACTTGATCCCACTTCAGATTCTGCAACACGACGTAAAAGTCGGCGAAGAAGATGCTTTTGAGCTTTTTCTGCTTTGGCTTCGGCTGAGTTACGCAACTGACGTCTTGTGTGCTGTAATCAAATTGACACAAAAAATAGTCAAGAAAATGCCTGACTTACAGTAAACAAAACTCGAAACAATAATGGAGCTGTTTGCTTTACACAAACCTAGTTAGTATACACTTTACGAAAGGTGTACCATATTAAAAGAAAGTACTGCTTATAATAAACTAAATTTACCCTCAAAATTGAACACAAATGCAGCGTTAATTTCTTTATTTTGCTAAGTAAAAGTGATATATCACCTAATATTGGTTAATACTTTTTTTTCTTTTTCGTCACATAATGAAAACCATACAACTAATGATTCTTTGCTTGCCTCCCTTTTATTTCGCTGCTACTCTATTATTTGTGGTGTGCATTTCATACTACTTACTATTTATAAATAGTGTGTTTTATATTAGGTCATCATCGCATCTAGCCTGTTGGTCAATCATTTCCGTAGAAATCATATTTCCTTTCTTTTAACATTTGAATATATCAGGATCATCTCCCAACACTCGAGTTAATTGAGATTCCTATATTGTTTGTTCAATTGTCTATCTCTGCTTGCTAGTGCTTCATTCTAGGTATTCAAACTCAGAGTGTTTTCGCGCGCTTTGACATTTAGGTATTATATTATTATTATTGCTCCCTTGGGTTCTTAGTGGAACATAGGGCTTCAACTGCACGTCTACACTTGCTTCTGTCTTCCTTCTGCTGTACTTTTCACCTGCATCCATGTTAGTCCATACACTTTCAACTCCTCTTCACACCATCTCCTCCATGTCACCCTTGCACCGATGTCCCACTCGCCACTTCCCTTTCGGGTTCCACTCGAGCAATGGCCTGACGCGCACGCGATATCACCCAGCGGCGGCCTCCTCAGCGAGTGTTCATCTCCACCCATCTCCACTTTCTCTTGCATATTTGTTGGGCGATTGGTTCTTCTTCTGTTTGTTCCCATAGTTTCTTGTTGGTGATTCTGGTGACTCCGGCCCGGCCATCTGATCTTCAGTATAGATCCAGCGAAGACAGTTAGTTGTTGATAAAGGTCTGCCTTTCCTGAATCCAGCTTGTTCTGGTCGGAGTTCTGTCTCCAGTGCGTCCTTTAATCTCTCCAGGATGATGCGACTCAGGATTTTACTTGGCGTCGATAGGAGCATGATTCCTCGCCAGTTCTTGCAGAGTGAGGCGTAAGTCGCCCTTCTTTGGTAGTTTCACGAGGTAACCTTTCCTCCAGTCAGTAGGCACCTTTCCCTCCTTCCAGACCTTTTGCAATAATGGAGTCAGCATGTCTGCTGTAGTCTCTGGGTCCGCTTTCAGTGCTTCAGGGGGTATTCCATCTGGTCCGGCTGCTTTTCCAGCTTTCAGAAGCTTGATTGCATTCAAGACTTCAGCTCTCGTTGGAGGATTGGTGTCAACTTGCAGTTGTGTGCGCGCTGTTGTTGGTATTTCTGGACGGGTTGCAGGTGATGGTCGGTTCAAGAGTCCTTTGAAGTGATCCGCCCATTGTTTAATCTGTTTTTCTTCCTTGGTAATTGGGTTCCCTTGGCTGTCTTTTATAGGTTTCGCTTGTGTTGATCTCTTCCCGGATAGAGATTTGGTTATCTGATATAGTGTCCTCAGGTCCCTTTTGCCTGCTGCCTTTTCAGCTTCAGTAGCTAGATTGTCGTAGAATCGTCTTTTGTCCTTCCTAGCACTTTTCTTCACTTCTTTGTCCAATGCTTTGTAAGTTGAGCTCATCGTCTCCTTCTCCTGTCCGTCCTTGCATTGAATCATTTTCTCTTTCACCATTCTCCTCTCTTCTATTAATTTCCAAGTGTCCGTTGAGAGCCATTCCTTGTCTTGTCTCTTCTTTCTTCCTAGAACCGTTGAACACGTTTCGTTGAGAATCGCCTTCAGAGACTTCCAATGTTCTTCCACGCATGATTCTTCAGTGATGTCGCGTAGTGTTTCCTGCTTTGCTCTGACAGTTGCAGTGAAAGTGTCTTTTGTGGTTGTGTCCTTCAGTTTCTGAGTGTTGAACTTGCATTGTGGCCTATCCCCAGCTATCCTCGAGGCTTTTAGCTTCACCTTGAAAGTCCCTTGTACTAGATAGTGGTCTGAACCCACATCTGCTCCTCTCCTCGACCTTGTGTCCAGTAGGCTCCGTCTCCACTTTCTTGAAATTGAGATGAAGTCTATTTGGTTTTGGTGTTTCCATCTGGTGAAATCCATGTCGTCTTGTGTATATCCTTGTGTTTGAACACACTACCACCAAATCATTGAAGGCGCAGAAGTCTGAGAAGAGTTCACCATTGTCGTTCATTTCGCCGAGGGCCTCACGACCCATGGTGAGTTCTCTTCCTGTGTTGTCTCCTCCCAGCTTCGCATTCATGTCGCCCATCAGGATTTTGATATCGCCATTTGGGACGTTGTCCATTATTGCTTGTAGTTGTCTGTAGAACGCCTCCTTCTTCTCTTGTTCTGAGACGTTTGTAGGCGCATAACATTGAATGACTGTAACTTTCCTTCCTTTTGAGTTGAACCTGGCTGTCATTATCCTGGAGGAGATTGGTTCCCACTGCATGAGAGCTTTGGCTGCTGTTGGTGACATCATGATGGCCACTCCCTCGGTGTGCTCATGGTTGTCCTCTGGGTGGCCGGAATAGATTACTGTCTCTCCAGTAGGTAGTTGGCACCTTCCAGTTCCGTTCCATCTGCTTTCTCAGATTCCCAACACTTCTATTCTGTACCTTCTCATTTCAGCGGCTATCTGGGCAGCCTTTCCAGTTTCGTACATTGTGCGAACATTCCAGGTACCCATCCTTACTTTTGCTTTCATCGAAAGAAGGCACATCGGCTGACTGGCTTCCCGAAGGCTTTCACCAGCCTGCGTCATTTCACTTCCCCGATTCCAGCGAAAAGTAAGGCTATTGCTTATGTTTTTAGAATTTTTAATATATTTATTCGTTGAAGTTTCTGTAGCGATTTGGTTGTTTTACGGGGGTGGAGTTGCTAGCACCACGCCCCAACCCTCCCTCTTTACCCGGGGTTGGGACCGGCTAGAAAACTAGGAAGCTAGTAGCCTAGCAAGCTAGTAATCTGGCGAGGTTGACATTTAGTTATAGTGAAGAAGATTTGCAGTTCAGGTGGATGATTTTGATGTAGTTGTGTTCTTTGAGCTAGATAGTTTGCTTGCGAAGCTTTCATTGGCCTACTATGAAAAGTCTTTAGCGCATAGTTCAATTTGAAATGAGCTTTCAGATTACTCCACGAGTTTATTAGTCATCTCTACTGATGACCTTTAATGTAATTGGTTGCTCTTGTCTTTCCTCACAACCCCTCGTCTAGTTTTATTAGTATGGTTGTTTACTTGGTTTGCAGTTTAACTTTCTGTGCATGAGATTTTCCTCTCTTGGATTGGTAAAATTTATCTATGTCAATGTGCCTGTTAATTGCCGATTCACTCGAATACCAGCCTTCCAAAAATTCTCTGACGTTCTTGGTGTTTCCTCTTGCTAATATTTGAACGTAGTCCCAGTCAAATTGATGTCCGTGTTTGCCTGTATACAGCGATATATAGGAGTGGATATCATTTCTTTTGACGGCTAGTTTGTATCCTTAGATGCGAAGACCAAGGTGTCCACTACGGTCATTTATTCCCACAATCCTTGAACTTTTTGCTAGTTTGCTTTTAGTAACTAGTAAACCTATCTAGGTATCCAGTCGAAGTTAGTAGAAATCCGGTGATCGATAAAATTGTCACTTAAACTACTTTTGGATCAACAGATAAACAAGTCGCACAACAGTCAAATAAAACTAGCACGATTTTACAGAGTCTTTAACTATTCTAAAGCATATGCGAAACCCAAGAGTTTTGATTAATAATGTAGGAAGTTGTGAGCAAGGTTTCATATGCCGTGAGTGGAAGCTATTCATAATGACTCGAATATGTCTGTTGCATTTTTATTTTAAGTTAGACATAATTTTACTGCATACCTTTTAGTCCTCATTTTGACTTTGCGTTGTACTTGCTTTCTAACTTAACGCCTATTATCGGTAGGATCAATATTATTCTCAGGTTTATTTCATTTATTACTCGAGACAAGTTGGTGTAGCGAATCATTTCCGTGTAGTTGTGCACAGTCAAACACAATTTCTGCGTCTTTCTTGTCAGTGGTGATTACCTCTGAACGCAAATAGCATCCAACAAATGATACTATAAACACAATGGAACTTACTATAGTTGCTCGTTTCAAGGCTGGAGTATCACCGTCGAATACAAACACTGGTCGAATGCCAAAGAAAAGTAGTTTACAAAGACGACGAAAAAATATAGCCAAATAGTTACGCGGACCGCCTGATGCACCTCGAGACTTAACAGCTTGATGCAACCAAATATTCATATCTATAAACATAAATTGTAATTATAGAATAATTTATTACAAACTGAGAGTGGATGAGTTGGATATTGTTTATTAGATATTTAACCTAGTTAAAAATGTGGCGCGTTATGAAAAGCATTTCCAACAACCTGCTGAAGATTTTCACCAACGCTTACCTTCGCTCCATACTCCAGACCAGATAGCTGGTCAGAAACAACTAGCAACAAAAAACTCTGGGAAAGAACCGATCAAGAAACTATGGCCTAAAAATATGCTGAAGAAAATTCAGGTCGATAGGTTACACTCAGCGGAGGTCATTGAGTGACAACGCCCGCCCGCCAGGTCATCAATTGGAATCTGAGTGGGAAACAACAAGTTGGCAAATTGTTAATTTGATTTATGGTGTCACCAGTTCATCCAAGTAGAGTGGTTTGAACTGACTTGGCTCTCTGAGCTCAGTCACATCAGGTACACTGCTGATGAGCCCGTCCCCAAACAAGCGAAACGGTCGTCCCGTCTTTTTATCACCTCGATCTGGTTGGCAGATAGTATCAATTGCTTCGAGTGACTTACAACTACTCATCCCAGTCAATCAGTAGTATATAGTTTTATGCAAACTTTTATTACTTGCCAGTCTCATGCAGAACATTGAATAAAATTCACGAAGACTTAATATCCTTTAGATTGTGAAATCTAAGAGAGAGAACTTATGTGAAGTGTTATTCTAGTAATATTGGTTCATATGTCTAAAAGTTGTATCTGAGACTAAAATCACTATAGGATCATGATAGGTGGAATTCAGTGAGTATTTGGAGCTTTCCTCAGTAAATTCGAAACTGACTCGTGAATTTATCCCTAAGATCAAGTAATTGATGTAACAGGTAGTACGATAATACAGCCTTCACTTCCCACACATCTAACATTGAGTTGCAATGACGTCGTTTATAAATTGACAGTAACTAGTGTAACTACCGTAAAAGTTCTGTATAACAATTTAGAACCAAAAGGAGGGAAACGTTTATACAACCACTAGAGATAAAGAAGCATTTACGGGTAAATATAAAATGAAAGGTATTTCGGTAGCATTCAGAAAAATGCAAAGGATAAATTTAAAATAATTCAACTCACCAATTGCTACAATTTTACCGGAGAGTTGTTGCAAATCTATAGGCTCTCTTGCAGGTTCCAGTAAACGCCATAATCCAGGAACTCCCATTGTGATTACGTGTTAACAATCGGATATCCTACGAAGTTTTGGGAAACATATGCTTAACTTTTACTCTACACTGATGTGAAGTAGAAAATAAAAACTGAGGGAATTTTGTGACAAAACCGCTCAGGAGAAACTTAGAACAAACTGATATCATAAGTGTGCAAACATGTTCAGTAATAGAAATTCTGACTGCTATAAAGAAAAGACTGTAGAAATAATTCATATGTTCTATTCAAACTCTGACGAGCATTAAAAATAACTATCTGGACATGCATTGAATGACTTTTACAATTCGTTTTCAAGACTAACACATACAGATTATTGTAAAAAGAGGCATGTATTTACTTCATCCCCTAAGCACTTTATATGAAGCGTCTGTTTAGCCTACTAAAAAAACAATACTTAAGTTACGATTTATTTTGTTATATTTAAATCAAGGATGATTTATTTTGCTACATGATACACACGAAATGTACTTGTCTGGACCTATGCATTAATGGAAATCTACAAACGAAATCTCTAAGTTGTGATACGGTACTGCTAAGCATTACAGAGCATTTTTGATTTCCAGTCAGTCGTTAGGAAGCTCTAGACCAACACCTCCTGCCAGTTGGTGGTCATCGCCAAGAAGCAACATTAGTCTGAGGCTCGAACGCATCAGAAAGTCAGTGACTAATAAAGTAGCTTAGTAGTGAAGGACCGCATATTTAAATCCAGCTTGTTTTCCAGGTCCCAAAATAATAAACAACAAATCATAGTAACCAACTAGACAGCTTGCATGTATCTACAAATACTTAAACTTCATACGGTAACAACCAACTTTCCATCTCAAATTTCTGTTAATAAATATGAAATGTGGTGAATTACATCCACTTGATTTCGTGATCTATTCAGAACTGCTATTCATACTATTCGATGGAAATCCTAAAAACCTAATCAACTAAATTTGTGGAACCACTAGACACACACAGATGTAGGTATTACTTGACAAAGTAACTTGTTTGGCCTTACCTGCCCAGCAGTCAGTTGATGGCTTCTGGGACACCCTTGACGTGGGGGTAAGGTAAATAGATCACAATCCTTCAAAGTATATAAAAACCACATGTACTAATCTGGAGAAAACCATTCACACAAGGTGTTCAGATCAAATGACTAGCCTCATAACTAAATCACAAGATACTTGCCTGCAGTACGTCGGTGGCACAGCGGTTAGGACGCTCGCCGACCATGCACGTGGTCCGGGGTTCGATCCCCGACCGACACTCATTCACCTCTCTAAACCAGTAATAAAAGAAAGCTGGTGAAGAGGAAATGTTGGGCACGAGGCTAGCAACCCCACCCTGTAGAAATAAATACTGCTACAGAAACTTCAAGCCTCTAGCTTGAAGCCCTATGTTCCACTGGGAACGTGAGGGAATAAAAAAAATTGCCTGTAGTATGAAGAAGCCATTAATTAATTACTTCGTCCATCCGCGATTGAAATGACACGTAAACTAATGAAACTACTATAAAATCTAATTTCCAAGCATAAATTATATTTATTATCGAGGAAAGACAGGGTAAAAGTTATTAACAGAACCAAACGTGAAAATTGTTAACAACAACAATACACTAGCCATTCGGTTTACCGGATTTCCGAAAGGAATAATAATACCTTTATTCTAGGCAGTAGGTTTGGTACATTGACTAGCAAGCAGACACGATGTTTCGTCTTTGATCTCAAGCAATACTTCGAGTGAGGTAAGAGAATTTCTAGAAGTTTGGTATTCAAATGAAACTCCACTTATACCCTACTTAGACAGCAAAATAATCAACTTCCAAACAACTGCAAATAAATCAATCACGTAAATCAACAGTGAAGCGCGAAGACACATTATAGAAAGTTACCTTCGAGTGCTACACAAAACTGAATTGAAATTATGTAGTATTTATACTATTACTTAACAGTAATGACAGAAACTACAATTGTGACGTCACATAATCCAATTAGCGGTGAATTGATTTTATGTGCCCTGATCGTTGCATGAGGGACATAAAAACTAATTTTATTTTCAGACACAAACACGTTGACGAACACAGAAGGAATATAGTTGGAAAAAACCATTGATTTAATTTTTAAGACAAAAATGCTAGGGTTGGGTCTATGCGAAATTTATTTAGCAAGAAACTATGGAGATCTGGCTTGTTGTTTTAAGAAGTCAGCTTTCAGCTAACAAATCCCGCACGTTCAAATCCCTCCCCGCCTACTAGAGCTTGGGCAACTGGGTAGTATCATCAGCCTCCATACACAAAGTGTAGCATATACCCTGATACACGTAAAATCTTTCCAGGTAACTACTTTTGATAATAACTAGTGACATAACTGAAAAGGTCTATTTACATATTTGGCGTAACTAAGTCACCACAAAGCAGAGATTACAAGTCCACCCTGAGAATGCTGCCCGGTAATAAACCAAAAACTAGTGAATCAGCATAAAAAGGACTAGTTTAAACGCCTCTCTACATAATAGTCATCAATTAATTATCATTTGTTTAGGCCTCAAAGCTAAAACAGCCTTACATTTTTATTCTCGATATCTGTCGTTCCCCATATCTTAGAATCAGGCAGTACGCGTAAAACTTGATATAAAAATAGAACTTGAGCACTGTAGTAGAGTATAATTCTATTATGGGTCAAAATTTATTCTGATAAAGTACCGCAGTGCTATATATTAATACCTACTGATGACGTCTCGAGCACAATTTGTTGCTCATAGTCATGTCAAAGTGATATGATATGGTTATGAGTAATAAATTGTGCTCGAAACATCATCAGTAAATATTACTGTATGACACTGTGGGACTATCAAAATATATTTTATCCATAACAGGGAAAAACTGATTTATAAAGCGATTCCTTGGAATTTCAAGTAGTTTGTTATAAATTCTATCAAAGATGTGGTGAGGATTTGAAAATCTTTGGCATTTGCATAAGAAAATTGCTGTCACATTTAATATAATGTATTTACTTAGCTAGAATATGCATTCATATACTTCGTGAACACTGATATAAAAACTGAAGTACTGTCGAAGGCTCGATTAAGAAACTACACATTTCTCAGAAGTATCCTGATTTCCACCAGACTTCAACAGCCTCAGCTTTACTGATACACAAGGATTTAGATAAAGTAATCGTCTAACAACATAATTACGCCTAATGAGTTATAGAGGTAGCCAACCTAAAATTTCATAATGGAAAAATTTTAGTTGATTTAATACAGTGATACAGCATTATGTTTTTACTGATGACGTTTCAAGCAGGAGCTATCATTCATAATCATACCAAGATACTCACATAGCTTTCAGATTTTGTTTGCATAGTCCAGTTATTTCCTACTCTTTATTTTATCGGTAACAATATTTCCTGTATTTACTACTACACGTGTCTGGCGGAGATTCAGTTAACAAAATCTCCCTCCACCTGCCTATATTAACTCTCACGATTGTAACTGCCCCATTCTAACTTTTAATTGTGTATCGGAACTTTGGGTTTTTTCTTTTGTAGTAATTCTTAGGGTTTGGCTTTTTAGTAACTAATGGCTTAACTAACCCTGACCTACTGAGTTGATCTATGCAACTGACTTCATCGTGGGACATGTTAAACTGGGTCATTAGGGTCTTTTGGTCTGCAGAGTTTGTCCCTGAGTGAGTTTGTGAGTTTAAATGCTACCCGAACTTCAGTCCTTCTAAGAATCTTTTCCTATACAATAACATTGTAGATGCCTTAAATTCCTCCTTACTTATGTTGTGAACAATAGTCTCAATACCATTACTTTGAGTTCTTTTAACTTTTAAATAAATTCAGAGCGATAGCTATTGAGAAATAATGTTTTTTTAAATTTTATTTTCCTATTTAGGCTTTTTGATGCGTTGCTTATAATTGTTCCTCGGTTTTTTAGGCACTTACCACAACTGGTAAGGGATGAGATTATTAATATATCAACTCGAAGGTAGAGGCAATTCAATCCACTTATGAATTGGAAAGTCAGGAAAGGGAACTTCCAATGTTAGATTGCAACGTAAAAAGGAAAGATGGAAAGTTAAACACTAGTGTTAACAGGAAACCCACACATTCAAACAGATATTTGGACTTCCGATCATCCCATCCTATGTCAGTAAAAATAGGATTGGTGAAATGTTTAAGTGACAGAGCACAAACACTACGTAGTACCAAGGAAAATGTGAGACAGGAAGTGATACACATAAAAGAAGCCTTGAAACTTAATAATTACCCGGATAAATTAGTCAGGCAATATGTAAGGAAATGTAAAAATGAAATAAACAATGATAGTAGAGATGGTGATAACAATATTTATAATATTAATGACGACACCAACAGTAAGGAATCTAAATCATCAGTAGTAATTCCATACAAGGAAGGAACCTCGAAAACCTTACGCAGAATTCTTAACAAGGCAGGAATAAAAGTGGTTGGCATTCAAACCCATAAACTCAATTAGAAACAAGCTTTATCGGTTAAAGGATCAATCCTATGGAGCCAACAAAGCAGAACAATTTAGTTTATCTAATACCCTGCCTGCAATGATTGTCAGGTCAAATACATAGGTCAAACTAGTAAAACAGGGGCAGTCAGACTAGCTGAACATAAAACAGCAAAATTTAGATTGGCTGACCCATATAAGATAAGAAATCTAGAGAATAGTTCAGCTATAGCACTACATGCTATCACACACAACCATACAATAAGATGGGATAGGATGACAGTTTTAAAATCTAATGTAACAGGGTATAGAGAAAGATTGATAACAGCTTTGTTTATCGAATCAACTACAAATACATGTAATAGGAATGATTCATCACCTGTCCCTGATATCTGGAAAATTCTACTACGCATATGACAAATAGGAGAAAACAAGAAAACTATAAAAGTCAAATCTCAAAGTCGTATAGCCACATTTGATATGATTATGAATAATAAATTTTGTCTGAAACATCATCCAGTAAATAATACTGTTTCAAAGTGTGATATATCTAATAAACAAACTAACATAGTTAACCTGAACCAACCAGACTTAAGATGCAACTAAAGTTAGATAATTATGCAACTTTTTTGCATTTTTAACGATTTTTAGTTGAGAATGTATTTAAAAAACTGCAAACATGATATCAGACTGGACAACTTATTGTTGTGTTGTAAGAATGTCTCCTAGCTAGTACGAGGATAATCCACACAGAAACCATACTATACGTGACAGATGCATTCATACGAGTGACTTTAGATCATTTTACTTCAGGATCCATTGATGTTACTGACCTAACACTAACACTGATCTTATCTCTAATCTCAAAAAAATTACCTAGGGAATTAGTAGAACACTGTACCTACCCTCACGAGCCATTTTTCTCTTATAGCACACATTGTATCTATAACAATGTTTATCTCTCACAAGTTTGTATTGCCTTAGTGTCATGCTTTCTTGAAACACACCAAAAACATGCACGGTTTTATTTGGAATGACTTTTCGTGGCGTCCTCTAAGTCTGATTGGTTCTTGAAGGCTGATCTTTGACAAGACTTGACTTTGGCTGTGATAATTTAACTTCGCCCAAAGGGTGCAATAGAGCCATGTCAATGCAGCCTTCATTACGGACTTAAAGGATCACGCAAGTGAAATTTCGGCAATACTATTCTCTGAAGTCACCACCCTGTCAACATTTCTTGCCAAGATGTAGCATTGATGTTTAAAAGAAAGCTTACAATTGTAAGCTCGGGTATTATCTCTATTTATAATTATAGGTAGTCAACGTAGAAGTGTTAACGCCTCGACTCTAAGAATATATCCATATACTTGAGGCTCAACATCAATTGTTAAGGAATACTTATATTCTAGTTAGCTAGAAATTTCTTATTATCGTTTGAGAAACCATGGAATTTAAGTAAACACACAAGTGCCACGAGAAAGAAATTAAGATGAGTAAATTTTTGCTTTAATAAATATAAGACAATGAAAAGTCTCATTTCTTTTAACGATACTGGACTAAATTACTTCAGGAAGATGTGACTCACCTTCGCTACCAGTTTTCACCCCAGTGATTCATCAGATGATTGCATAACACGTATCTAGAAACGAGAATAACGGGAGTTTTGTATTTTTGGGAACATAATCGACGTGATAAGAATTACAGTATCTGTAGTCACGGCTACTAAGCTTCAAGTGACCTTCAAGCAAAACATACTGTAATGCAATAGAAACCAATATAATGCCACTAAACAAGTTTCTTTTTCTTCTTTTTCAGAAAGAAACGTTGATGTGGCATCACTAGAACAAGAGGAAGATCGGTTATCTAAACTTGTTATAAATGATGAGAACTAGCTTGTACCTGGGCAATTCAAGTCTTGCTTGCTGGAAATAAACGTCTCTTCCTCGCCGTCTTTGCCTTCTTTCTTCACCCGTCGTGATTGTAGTCTGTGTGCGTTATACTGGTGTCGGAGGTGTTTCCTCTACGCAGAGACATGGCAAACTACCCTGAAGATGCTCTTCCCAAGCTTTTTCCGGAGGAATGTCCCTCCACATTGCCAAGCATCCCCCACTTCCTCGCCCACCCATATTCCAGCTCTCCTCAGACTATCCACGTTGGAAGAAACGCATGCAGGCGTACCTCGACATTGCTCCCGCGAGCCACCATTTCACCCACGCCCACATCGTGGACCAGAACTTGAGTCTGGTGCCTTAGACCGCTCGGCCACCCCGACTCAAGTTCTGGTCCACGATGTGGGCGTGGGTGAAATGGTGGCTCGCGGGAGCAATGTCGAGGTACGCCTGCATGCGTTTCTTCCAACGTGGATAGTCTGAGGAGAGCTGGAATATGGGTGGGCGAGGAAGTGGGGGATGCTTGGCAATGTGGAGGGACATTCCTCCGGAAAAAGCTTGGGAAGAGCATCTTCAGGGTAGTTTGCCATGTCTCTGCGTAGAGGAAACACCTCCGACACCAGTATAACGCACACAGACTACAATCACGACGGGTGAAGAAAGAAGGCAAAGACGGCGAGGAAGAGACGTTTATTTCCAGCAAGCAAGACTTGAATTGCCCAGGTACAAGCTAGTTCTCATCATTTATAACAAGTTTAGATAACCGATCTTCCTCTTGTTCTAGTGATGCCACATCAACGTTTCTTTCTGAAAAAGAAGAAAAAGAAACTTGTTTAGTGGCATTATATTGGTTGCATTACAATACTTTGAATCACCGCTACGTTCATATGCCAATGTCCAATATCGTTTTGACGAGCTAATATAAACCAATTCGATTTCTTTGTGCTCGCTTCTTGATTGTAAGGTATAGGTTCCTGATCTTCTGTGAACTTCTGCGTAGCTCGTCCCGCCAACCGACTGTCGTAGCTTTGGTTGACTCCAGAAGGAGTAGTGCCGGGATTAATTTTATGTGGTTTGTAGTATGAGGTATGTTAAGACTGTTACTACTGTGAATGGATTTGATCCTTTCGCCAGTTAGTCCTCCGGTATCGTCGACAAGAGAAAAGAGATAGTAATAATAGTAGCTATAAATAGTGAAGTTATTCAGACTAACATGCAGAAACGGAAATAGGAAAGCGTAACAACAGTCAGCTGATTAAATCTGAAGAATAATATATATATATATATATATATCGGTAATAATAATATTAATAAGTTGTCAGAAGAGCAAGGCGGGAGAGAATGTAAAGAATTAAAACGACGAGTTTAATTGTCTACCCCTGAATGGTGTATGGTATTTTAAGGGGATAGGCTATTTGGATGCAGTCCTTGTGTCGCTGCATGGTTGTCCAGCCTTCGCTTAAAGGCGTCCAAAGACGGTGCCATATCTACATCTGCCGGTAAGGAGTTCCAGGGACGGCATACCCGCATTGAAAAGAAGTGGGAGCGCACCCGGTTCCTTGCCCTCTGGTGAACTATCCTTCTGGGATTTCCACGTGGGAGCCTATACCTACTCAATGGCAGAACACCTTTGTTTGTATCGGTGATTCTTGTCATTTGCTTTTTTGCAGGCGCTAATCAAATCCCCCCTAAGCCGATGTTTGCTAAGTGTGAACAGGCCTAATTTCTTCAGCCTTTCACCATATGATTTGTTTCGGAGACCAACCACTCCTTTTGTTGCTCGTCTCTGGATTCTTTCCAATAGGTTGGCGTCTCTTCTCAGCATTGGGGGTGCAATAATAATATGCACCTCTAGGTGTGGCCTGACGTATGTTTTGTACAATCTTAGAAAGACCTCAGGAGTGATTGCACCTAACTGTCTATGCGTAAAGTGTATGACCGCATATGACCACGCTACACCCCCGTGTAATTTATGCTTGTGTTCATTTTTTCCGTTAGAAGGATATTACAAGGTTGTTGTGGCCTGTGTTAATCCTCGCAATATATACCTCTAAATGGATCTAAATTACCTTTGAAATAGTTCATCAATGAGGCTGATACTATTGAATAGGCTAAGGAGTTCAAGTCGTTGAACACTGTATAAGAGAATCTAAATTCCACATGTATTTTATTCGACCCCGATTCGAGAACCTTTTTGTAGTGACCTCGCAAGTGTATCCTAGAGGGAGAAGAAGCTCGGAAGATCAATCACCAAGTCATCTCTCCTCCTTCCGGATGAAAATGGGAATATATTTAAATAATCTATTCCCCTCTCACAAGGAAGATGTGAGATACCACTGACTTATTTCGGTCCTACTCACTATACTCTTTCCAAAATGTCTGCCTCCTTCTTGAAGCATGGACTCACCGCTCGTATAAGGTTATCTAGATGAGGCCTAAAATGCGTTGCGTGGAGTACTTTGAATGTAGACTTGTCTAATCGACTTAGAGCCCTTCAGAAGGCCCATAGCACTCGGAAAGCCTTAGCTGCGGTTACGTTGCGATTTTTGGTTGCTTTGAGGTCGTGGATGACAATAATTCCCAAGTCTTTTTGTCCCTTAACATCTGGCAGTTTTGAGCCCTCTGAGAGTGCCACGTCCAAGACATCTGACCTAAGAGCATTAACCCGCTTTTCCTGGAATTAATTTCCAGAGTCCAGAGGTTCGGTTATTCATTTGATTTATCCAGATCACTTCGTAAGACCGGCCTATCGCCTCCTTTATACTCTGTTTTTTGCAGGTTTTATTGACATCAGCAACTAGTACCGAAGATGAGGTGAAAGTTTTCGGTAGTGCATTTACGCATTAAAAGAAGAGCAAGGGACCCAGTACACTTCCCTGAGGCACTCCAATCAGCACTGTTTTCCACCCTGACAGTACACGATTAAGCCCTACCATTTTCTTTCTACCCACCTGGTACTCCTTAAATGATTCACACAGATAAATTATATTTCAATAGTTAACACAGACATTGGGCTATTCCAAAACTTTCTAGTTTACTAAGGAGACCCAAATGGGAACTTTATCGAATTTTTTTCTATGACCGATAAAACAACGTCCAGTAGTTAATTTTAATCCTTGGCTTAGACTCAGTCCTTATTGGCCAACAGTAAGCTTGTTAGACAGGATCGTCCTGGTCGGTATCCGTTCCGTTCCTCCACCAGCAAGTCATGGCTAATAGCTGATCCCTTATGATCGTTTCCAGTACCTCTGTTATAATGCGCGTCAGACTCACAGGCCGGTGGTGGTTCCCCTTTCTGGAGATCGGGCTAATAACTGCATCCCTCCAGGTCCTGGGAAGCCCGGCTCGGGTCAGGGGCACTTAAGACCTCCTCGTGGGTGGAATGTATATTGTATCCGTCAAGGAGATTGACAGCCAAGAGTGAAATCCGCCGAGATAATGTGTCAGCCACGTCTCGTAAACCGTTAATGCTCAGCTCTTGCTACGCTCGGGCTCACGCTGTCGCTTGAAGTTTTCAGAAACGCATAGTAATAACGGACGAAAAAACCAAAACACCAATTGTTGACTCGAGGATTCTTTATTGTTAAACCAACATATAAAAATGACGTATGACTAATGTCTGTGAACAAATATTACAATAATAAATCACAATATTACTTCTGACGGTGTTTTACTCTTCTTTCTGAACAGCGACCAATGAGACGATGACTGTCGTATTGATGCCTCCGCGAAAATTGGGGAAGTTGGTTTTGAGCAAAAAACCAAGAATTGATCGTTCAATCTTCAACTACATTGACACTCCCCGGCAAAATACGGATCCAACCCTTTTTTCCTTCACGACCAATACACGTTGACTTGGATGCCATTGCGAGAACCTGGGTCACACGGACAGAGCTGAAATGGAAAACAAACAGAAAAGCTAACACAGCACAAGCATACCCACAGGACAATCTCACACATCGATGACGACCTGCGCCTCCAGACAGAGACCTCCTCTTGACATTTTGCAACACAATCGCCATTTGCTAGAATGACTCTTGCAGAATGCAACGTGACCATGGCAGCACCTCACGATTCTCTACGCTCATCCTCTTATCTACTCACTACCAATTACCACTGTAATCACTTGTCACTCATTCTGTCTCAATTCTAGTAACGATGACGTATGCGAGCCTCAGTCGTTTACACTCTTTCTCCCCGGCGTGTGGTACCGCAGCTAACAATTATCTCCGTGTGCATTTCATTCTCAGCAATAGCCTTCCCGGCATATACGACCCATCTGCTGTCTTTAACATCAATCAATTCATTCACGGATGTAGAAGAGTGGACACAACTTCAGAAGTAATCACGACGAAAATTTTAACAAAATTATGCAATAAAAACAAGGCACGAAAACAACGAGTAAACACAACTGATCCAAAATCACCAATTGCGAAGACACACCACACGTATACACAAACGGTACACACAAACTCGCAGTTCATGTCTTGATGGAATTATTTTGAAGAATCACAGGACTTACACCAGTACGCCTGCAACCCTTCTCACGTAGACGATTGTAAGTTGTGGAATGTCCGGACACAAACAAGATTAACCAACAATTACGATAATTGGAACTCACACAAGTATTTGACACAAACATATGTACAATCACTACATCAAATGTTGTGGATTCTGCCTTGACGAACTACCCTTGAAGAACTGTAGGAATTACAGCAGTACGCCTACATTCCTTCTCAGGTTGATGATCCAAGTGGAAGTCGTACGGACACAAACAGAATTATCAACAGCTAGATGACAGATGATATCAATTCAGTATATACAATATGAACATATGTACAAAATCACACACCAAGCACATTGGACTGCTCATTGATGCGCTACCCTTTGAAGAATTGTAGGACTTACAGCAGTACGCCTACAACCCTTCTCAGGTTGACGCCCTAGGTTGGAAAATCGTCGGAGAGTTCATTTGCTAACTTCCTTCTGTCAGCTATATCCTCAAATCTGAACGGTAACACGCCCATGTCATTGTATCGTAGAATATAGATGACCAACAAACACACAACATATCTGATCAACCGGGCGTAGGCAAACAGTAATTTACACCAGGGATAATAGCATTCAAATAGTAACTT